TTAACGCAAAGGATCTAGACTCCTGGATCGACAAATGGGAAGACATAATGTCTGACGCCGATAAGTATAAGCTAATGGAGGCCCAAACGGGCCAGTGGCTTAGAGACGTTGCCACATTGATTAGGCCTCTGGATAACTCCTAGGCTACCAGTACGAACAAGGAAGCAGGATACTCGACGCAAAATCGGAGGCTACCCAGGGGAAACTGTTCGACTTCGACCGATATGGTCCTCCTGCTGCTGCTCCTGTTAACCCCGTTGTTCACAATCCGGCAGCAGCTGCAGTAGGCTGTAGCCGCGATGGCCGCTGCAGCAACGGCCGCAGTCGCCGCCGTTCTTGCAGCCCAAGCTCCGACGGAGAGTCAATGGACTGTTGAGAGGGTCGTGCGAGATGTGAAGCATCTGGCCGAAAGCAGAGAAGCAGAAAAACCCGAGGTGCTATCAAAGAGGAGGCGCATTTCATGCGGACAAAGCAGCAGCAGACGCAGACGATGCGGACGAAGTACCGCCAGCGAAGAAGAAGAAGCTGGACAGAGAACCCTTGGAAAGGGAGCCATATTCCAAAAGAGATCCCTGCCTTGCCTGCAGACGCAAGGGACACGAGCTCGAGGGTTGCTGGCAGGTCATCGAAGAGGCCAGACCAAAGGGCTATAATCCGCCCCCTGAAAGGTATCTCAAGATGACACGAGAAAGAGTCGCTGACGATCCTGTCCTGAAAAGGAGGATTGAAGAGATTCGAAAGAAAATGCAGAAATAGCAACCAAGGATGAGGGGAAGGCTTGTGGGCTCAGCAAACCCAGCTTTCGTGTTCTCAGCTGAGTCCCCTGGCCTAAAGGGATCGGAATATCCACTTAAGAATTCAACCCTCCTTGATTGCGGCGCATCTCTTCATATCAACAACAAGCTCAGTCGGTTCCGATCGTTTAAAAAGGCCAAGAATGACTTTATCGTCGCCGGTGACTCTCGTTCGAATCGAAGGATTCGGGCGAGTCAATGTCGCAACGACGATGCCTGACGGCTCCCACCGAACACCCGATTAAAGAAGGTTGCCTACTGTCCCGGTTTCTCATCGAGCCTGGTTTCTTTGCAGACTCTTATCGACGACGATCAGATCTTTTGGGATACGCTGTCTGAGCCTATGAGGCTAGTCCGAAAAGGCCAGACTATCGGGATCACCGAGAGGAAATATCAGCAGTTTGTTGTTGAATACCAGCCCGTGGAAACCGAATTCCCGGATTTCAACAGTGCGTTCCAGGCATCGAAGAAGGAGACAAGGAAAGCTCGAAGAGCCGGCTCAAGAGATCCTCGACCTGCCTCTCAAGGAGACGGCAAGCTTTGGCACGCCCGTCTTGGTCACCCTGGTCCAATGGCTTTGCACAAGCTAGGCCTACAAAGGGGTCCGGATTAAGGGCCGAAAACCGTCGAATGCGAGTACTGTGCTCAGGGGAAGGTCAGAAGGCAAGTCTCCCGCCGTCCACCTGACGAGGAAAGAGACAAGCCGTGCTACGAGATCTGGATAGACTGGACCGACCTTGCGAGAGACCACGAGAACTACGTCCGTGTGATGTTTATCACAGACGCCTTCTCTGGAATGGTCTTTCCTACTTCATGAAGACCTACAAGGCAAAGGAACACGGAGCTGTCTTGAAAGACTTTTCCTCCTTTATGCTCGCTCGCTTTGGATTTAAGACGAATGTCGTGCGCTCTGACGGCGAGCTCTTCACGAAGAAAATCTCAGCCTGGATGAGGAAGAAAGGGATGACAAAGGCGATGTCAGCTTCCAACACTCAGGACCAGCTATGGAAAGAGATCATCGAAGCAGCCTGCTACCTCCGAAACCGAACGCCAAGAGAGCCTCGATTCGCCGCTGAAAACGCTAACGAAGGAGAAGCCGACTGGAAGTCTCCCATTGACTTGTTCACAGGGAAGAAAAATCAGCTCTCACATCTTCGTGCGTACGGCTGCCGAGCCTACGCAATGACAGCAAATGCACAGCTTGGATTGAGGAAGAGGTGGAAGCTCGACCCGAGAGCTCACATCGGATACCCAGACTTGCAAATAGATAAATCAAATCAAATCCGGGGTCCAATTTGATTTGATTTGGATAGCAAAATCATGGATCTGATTTGATTTGATTTGATTTGAATCGATTTGGATCTCATTTGGATATCTGGATAGCCCCACTTTTTTCCCACGACAAAATACATTGAGCCGCTCCTATAAGGTCCGCTTTGATAAGGTCCGCTTTGAGGCGGCCTCTCTGAGCTGCGGCCATCTGTCCGGCAAGGCTAAATATTCTCTCCGGCTCTGAAGACATCGCCGGAATGGAAAGAGGTCGATTGCCATTCGCGACAGGCGTGGATATTGGCGTCTGCGGAGAAGCCAGTACTGGATGGGATTGTCCACAAGACAATCGCCCGGATCGGTACTGCCCACCCATTCTGCGTACTCGTCACGCATGGAGGACGGTGAGGCGCAGGTTGGGCGCCAAGTTTCCTAATTGAGGTCATGAAGTCATCTAGGTCCGTTGTCTTCCTTGCAGCTGTGGGCTCCTCGGGTATCGTATCTTGCTCGACCGCGAGGGTTCGGTACTCCTCCCATATGCGCCATTGCAGCAGTCAAGTGCAGAGCTGTCCCATTTTGGCCATCGGCTACAAATATCTCCCCCCGTAATATGGCAGACGCACCCAAAGATATATTTCACGATCAAACGTGTCAGGTAAAACACAAAAAGAAAGCTTGGTGACACGGCCTGGAAAAGCAACTGCCCGTAATTAAGTCCCTGCACATAGAAATGGGCACCCCCCTGTTTTGGGCACCCCAAAAAAATCACGACCATTTTCAACACCATTAATTCAATCCCTTCTCACTGCCCACCACCGTGCACTACGATACAATCGTCACCTATTTCTGAAACCTCAGCTTCGGTTTCATCAGATTCTTCATTCTCAGCTGCGTTCACCTCCTCCTGCGCCCGTCGTATTGCCTCAATATTGGCGAACCTCGAATTCGGGCTCGTGACCACCCTCTTCCTTTTTTTCGGCTTGACGGCCGCCAATTGTGTTTCCAGTGCCTGAATCTGCAATTGAGCTTTTGCTAAAGGCCATCCTTCTCGTCAAACCCTTTGTGATCTTCCTGAACAGCAATCTCTTCGTGGGCACGTCGTCGTCTAGCTGGTTGAATTGAACTACCTGAACCTTCAGATCTTGCGAGCGCCTCGGGGTCGACCACGCAATCTGGGATGTGTCTGATTGCCAGTCACTGGTGGGTAAGTGGCTATTGAATGCATTGGCCACATTTTTCGCGTTCTTTTGCGTCTGTTGCTGTTCTCCAGCAGAAGAGGGCTCAAAAGTGGCTTCGCCATCGACACCGGCCACAAACCCGTCGCTTTCCAGCCACCCTTGATGTTTGACACAGTGAGCGCTTGCTCGCGTGCTTTCTGGTAGCAGGAAAGAAAGTTTTGCTTGCCGACTGGGCTTGAATCGGTCAGGAGGCTGAGAAATCCGACCTGTTTGCGGTAGTAGTGCTTAAGAGCGGAGAAGACAGACAAATCGAGCGGTTGCAGCACATGAGAGGTATGGGGAGGTAAGAAAGAAGGTGAATCTGATGCTGGTAGCATAGATACATGAAGTCAACCGTCTCGTGACTTCCGTGGCCGTCCAATACTAGCAGTCTTCGCTCCGAAGGGTCGGGTGGCTGGGTTCTTGGAATGAACACCTTTCGAGCCACTCCACCGCAGTTTGGTCCGAAGTCCAGCCGTTCTTTGTCGCAGTGAATTGCCAGTCACTAAAAGTACTGAGATCTTCTGGGAACCACTGTTGCTGGACCGATTTGCCCTTGAAAATGACGGGTGGAGGGAGGAAGGTGCCGGCAGCGGACACGCACTCGATGAACGACGTCCAGACCCGAGAACCAGGCGTCTTCTTTTGTACAGATCGTTTTTCAGCACTGCCAACGACCAGGCCATTCTCCCCAAGTCCTTCCATGATGCCTGCTTCATCCATGTTGTACCTGTTCTCCGGCTTAATAGCCAGAATCTCGGGAAGGAAGAAATTGTTGAACCAAGGCCGAATTACCTCGGTAGAAGCGCCGTTGACACGCGCAGAGTCTCTGTGATGGCACTTCTGGGTCCGAACTGCAGGATTTCGTCTTAAAAATGCTTGCATCCAGTGTTTTCCGAGCGGTGTGTGGTCTCCTTTGACGGCGAGCATGCGCTGCGCGAACTGCCTGATCTGCGAGTGAGTGGGAGGAAGGCCCAAGGCGTCCTGAATGAGAATCCATTCGGTAAGTTGCTTTTCCTGTGTCTGAGAAAGCCTCTGAAGAGCAGAAAATGCATCCTTTCTGCATTCGTGACCATGCATGCGATTGTAAAGAGTTGCCCTCAGGACGCCCCAATCGCGAGCAGCCTTCTTGGCGGATCCGCCATTGGCGATTGCCTCAAGGGCGCTGTGAATGTCAGACTCTGTATATTTCATCAGTAGTGGCTTGAAGACACATGCGTCAATTTTTTAGCAGATTGGATGCGTTTCCGCGGTGAAATTTGCTGTTGAAGTTGACGCAGCCGTTTAGGTTGGGCACCCATCTTGGGTGCCCAAAACAGGGGGGTGCCCATTTCTATGTGCAGGGACTTAGCGACCGCTCTAGGCCAGGCAGGGCTGGCTCCCCAAAACTATTGGCCCAGGTCGCCATTGTGGGGCGTATCCAAATAATCAGATATCCAAATAAATTTGGGTGTTGCGATTTGATTTGATTTGATTCAGCGCAGGGGCAATTTGATTTGATTTGATTTGGATAAATTTGATTTGATTTGATTTGATTTGATTATGATTTATCTATTTGCAAGTCTGCGGATACCTCATCGGTTATAAGTCTACAAATATCTTCCTAATTTGGGTCCCTCTCTTGAAGAAGGTCATTGCAACGAGAGATGTTGTCTTTGACGAGTATACGTTCTTCGAAGGAGGAGGCGAGCGGATGCCGCTGCCTGCGAGCATCGGAGAGATGATCCAACAGATTGAAATCCCGGAAGACCAGACGGCGAATCAGGCCATCCTTGACGAAGAGACCGATGAAGACACTGATATCGAGGACTTCGAGGATGATGACATCAGCATGGCTGAAGATAACGAAGTCGAGGAGCAGGGACAACAACAAAGCGAAGAGCAGGAAAGAAGACTACGGAGAGCGCGGGAGCTGGAAGATGCATACCTAACGCCACCAGCTTCTGACCCGGAGGAAGAAGAACCACATGGAGTCTTTTCGGTTCACTTTCCATACGCTGACCCTAATGGGGTGGTGGTAAAAGCCCCTTTCCAAGTCGATCTGGAGCCGTTGCAAGCTCAGAAGAGAGTCCGGGTTCAGGATGATCCTGAAGAGGAGGCTCACCCTGAGGGGGTGGGTTGCTCTCTTGGAGGAGCGGCATTTCAAGCCGACCTTGAAGGCCTGATGAAAGAATCGCGTTTGAAGGCTCTGGAACCATTTGATCAACCAGAGCTGGATCAGTCATACATCGACCGTTTTGCCGACTTCGTCCCGGTGCAAATTGAGGACGGGGTGCACGGAGCCTTCACAGCAGGAAGGTTGTTCAGACCGAAAAGCGCAAAAGTCCACAAGAGAGACCTACCCGAGCCTCCACAGACGCAGAAGCAACTAGAAAAACACCCGTATAGAGAGGAATTCACCCAGGCTCAGAGAGACCACCTGGCCTCACATGCGGAAATGGGCTCGTTTGACGAGGTCTTCTGGACGAAGGCTGCTGGAAAGCAGGTCCTCGGTTGCAAGTGGGTATTCATCTATAAGACTGATAAGCACGGCAATCTCCAAAAGTGCAAAGCTCGCCTCGTTGTCTGTGGCAATCAGCAAGAAAAGGGGGACCTGCCTACTCGGGCGACTACCCTCGCAGGAATGTCGTTTCGTACGCTGATGGCCATTGCCGCGGAACACGACCTCGAATTGGAACAGATGGATGCGGTCAATGCTTTTGTTCATGCCCCCCTCGACGACGAAGAAGTTATCTTCATGAGGATGCCACCGGGGTTCCAGAAGAGGGGGAAAGTCCTACGCCTGAGAAAAGCTCTCTACGGACTACGCCGCTCGCCGCTCCTCTGGCAACAGATGCTTACGTCGTCTCTAGAGGAACTGGGATTCAGAAAAGTTCCCCAGGAGCCGTGTGTCATGATGAAGGGAGCGGTGACCGTCTTCTTCTACGTTGATGACATCATCTGGGCATTCCGGAAGGAGGACGAAGGGGTCGTCGAAGAAGCTACTCGGGGACTACAGAAAAAGATCAGCCTAACTCGGCTTGGAGAACCTCGCTGGTTCTTGGGGATTCGTATCCTCCGCGATCGTCAAAGGAAGACGCTTTGGCTGACGCAAGACGCCTATATCGACAAGATCGCGTATAAGTTCCTGTTAAACAACGACAACGCCCCTGAGTCTCTCAAGCTCCCAGACACGCCAATGATCTCTGACGAAGAGCTCCTGCCAGCTACAAGCCAATTCTGTGCAGCCCCTGCAATTGCTGCAGTCTCTGCAGTCTGTGCCGCCCGTGCCTCTGCCCGCTGCAGTATGTCGCTATAGCGTAAAGGACAATTGCGAGATGTTATGATGTGCCCTTGCTGGTGGCATTTGCTGCATGTAGGCGGCGCCTTTGGCCGTAGAGCTGACTCTATGGCTTCAAATGCACTGTGACGGTACAAGGCACGAACGAGGTCGAGTGCGGCTTGGACAAAGTGATTGTCTACAAGGAGAGAAAAGGAAAGAAAGAGCTTCGTAAGGAAGGCTCTCACTTTGGCTAGTTGTACAATTTTCACAAGTGAGACATGCATGATGTTCCTTCACATTAACTACCCCCTATCCATAACTGCTATTATACGCCATTTAATGCCAGGTTCTCAAGCTCTATGTCACCACTACCTGCTGTTACCCCCCCTTCGAGCAGTGGTGTAACTTCCGTGACTACCGTTGTGCTTTCAGCCATCACCCCGGCGGCCTCGATAGTATCGGCGCTTAGAGCGGCGAGTTCGGCGACATCTGCTGCCTCTCCCACCCCTGGGATCAGATTAAGCGCCAGAACTGCAGGAATAGAGGCTACCGCAATGGGGTGATTCCAGATAAAGTGGCCTATCTTTGCAAAGACTCCTTCTTCGTGCGGCGCAGGCACAGTATTCATCTCCTTAGCTTCCGCAGATTTTTGACCGTCAAATGTTTCCGGCGCCGGAAGAAGAAGAGGGAGTTTCCCATGGAAGCCTACGGCGCTCCCAAATCCGCTCATGAAATTCAGGAAGTCTTCTTTAGGTTCCTTGGAGTCCAGCAGCTTCGAATTTTCGTTAGTAGTATACCGGTCGAATGTCGTGTTATAGTCTGGGTTCTTGTTGAACATTTGCTTAGGTCTCTCGGTATACGCTTTGATGAAGTGCTCGTGCAATTCCTGCTTGGTTTTCGGCACCTCCTCGGGAAGAGCATAGCTACGAGGCACCTGGGTCCAGGCAGAAACCTGCGACCAGAGGATGCCTCCGGCGGTGGCGACCTCGTTCCCTGCCCGGATCATGTTTGGTGTAGCATGGACAAGATAAACTACCGGGTTTGACGCTCCACCCCACTTGGCTGCCTTGGCTGCCGCATCCTTGGCTGCCGCTCCGAAGGTTTCATAGGTTGAGAGGAAATAGGTCTCTGGCTGGAGTGCCATGTTTTGTCTGTTGAGGTGTGTTCGCAAGGAGTATGCCGCGGCCGGAATGCCGGATTGAGCCAGGATATCAGCCGGCGTGGTGAATCCGCCCTGTCGCTTGGCCTCGGCCGGCCATAGGGTGTCACCGTAGAAGACAAACGCGGGGAGCTTTCCGTGCCTGCTGCTTTGCTGCCGGCTGTATCGTCTGCCGTTGATGATCGTCACCGTTGGTTGCGTGTGGTTCTACCCTGTTATTCCCGGCTGTCGGTTTAGGTGACGATGGAACCTGCCCTCCTCCTAGTATCGCGTTTCTCATCTCAGCGCTGTGCTTCGCCATAGCCCGGTCCTTCGCTACCATGTCCATCAACTGGTCTGTAAGCTCAATGCCGTCCACGGATTCGGCTCGCTTGCCGAACCCAGGAAAGGTGGACTTGCATCCGTCGATCTTTCCAAAATAGTCGGAATGGTCATATCTCCCAACAGTCGATGTGCCAACGTTGCAGTCAGGATTTGCAATACCTGTGCATACGAAAATATCGCTCTGTTTATAGTCATGGACGCCATCCGTAGCAGATACGTTGCTGATCCAATACTCAGGAGACGTATGTGCATAACCGAAAATTAGAGGGGGGACCTTGGCAACAATATCTGTACCATGCGTAATACGATATGTATTACCAGGCTGCCTCGTGACAAAATTAGCAAATTCGGGATTGCCAACGCGTGGTGAGCCGTAGGAATAGACATCGATTGATAATCCATCAGCGCGTAGGTAGGCAGCGGCAATAGTCGCCACCGCGCCACCAAGGGAATGACCTGTGGCAAGTAGGCGGAAGCTTGGGTACAGCTTGTGATATTTGTTTATGGTGTCTTTGATCGAATCCGAGGTCTCTTCCCAGCCTTTAGCAAAGCCGGTGTGCATTTTGCAATGAGGACTGAATGTATCGCAAGGCGACCATGATGATCTAGCATCAGCAAACCAATTCTTGATACTCCAGGAACCGCGATAAGACAGGACAATTTCTTGTCTCTGATGATCAATGCCGATATATCCGTTCATATCAATAGTCCCGCCACTATCGTAGCCGCGTGGCATGTTATTAATATATATGTTCTAGCACAACTTTTATAAGGAAAACTTACCTAAAATTATGCACCACAGTAACATTAGATTTTTCGACTAAATCGCAACTTCCCGAGCAGTTAACTCGGGTGTTTATTGGCGTCTCCGAGTTACAGTACGCGGCAGCAGAATGTTGAGCATAGAATTTGAAATCCGAAAGTAGGTCTTGGCCTGGCTTTGATGCCTAAATCATGTTAGTGAGGCTAGCCCTAGAGGATCGATTTGTAATAGAATCCAACTACCATTTCAAGGCCCATTTTCGTGTTAGGTGGCGAACATAATTGATTCGGATTAGTTATGCTGACTGGACTTCGAGGTCGCGCAAGAGTTAAGCGTGCGCCCCCAATAACCTTCAAAATCTCTCCTTGTGGGGTTTTCGGTGTAGGTGGGTTAGTGAATATGCACCATGTGAAGCAATAGCCGTCTTCGTCTGTGTGTATTGTACACTCGTCGGTTGTTTCATTCAAGTCCTTATCAGCATAGACTTGAAGTGCCTCGCATGATTTGACAGGAGATGCGATAGAGGTTGGCCGAGGACGGTCAAGTCGACATATGTACTGAATTGCATGTAATAGCCAATGTCCACTGTAGGTCAGAGCCATCGCTGCCAGTGAGTTTCACGAGGAACTATACCGCATTACTATTAGAAAACCCGTCCGTTATAAAAAGGGACGAAGACTGCTTACAGGACCAGGACTTTCGAAATATTCCAAGCTTTGAGCAAAGTCATCCAGAAGGTGGTAGAGGGAGACCCCGACATTTGACTCCAGATTAGCTAGCACAAAAGCGCTTGCTAAAAGGACGGTAAGTCCTATGGAAGTAAAGGCCACCATTGAGCCGCAATTAGGTTGTTGATATAGAGGTGAAAGAGAAAATGTACGTTATGGCTGAGAAGGGTCGGCCGGGAGAGGAGGTTTTTATGCCTGATCAAATATAATGCCTCGGGGCCAGGTCCACCTTATGAAGTGGACCCAGTTAAGCTTTCATCTGCAAGGCACAGCCAAAGCGAATCCCAATAAAGTGGGGGCGGGCACGAGTAACTAGCCTTATCTAAAAGATTTATTCATTTTTATCTTAGCTTCGATTTTTAAAATATTTTAAAACCCCGTCTTTAAGGTGCGATAAGGAATGGCCCGCTCGCTTGGGTGGCCTGCTCGCTTATGATGTATGTTACTGTTCTCGAGAAGAAGGTCCGAACGAGTTGAGGTCTCTAGGTCTCTCTAGGTAATACAGCTTGAAACCAGGTAAGAAGGAAGTCTGCAGACTGTTATTTCTTCTTCCTAGACCACTGAGGGGTCCGGAGGATCTCCTATTCGAACGGGGACCTTCTAAGAAGTCCGGTATATCTCTTACTGGCTCGGGGACCTCGAGAGACTGAACTATCGATCTAATAGCTAGAAGAGCTATTTGATCGGGGAGATGGAGCTGATGTTGCTGACGTAGATGACTTACGCGGCCTTCAGTAAGTGGCAAGAAGTGCCCTCTTCCTGATAGAATGTATACTATACCTGAAAACGGGATATCAACTTGGGAGAAAGTTGGAGGATACAAAAGGGGCTGTTTGGACAGGAAAAGGGAACCGGGGGGCAGAGCAATCAACACATGCACTACACAGACCTTCTGATCATATGTGAACCTACCTGCGAAAAGTCCATTTGTCCACTTTTATGCCCTATTTTGATCTCTCCTTTGCGAGAACTGTTTTATGCATTAAGGGATTTTCCGATGATCTGCCGGATCTGGTGATCTGCCGGATTGCGGCGACTTCGCACGCTCAACATCAATCGACAATAGCTCAACAACAACGGTGCCAATTGACGTATCCTTTGATTTCCTGAATCATCAGAAGCAGTGAAAGTCTGGCATATATTTAGAACTTTTATCTAGGGGCAATGCGCTGCGGTGCTGACATCAAACCAAGCAACGGCCAAAATAGGATGCCGACAGATTGTGTAAGTCATTTCAGCCAATACAGCAAAAACAGAACATTATTGGCTTTCATCGTAGGCTTTAATCATGTGGGATTCTCCCATTCTATCCATAGTGCAGAACTTGGCTCAGGATACTGCAAAAATGGGGTTGGAAGGGCGAGCTGGATAACTTCATTCTACGCACCCGTAATGAGCCAGATTGAACGTGATTCGACGGTACAAGCATCTTCTGAAAAGAACCTATCTATGCATCTGAATGTAAGGTTTATTTTTAGCTTGAAATTCAGTGCGCGAGGCTCCGCTTTCACACCTGACAAGGAAAGACGTGCACGAAAATTGAGAAATTCGACACCCTACCCTAAAACACGTATAACATGGATGAAATGGGCTTTCTATTCCTTATGAGCATTTGAACGAACAGGGTATTCCTCTTATTATAAGAAAACAAGGCAAAATTGCTCGGCGTATTAAAAAATGGCAACCCATCCTCCCTTACGTTCAAGATGTGCGTCAGTCAAGAGATGGCATCGCTGCCCCATTTCTCATCCACCAAGACAAGCCAGCACAAACTCTGGACTTTTGGTTCGTGAAACGTGAATCAAGTCGTCAATAAATATTTTTAACACGTCAAAAACGAGGTGGACGAATCACAATATTGGAAATGAGCAGCTCACCGGTACGTTCGACCGGTTTACCAGGGTGAAAGCTCGAAACGGTTGTGCTTATCGCCTTTTGGTTCCCGATGGCCACTTAACCATTTTAGTATCGAATTTATGGAGTGGTGTGACCGGCACCGAGTGATCGTTGTGGTGTTTCCCCCTCAATCCATTCATCGGCTGCAACCCTTGATGTATCGTTATTCAGCCTCTCTCAACAGCGTATACGCATGATCTTATCCAGTACACAGACAAATCAAAAGGTTCATTGGATTGCTGAAATCGAAGATCTAGACTGTGTTTTGGAACGCATTTCAGGAAGTAGTCGAGAAGTCCTCTGTTGATGCTGGCCGCAACAGCCGAAGGCTGAGCAGCACCCTCAGGAGCCCTCAATATGAGTTTTAAGTGCTTGATATGAGAGTTAAAGTATGCAGAGAACAAGTAGTCACAAGAACCAGCGCAGGCAGACCGGTAAGGCTTCAAAGATGATCTCTTCTGCTGTACAGATTCTAGTGCAGACGAGGTGTTTAGCTCTAAAATTGTGGCTCAAGCTCGCCAAAAATGACAGTGAAAGGACTCAAAAAGAGGAGGCTCTGAAGAAGGAGGCCCGAAAGCTTCAGCGACAGCAGAAGGCAGCGGAGCAAAAGCTCTCGCTCTAGAAGAGGAAGCAATGAGAGGCGGAAATTGGGAGAAAACGACGGATGACGGAGGCCGTGAAGCAAAATAAGGAGATAAATTGGCATTATTAACAAGAGCTGAAGATTTTGAAAGTGGAAAAGCCACAGAAAATGCAGAATGAGCGACGGGTGGCTTCTGAGGGTCGCGAGAGGAGTCAGGATGTTCACGCTGCAAAAATTGTCACTCTTCCGTTCACACCAGAGCGGGCCATAGCATTGCAGGTACCAAACACACTATATAATAACGCAAATAATAAGGCAATGATAACTTCAAACGACATATCCTGTCCTCAAAGGCCCTCTTTAGCTGTTGATAGTGATCGGGAGGCAATGGGTGCATTTCGGGGACTTGCGCGATCGGAGAGTAACAGAAGACGACCTCGATGGCTGGATGACTTCAAAAAGATTGAGTGGCATCTTTGAGCATTATTAACTGCTCTTATAAGATTTTAGAACAATTCAAATAGTATTCGTGAAGTTATTCTCAGTTCTTTGCTGGAATGCAATGAGCCCAAAATCCGGCGAATCGCCAGATCCGGCAGATCACCGGAAAATCCCTTATGTTCATGCTCTCTTCGCGAGACTATCGGACGCCAATTATGACCCCAGCCGTACAGCCCAGGCGGTCGAGTCAAACGCACTAGTTCGGGGGCAGTGCATCCCTTTGAGTGCGGAGGGGGAGCAAGGTGGTCACGGGCACCACAATACGTAGCTACATGTGAGATACGCATAAGTCAGCGCAAGCCGTTGGGCGCAGCCAGTAGTAATACACGCAAGAAGCTGGGCACAAAAGACTCGCATGAGATGCGACCAGTGCAATGTATGTAGCTGTATGTACCCAGCAGGCTTGCCGGGACTTCTACCATAGCCAAATTTGCTAGTAAAACAATGTACCTCTAATCGTCCAGTGGTCTTATTGGCCGAGATCCCTGTTCGTAACCCTCTTGCTCCCCCTCCGCACTCAAAAAGATACAATTCTGGCGTCCCCTATTCATCGAACGAACGAGTCGAGCACAATTTACAGTGGGTAACTTTTCGCATGAATCACTAAACAGGCATCCCGCAGCTCAAGTCCGGGCTGTCCTACGATGCTGACCCATACTCGGGGTTGACTAGCAGGGTCCGCAGGCCCCCTCTCCTACGGAGAGGGTCACAAAACTTGTTTCTTTGACGGTCGTGTTTCCTCTATCGCAACTTCAATCTACCGCCACGCCGTCAATTGGGCTTCTTAGGGATTGAAACAAAGATACAGTGTCTATTAGGTACTATAGAATTTAGGTGTCAAGTCTCGTGAGAATTGGTTCAGTCGTTGGTGTTACTAGTAAATTACAAATCTAATGCTCTAGGCCTGACGCACGCGCGTCTTTGGTACAACAATTCGTCTACCATATATAACAACCTCCGGCTCATCCTCTTCTTCATCATCCTCGTCGCTGTATACACCCACGATAACGCGTTCCTCCTTGAGCTCGGCCTGGATCGCCGCCTCGTCTTCTTCGTTCAATTGCACCGGCTGCCGTGGCGGAAGCTGCTCGAGTGGAAGCTGCGATAGTGGTGGTCTCGCAATACGCGGGCGTTGGCGCTGTGTTGTTATGATCTGAATGTCATCCTCATCATCGTCGCTATTAGGCGCGAGATCCGGCTCTGAAGAAAGCAGCATAGATATATAGTCATGATCGATATCAGAGTCTTCGTCGGCCACGTTGGCAGCAGCTTGTGCCCGCGCCTCCTCCTGAGCTTGTGACCAGGCCACGATATCAGGAAGAGCTGTGAGATCGCCTTTAGGTGTGTTGCCCATAGGAAATACCGGTAGCCCTCCGTAGCCGTAGTCCAGCGCTCTTGAAGAGCCTCGCGAGCGACAGCTTCTTCCGGGGTCACGAGTTGTTGAATGTATGTCCTGTACTTGGCCTCTTCTACTGCTTTCGCCGCCACGGCGGCTCCACCGCGTAGACGAGGCTGTGACGCTGTTTGTGCGGCATCCATAGCACGGAGATGTCGAAATTGAGTCTCGCTATCCTTAAGAGCACGCTTGGCACTAGCCTCTTGGTCTTCTTGCTGCCGGGCGGCCGCTTTCTCGTAGTTGCTGTATCGTAAAGGCGCCATCGTCAACGCCTCGGATTCGGCGTAGGGTCTTGGTTCTGCGCCTCTCTCGCTGGATACGGTCTTGCTGATGCTGTATAAACTGTGTATGAGCCGATTGTGTTAAAATCGCAAGATCAAGACAGGCTGACGCGTTATTAACGATCTCTCTCGTCGGGCTGCTTAGGATACCGAGTTTTTTCCGACTGGCTTCAAGATCACTCTTTACCTTACGTGGTGTCACCAAATTCCTCGCTAAAAGCTGTGGGAAAATAGGCTCCTGTCGGTCTTTAGAGGCAGCTCGTAATGGACCTAGCACCACTTCAGGATCAGGAGGCCATAGCCCGGACTGTTCAAAGCCCACAAAGATATAACAAGCCTTAAACGCGGCGCTGAATAGCTCATTCCATTGGCAGAGAAAGTCGAATCTCGAGATGCGTGTGCCGCCACCGATAACGAACTTCTTTAAGGCTCCTTGTTGTGCACGTTTGAGATGTTGATAGACGCCAACGTCAAGAGGTTGTAGGAGGTGGCTTGTATGCGATGGTAGCTTGAACGGTACGATCTCGAACATCTCGCAATACCAGATAAATTCAGGGTCCTCGTGTGCAGCAAATCCATCCATAACGAGCAGCCGGAAGACCGTCTTCGTCTTCTGAGTGTAGAATGTACGCCGTTCCCCATTGCTCTTATCCCAGCCTTCCCGTGTGATTGTAGCCGGGTAGCCGAACCAGTTCTCGATAGTATGGCCTTTAAAGGAGCTACTCCTAGCAAAGGAGTAGCGGTTGAAGTGCTGAAGCCACTGGAACGCCCGCTGGCTATTGTTATATCCTGTTGTTGTATATGTAACGACAACGTCGTCGCTAATTGTAGCCATCGTGTATTCTTCAAGGAGGGACTTTGCACTAAGGATAAGGAAAGAAGGAATGGCTTTCCCGGCGGCACTGATGGCATCCACTGATGTTAACGACTCCTTATTCCCAGGCTGGAAGAAGACGGGCCTTCTGCTCCTCTTCATCCGTAATGACACTAGCTTTAGGGGAGCCCTTCATCCACCCAAGCTGAAGAGGGGTTTCGTCGAAATTCCATAGATTTTCTGGCGTTATTCTGAGCTCCTTGATAACGGCCTGATATTCGTGGAACCAAGCCTCAAGCTCGTCAACCTCAAGCTCGGCGCCGGCGCGAGTGATCTCCTGGATCCTAGCCCTCCTGATGGCAAGCTCTGGATGCCGCCGTTTAAAGCGAGTAAGCCACGATCTCGACACCTGAGAAGTTAAGCCCTGACGGCGATGATGGCGGATAAAGTTGGCCTTATTGATGAGGCATGCCTCCGTGAGTGCGAAAGTGCCGCCTTCGACGAGTCTTGCGTATGAGTAGACTCTTCTCTTCAGCATCGGTAAGAGCAGTAGGGCGCCTCCTTTCCCCGCTTGGAAGAGCCAGATTGGCGCGAAGAAGCCTGATATACTTCTTTACGAGGCCTTCATTGGTCTTGTGTATCACTGCGAGCTCGTTGATTGTCAAGACGCGCGGAGGCGCGGGATTTGCGCGTGTTGTACGCGTTAGCGAGTCGCCGTCAAGATATTCTCGCGCCGCATTCGCCGCACGCAAGCTCTGATCAGGCTGAAAATTTGGCATCATGGAAATGAAGTATGGTTAACGATATTGCGAAAGTTTTGAGACTTGATAGCATCAATTGACGGCGTGGCGGTAGATTGAAGTTGCGATAGAGGAAACACGACCGTCAAAGAAACAAGTTTTGTGACCCCTCTCCGTAGGAGAGGGGGCCTGCGGACCTGCTAGTCAACCCCGAGTAGGCCTCCATTCCTGGCTTCGCCTGATGTGACCCGCGCATGATAAAGTTCGGACCGATTTATCGTGGCATGCGCACGTGCCAAGGCCTGACGATCAGGTTGGCAGGGGGACCGCAGTGTAGAAGCAGCTACTCGTGCCCGCCCCCACTTTATCGGGATTCGCTTTGGCTCAAAGAGATCTGTGCGAAACCACTGCACGTTGGAGAACCGCAGGGAAAGCGAAATCCGAGGATTGCGTCAGTTCCTCGTCGTAGATAGTTCTTCATCCTTCTTTACTCTGGGATAGGTGTGGCTCTTGCTTGCCATCATGGCAGAGCCTGAAGTGGCGGTCCTGGCGGACGTGGGGGCGGGGCTAGATCCAACTAGCCCGACGCCATCGACGCGTCCGACGCGAGGGATGACGCCCAGCGGACGCGTGCAAGATACGTTGCGATCACTGGAAAATGCATCCGCAAGGGCTCCGAAGCGAGTCACGGCCCGAACGACGCGGGTCTCATCGGTCGGCAATGAAGGCGAAAGAGTTGACGAGGTGAAGTCACGCAGCAGTGTGGAGACCGCCAAATCGATGATGCAGAGGGTTCTAGAGATGCTGGCGAAGATGGGGAACGAGATGGTGGACCTGAAACATAGAGTATCCGAGCAAAGCGACACGATCAGGAAGCTGAGCGCCACGGTTTACAAGCAAAGCACCATCATTCAAGGACAGGAAGATCTGATCCGAGGCTTGGAGGTCCAAGTCCAGGAATCCAAGGAAGAGTTTCGACGCAAGAGCGATGAGCACGACGCGGAATTAAAACGGGGACACCAGGATCTTCAGAGAGAAGTCGCCGCTTTAAAGAGCAATTGGCCCAGCTTACGCAGAAGCTGAATGCTTCGGGTGAGGTGACTCTGTCAAGCGGCGCTCGAGCAACGTTTGCCGATATTGCGCGCACACTGCCAGCGAGCCCGCCGACGAGTCTATCCAGCGTAGCTGTCCCAAGAAAGCAGCAGACAGCCAGCGATCCTCTCCATTGTACCATCGACACATCTCGCGTCAGCGAGTCGAACAAGAACAAAGCGCAAATCGGATCAATTCGCCAGGCCATCGAGACTGAGATGAGAGCGATGAACGGACAAGAGACCTGGAGGTGCGCAGCAGTCGTGAGAGAGTCCCGGAATGCCGACCGAGTCAAGATCGTCTGCAGAGACGAAGCCGAGCTTCAGATGGTCAAAGAGGCTGCGCAGAAGACAGCCGTGGAAGGTTCACGAGTTATGCGAGACCAGCTGTACCCGGTCCGAGTCGACAACGCCAACCGCACAGCAATCCTTGACGCGGAAGGCAACGTTCTGCCTGGAGCGATCGAGGCCTTGAGTGCCGAAAACAGAGTGACCATTGGCAAGATTTCCTGGTTGAGCAAACGAGAGTCTGGCAAAGCGTACGGGTCCATGGTGGTGTATGTCACCAAGAAAAGCGACGCAGAAAGGCTTCTAGAAGGGCACTACTTTGACCTAGCGGGAGAGTCAGCCACCACCTATGTATTCGAGCCAAGAACGGGACCAATCCAATGCTTCAACTGCCAGGAGATCGGTCACAAAGCATATGCATGCAAGAAGCAGCGGACATGCGGCAAGTGCGCAAAGGTTGGGCATCACCACAGAGAGTGCACAGCAATTGAGCCAAAATGCGTCCCGTGTGGCGGACCGCACGAGTCGTTCAGCTGGAAGTGTAGGATGAGGAACCCGAACAGTGATGCTTGAGTCCCTCCGCATCCTACAGCTGAATGCGCACAAGAGTGATGTGGTGCAGCAAAGCCTGATGAACGACGCAGGCCTCAAGGACTTTGCTGTGCTGGCTCTTTCTGAGCCGTATGCGCGTGTTATCGACGGAGAGGTGGTGACGAGCCTATGGGACACCATAACTGGACAAAGATGATACCGACGTGTGCTCGTGACGGCCTGTGGCCGATCCGTAGCATGCTTTGGATCCGAAGTGACCTTGAGGCGGAGCAAGTGCCTGTGCCGTCGGCCGATCTCACAGCAGTGGTGCTCCGACTCGAGGGGAGGGAAGTGATGGTGGTATCAGTGTACGTGCAAGGAAAGAACGACGAGGCGCTGACGAGCGCGATGGAGCTGCTGCGCGACCTGATCGATCGCTTCCGTGATGGGACAGGAAACCGCACAGATGTGGTTCTGGCGGGAGACTTCAACCGCCACGATCTCCTCTGGGGCGGAGATGAAGTGTCAGCGAGCAGACAGGGGGAGGGCCAGCCCATCATCGACCTGATGAACGACTTTGGTCTCAGCAGCCTCCTGCCGAGAGGGACGAAAACGTGGCAAAGGGCGGACGAGGAGAGCACCATCGACTTGGTGCTGGCATCGGCAGAACTGGCAGACGAGGTGATATCCTGCATGACTCACCCGACAGATCACGGGTCAGACCACAGAGCGATCCAGACGGCCTTCGACATTCAAGTACCGGAGAGAACGTTTCCACAGCGCCTGATGCTCAAGAACGCGCCGTGGATCGCCATCGCAACCAGGGTCGAGGACGAGCTTCGGCCTCTTCCGTGGAGTGTGGGGTACAGACGCAGGCGGATCAGCTCATGAGGGTGGTCACCAAGGTGCTTCATGATCTGACACCTCGGGCACAGCCGCCGCCATACGCGAAGCGATGGTGGACAAAGGACCTGACGCGACTGCGGCAAACGTACACGTATTGGCGCAATCAAGCAAGGGCGCAGCGAAGAGCCGGTCAACCGCAGCCGGATCTGGAGCAACGCGCCAAGGACGCTGCCAAGGAGTACCACGACAACGTGCGGAAACAGAAGAAGTCCCATTGGGACGACTTCGTCACCGACGAGAACAACATCTGGAAAGTGGTCAAGTATCTGAAACCCGGCGTGAATGTGTTCGATGACAAGGTGCCGCCGTTGAGGAGAGCCGACGGCTCGATCACCAAAGGCAAGGAGAGCAAGGTGAGGAGCTCCTGAGCACCTTCTTCCCGCCTCTGCCAACCATGATCGAACCGGAGGTGAGCGTCCGCAAAGAGAAGCGATAACCATGCCCGACCTCACCTTGCAAGAGATTGAGGAAAAGGTGATGGCGGCCAAGTCTTGGAAAGCGCCGGGGGAGGACGGCCTCCCTGTGATTGTGTGGAAGAAGCTCTGGCACGTGGTCAAGCATCGGGTGTGGACGCTCTTCGACTCATCGCTTCGAGAGGGCGTGGTGCCCCATCAATGGCGGACGGCCAAGATCATCCCGCTGAAGAAGCCGGGTAAGGACGATTACACTCTGGCCAAGGCGTGGCGACCGATCTCACTGCTGTCAACCCTTGGCAAGATCCTCGAAGCAGTCGTTGCAGAACGCATCAGCTATGCAGTCGAAGCTCATGGGCTGTTGCCCGCGAACCACTTTGGTGCACGGAAACGCAGGTCGGCAGACCAAGCACTCGTGCTTCTGCAGGAGCGGATATATAAGGCTTGGAGAATGGGCAGGGTTTTGAGTCTCGTCAGCTTCGACGTCAAAGGGGCGTACAATGGAGTTTGCAAAGAGCGGCTGCTTGAGAGGATGAAAGCTCGAGGCATCCCGAGTCGCCTGGTCAAGTGGGTAGACGCATTCTGCTCGGAACGGACCGCATCGGTGGTTGTCAACGGGCACACATCCGAGCAGCAAGCCCTGGCGCAGGCCGGCTTACCCCAAGGATCTCCACTATCACCGGTGGCATTTCTGTTCTTCAATGCGGACCTGGTGCAGAGGCGAATCAGTAACAGCAGCGGCTCCATCGCCTTCGTGGACGACTACTCTGCCTGGGTCACTGGACCAACGGCCGAGTCGAACAGAGATGGTATTCAGTCGATTATCGATGATGCGCTCGAGTGGGAGAAGCGCAGCGGCGCCACGTTTGAAGTGGACAAGACGTCCGTCATTCACTTCACACGCATCGCAGAACGCGACAGCGACTCGCCTTTCACCATCAGAGGAATGATGTCAAGCCGAAGGACAATGTGAAGCTGCTGGGAGTCATCATGGATCAAGCACTTCGCTTCAAGGAGCATATCGCCGGAGTAGCCGCCAAGGGGCTGACCGCTGCCATGTGCCTGAAACGACTGAAGATGGCCTCACCACGAACGGCAAGGCAACTGTTCACTGCGACCGTAGCGCCGACCATGGATTATGCCTCCAACGTTTGGTCGCATGCATGCAAGGCGAAAGAAGCAACGTGGATCGAGAGGGCCCAGCGAGTCGGAGCCCAGGCGATCACGGGAGGGTTCCGTACGGTCGCGACGGCTGTGGCCGAGGCCGAGGCCAGCGTGCAATCATTTCGAGAACGCCATGCTCAAGCGGCGTCGAGATTCTGGATCAGAACGCAGACGCTGCCGAGGACGCATCCCCTGACATCCTTGAAGCTGAAGCTGAACAGAAGGTATGCCTCGCCAATGCAGAAGCTTGCCTCGGCGATGGAAAGACTAGATACCAAACGCCTGGAAACCATCCACGAGTTCGCACTGGCGCCGTGGGACGACCGAGTGCAGGTAACATATGAGACGAACCGAGTGGAGGTGCTGAAGTCGGATGACCCGGAGGACATCACTATCGCGACATCCAGCTCTCAAAGGAAAGGCAAGGTCGGGTTGGGGGGCGTCGTTCGAGACGCTCTCCTCAACAGCGCAGACGAGGTGCTGGCCAGCTATTCCGTCACTCTCGGCTCCAGTGATGAGCAGAATGCCTACACAGCAGGACTCGAGGCAATCGCCACGGCCCTGAGGTGTGTTCCCCTAGGCCTTCGTGACCGAGACCTCACAGTTGTGACAAGCAACCGCTCTGTCCTGCAAGTCATCGGGCGGCCACGGCAGCAGTCTGGCCAGTGCACGATACGGGCGATATACGGATCTGTTGAGTTTCTGGCGAGAAGAGGCTGTAGAGTCAGACTTCGTTGGGTGCCTGCAAAGAATGAGGAGTTCACTCTCGGGCCACTGGCCAAAAGGCAAGCGAAAAGGGCGACGGGAGATGAATGCGTCGCCGAACCAGCAACGTTCCAAGCAAGATCAACCACGTTACGTTTGCTGCTCAACGGACACACTCGAGTCCGTCAGATTCCAGAAGGAGTTGGAAACTACTCGAAGCGCATCGATAAGGCTTTGCCGGGCAAGCACACCCGCAAGCTGTACGACGAGCTGAAAAGAAAGGAATCGGAAGTGTTGGTACAGCTTCGAACTGGCAAATCGCGGCTGAATAGCTATCTTTGCAAAATCGGGGCAGTAGAATCGGATGGATGCACGTGTGGACAGTCGGCGGAAACGGTGGAACATTTCCTCTTTCGATGCAGAAAATGGACGGTACAACGAGAAATCATGAGTCGATATGCAGGCGGGAAGATGGGAGACTTGTCCTTCTTCCTAGGTGGCAAGGCAGAGTCAGACGACGACAAGTGGCAGCCTGATATGGGGGCTGTGCGGGCGACAATACAGTTCGCATTGGCAACGAAACGTTTTAGCATGGACCGGCAACGGGCCATGTGCTGATCAAGGGACAATCGTACTAACACAACAGCCTTCAACTTGGCAGACCGCGCTTCAGTCGCTGAAGGTAGGACGCTGAACACTTGGAGAAACTGACCTTCAAGCAGGCCTGTCATGTCATAGCGAACGAGGCTGGAAACAGATGAAAAGAAGCGTGGGGCTTTGGGTGAGATGGAACAATGTACAGAAGGTAGACAGGCTAGCGTAGTGGCTCTATGGGGGAACCCTCCGGGCGTAATACAACCAAAAAAAAAAAAAAAAAAAAAGAGATCTGTGCAGGAGAAAGACCTCCTAAGGAAAAAAGTTCGGATCGGCTCTCGAACTGTAGATAGTTATATTTCTCTTTACTCTTTACTCTTGGGTTGGTGTTGATGTCGCGTGCCACCATGGCAATGCTAGAGGTGGTGCCCTGGCGGATGTGAGGGCGGGTCCAGATCCAGCTAGCCCGTCGCCATCGACGCGTCCGACGCGAGGATGACGCCCAGCGGACGAGTGCAAGATACGTTGCAATCACTGGAAAATGCGTCCGCAAGGGCTTCGAAGCGAATCACGACGCGAACGACGCGAGTCACGTCAGTGGGCAATGATGGCGAAAGAAGCGACGAAGTGAAGTCACGCAGCAATGTGGAGACCGCCAAATCGATGATGCAGAGAGTCCTGGAGACGCTGGGGAAGATGGGCAGTGAAATGGTGGAGCTGAAACATCGGGTATCCGAGCAAAACGACATGATCAGGAAGTTGAACGCCACTGTCTACAAGCAAAGCACCATCATTCAAGGACAGGAAGATCTCATCCGAGGCTTGGAGGTCCAAGTCCAGGAATCCAAGGAAGAGTTTCAACGCAAGAGCGATGAGCACGACGCGGAATTAAAACGGGGACATCGGGATCTTCAGAGAGAGGTTGCCGCTGTGAAAGAGCAATTGGCCCAGCTCACGCAGAACCTGAATGCTTCGGGGGAGGTGACTCTGTCGAGCGGCACTCGAGCAACGTTTGCCGACATTGCGCGTACACTGCCAGCGAGCCCGCCGACCAGTCTATCCAGCGTAGCTGTCCCAAGAAAGCAGCAGACAGCCAGCGATCCTCTCCACTGTACCATCGACACATCTCGCGTCAGCGAGTCGAAGAAGAACAACGCGCAAATCGGATCAATTCGCCAGGCCATCGAGACTGAGATGAGAGCGATGAACGGACAAGAGACCTGGAGGTGCGCAGCAGTCGTGAGAGTCCCGGAATGCCGACCGAGTCAAGATCGTCTGCAGAGACGAAGCCGAGCTTCAGATGGTCAAAGAGGCTGCGCAGAAGACAGCCGTGGAAGGTTCGCGAGTTATGCGAGACCAGCTGTATCCGGTCCGAGTCGACAACGCCAACCGCACAGCAATCCTTGACGCGGAAGGCAACGTTCTGCCTGGAGCGATCGAGGCCTTGAGTGCCGAAAACAGAGTGACCATTGGCAAGATTTCCTGGTTGAGCAAACGAGAGTCTGGCAAAGCGTACGGATCCATGGTGGTGTATGTCACCAAGAAACGCGACGCAGAAAGGCTTCTGGAAGGGTACTACTTTGACCTAGCGGGAGAGTCAGCCACCACCTATGTATTCGAGCCAAGAACAGGACCAATCCAATGCTTCAACTGCCAGGAGATCGGTCACAAAGCATATTCATGCAAGAAACAGCGGACATGCGGCAAGTGCGCAAACGTTGGGCATCACCACCGGGAATGCACCGCGATTGAACCAAAATGTGTCCCGTGTGGCGGACCGCACGAGTCATTCAGCTGGAAGTGCAGGATGAGGAATCCGAGCAGTGATGCTTGAGTCCCTCCGCATCCTACAGCTGAATGCACACAAGAGTGATGTGGTGCAGCAGAGTCTGATGAACGACGAAGACCTAAAGGATTTTGCCGCACTGGCTATATCTGAGCCACATGCGCGCAATATCGACGGAAAGGTGGTGACGAGTCCTACGGGACACCATAACTGGACAAAGATGATACCGACGTGTGTTCGTGATGGCCTATGGCCGATTCGCAGCATGCTCTGGATCCGAAGTGACCTTGAGGCGGAGCAAGTGCCTGTGCCGTCGGCCGATCTCACAGCGCGGTACTCCGACTTGAGGAAGGGAGGTGATGGTGGTGTCAGTGTATGTGCAAAGAACGACGAGGCGCTGACGAACGCGATAGAACTATTGCGCGACGTGATCGATCGCTTCCGCAATGGGACAGGGAGACGTACCGATGTGGTTTTGGCGGGGGACTTCAACCGCCACGACCTCCTCTGGGGCGGAGATGAAGTGTCAGCGAGCAGACAAGGGGAGGGCCAGCCCATCATTGACCTGATGGACGACTTTGGTCTTAGCAGCCTTCTCCCGAGAGGAACGAAAACGTGGCAAAGGTCGGACGAGGAGAGCACCATCGACTTGGTGCTGGCATCGGCGGAACTGGCGGACGAGTTGACATCCTGCGTGATTCATCCAACAGAGCACGGATCAGACCATAGAGCGATCCAGACGACCTTCGACATTCGAGTGCCGGAGCGTACCTTTCCGCAGCGCCTGATGCTCAAGAACGCGCCGTGGATCGCCATCGCAACCAGGGTCGAGGACGAGCTTCGGCCTCTTCCGTGGACTGTGGGGGTGCAGACGCAGGCGGATCAGCTCATGCGGGTGGTCACCAAGGCGCTTCGAGATCTGACTCCTCGAGCCCAGCCGCCGCCATACGCGAAGCGATGGTGGACAAAGGACCTGACGCGACTCCGTCGGACGTACACGTATTGGCGCAATCAAGCAAGGGCGCAGCGAAGAGCCGGTCAATCGCGTCCGGATCTGGAGCAGCGCGCCAAGGAGGCTGCGAAGGAGTACCACGACAATTTGCGGAGACAAAAGAAGGCCCATTGGGATGACTTCGTCATCGAAGGAGCAACATCTGGAGGGCTGCCAAGTATCTGAAGCCTGGTACGGAGATGACGGATGACAAGGTGCCCCGCTGAAGAGAGCCGACGGTTCGATCACCGAAAGCAAGGGCGAGCAAGCCGAGGAACTCCTGAGCACCTTCTTTCCGCCTCTGCCAACGAGGATCGAGCCGGAGGTGAACGTCCGCAGAGAGAAATAGCCATGCCAGACCTCACCTTGCAAGAGATTGAGGAGAAGGTGATGGCGGCGAAGCCCTGGAAAGCGCCTGGTGAGGATGGCCTTCCTGCGATCGTGTGGAAGAAGCTCTGGCACGTGGTCAAGCACCGGGTGTGGACGCTCTTCAGCTCATCGCTCCGAGAGGGCGTCGTGCCTCATCAATGGCGAACGGCCAAGATCATCCCTCTGAAAACCAGATAAAGGAGACTACACCCTGGCCAAGGCGTGGCGACCGATTTCTCTCCTGTCGACGCTTGGCAAGATTCTGGAGGCAGTCGTCGCGGAACGTATCAGCTATGCAGTCGAGGCTCAAGGGCTTTTGCCCGCGAACCACTTTGGTGCACGGAAGCGCAGGTCCGCAGATCAAGCACTCGTGCTTCTGCAGGAGCGAATCTACAAGGCCTGGAGAACGGGCAGAGTGCTCAGCCTCATCAGCTTTGACGTCAAAGGCGCATACAACGGAGTGTGCAAAGAGCGAATGCTCGAAAGGATGAAAGCCCGAGGCATCCCGAGTCGACTGGTCAATTGGATAGACGCATTCTGCTCGGGACGGACCGCGTCGGTGGTTGTCAACGGGCACACATCCGAGCAACAAACCCTGCCGCAGGCCGGCCTACCCAGGATCTCCTCTGTCGCCAGTGGCTTTTCTTTTCTTCAACGCAGACCTGGTGCAAAGACGGATCAGTAATAACGGTGGCTCCATCGCCTTCGTGGACGATTACTCTGCCTGGGTCACGGGGCCAACGGCAGAGTCAAACAGAGATGGTATCCAGTCGATTATCGATGATGCGCTTGATTGGGAGAAGCGCAGCGGCGCCACATTTGAAGCAGAGAAGACATCCTTCATCCACTTCACACGCATCGCGGAGCGTGACAGCGACCTGCCTCTCATCATCAAAGGAAACGATGTCAAGCCGAAGAGCAACGTGAAGCTGTTGGGAGTCATCATGGACAAAGCGCTTCGCTTCAAGGAACACATCGCCAGAGCGGCCGCCAGGGCTGGCCGCGGCCATGTTTGAAACGACTGAAGATGGCTTCGCCACGGATGGCGAGGCAACTGTTCGTCGCGACCGTGGCGCCAGCCATGGACTATGCCTCAAACGTGTGGTCGCACGCGTGCGGGTGAAAGAAGCGGTGTGGATTGGCAGGGCCCAGCGAATCGGAGCCCAGGCTGTCACGGGAGGCTTCCGCACGGTGGCAACGGCAGTGGCCGAGGCCGAGGCCGGCGTGCAATCGTTCCGAGAACGGCATGCTCAAGCGGCAGCGAAATTCTGGATAAGGATGCGGACGCTCCCGAAGACGCATCCTCTGACATCGTTGAGGCTCAAACTGAACAGGAGGTATGCGTCGCCAATGCAGAAGCTCGCCTCGGCGATGGGAAGAATAGATACCAAGCGCCTGGAAGTCATCCACGAGTTCGCACTGGCGCCGTGGGACGAACGAGTGCAGGCAACGGATGAGACAGACCGAGTGGAGGTGCTGAAGTCGGATGACCCGGAGGACATCACTATTGCGACGTCCAGCTCGCAAAGGAAAGGCAAGGTCGGGTTGGGAGGCGTCGTTCGGGATGCTTCCCGCGACAGCGTAGACGAAGTGCTGGCCAGCTACTCCGTCACTCTCGGCTCCAGTGATGAGCAGAATGCCTACACAGCAGGACTCGAGGCAATCGCCACGGCTCTGAGGTGTGTACCTCTCGGTCTTCATGACCGAGATCTCACGGTTGTGACGAGCAACCGCTCTGTCCTGCAAGTCATCGGGCGGCCACGGCAACAGTCTGGTCAGTGCACGATACGGGCGATATACGGATCTGTTGAGTATCTGGCGAAAAGAGGCTGCAGAGTAGACTTCGTTGGGTGCCTGCAAAGAATGAGGAGTTCACCCTTGGGCCACTGGCCAAAATGCAAGCGAAAGAGCGACGCGAGACGAGTGCATCGCCGAACCAGCAACGTTTCAAGCAAGATCAACGACGTTACGACTGCTGCTCAACGAAAACGCTCGCGTTCGTCAGATCCCGGAAGGGGTTGGAAAGCACTCAAAGCGCATCGATAAGGCATTGCCGGGCAAGCACACCCGCAAGTTGTACGACGAGCTAACAAGAAAGGAATCCGAAGTGTTGATACAACTTCGAACTGGCAAATCGCGGCTGAATAGCTACCTCTGCAAAATCGGGGCGGTGGAATCGGATGAGTGCACTTGTGGGCAGTCTGCAGAAACAGTGGAGCATTTCCTCTTTCGATGCAGAAGATGGACGGTACAACGAGAGACCATGCTGCGATATGCGCGCGGAAAGGTGGGAGACTTGTCTTTCTTCCTAGGAGGCAAGGCAGAGTCAGACGACGACAAGTGGCAACCTGATATTGGGGCTGTGCGTGCGACGATACAGTTCGCATTGGCGACAAAACGCTTCAGTATGGACCGTTAACGGGCCATGTACTGATCAAGAACAACCATACTAACACAACAGCCTTCAACGGCAGACCGCGCTTCAGTCGCTGAAGGTAGGACGCTGAACACTTGGAGAAACTGACCTTCAAGCAGGCCTGTCATGTCACAGCGAACGAGGCTGGAAACAGATGGAAAGAAGCGTTGGGCTTTAGGTGAGGAGAAACCATGTATAGTAGGTACGTAGCTTAGCGTAGTGGCTCTATGGGGGAACCCTCCGGGCGCAATACAAAATAATAATAAAAAAAGAGATCTGTGCATGCATGCATTGAGACCTACCAACAAATAATAATAATACTCGGTCCGTGAAGCGAACGCCAGCTAGGCATTGAGGGGCCTCATCATGGAGACGCCGGCTGAGGCCGTGATCATGGTGGGGCGAAGCGCGTCGCCTGCGTCGACACCCGCGAAAAGATCGACACGCGTCGTGAGGCCAAGCACCAAAATTCGAGAAGCCGCGCGACAGCCCGACGATCTGGTGGAGAAGACAACACGCACAACTAGGCTTGCAACGCGCATTGCCTCGGATGATGTCGCCATCAGTGACGCGACTGAGCGGCGCAAAGTTGCCAGCAGCAGCAGTGGCGCGAACGAAGGCCGAGCCATGCTCCAGAAAGTTCTCGAACTCTTGAGCGAGTCACGTCAAGAAACGCAAAAGCTCAGCCGGGCGATAGATGCGCAAAACGAGATCATATCAAGCAACAGCAGATGATCCAGGAAATGGATCAACAAGGGAAAGAGATGAGAGATGAGCTTCGTCACATCCGAGCGCAGTTAGAGACCCTGGCTACGCCCGCATCTTCTCTGCAGAGCAGTCCGCAGATGTCGTATGCGAGCGCTGCAGGGCCATCGCCGACGATCCAGACAATGAACCGGGGCACCGTACCAGCAGCTAAATCGGCACGAACAGCCGTCAGCGATAGTCTCTACTGTACGGTGGACACATCACGAGTCGAAGAAGCGAACAGGTGCCAGACGCAGATCGGCAACATCCGAAAAGCCATAGAGAGCGACATGAGAAAGAGTCAGAGGCAGGAGACTTGGAAATGCGCAGCGGTCGTGACAGACGCTCGAAACCCCGACCGGATCAAAATTTTATGCAGAGACCAAACCGAGTTGAAGCAGGTCAAGGAAGCAGCGCAGAAGACGGTAACTTCGGGAGCCAGGGTACTGAGAGATCAGCTTTACCCTGTCAAAGTCGACAACACCAAGCGTACCGCAGTGCTGGACGCCGAAGGCAACGTTCTGCCGGGCGCAGCTGAGGCGCTCGGAGCCGAGAATTACGTCACGATTGCCAAGATCACCTGGCTTAGCAACAGAGAAAGCCAAAGCGTACGGGTCAATGGTGATCTATGTCACTAAAGAGACGCGCAAAGACTTCTGGACGGCGTGTGGTTCGATGTTGCGGGAGAGTCCGCCTGCACCAATGTTTTTGAACGCCGCGTAGGACCGATTCAGTGCTTCAACTGTCAAGAGATGGGACACAAGGCGTTTTCATGCAAGAAGCCGCAAAGATGTGGCAGATGCGCGAAAGCAGAACATCACCACAGAGAATGCAAGGAGACAGTGCCAAAGTGCGTGCCCTGCGGTGGACCACACGAATCGTACAGCCGGAACTGTCGGGCGCGGAACCCTGGGGATGAGACGCAGGCAGCGTCTGGCCCTTCGGGCTAAGCAGCGGAAACCGCGCTTCAGCTGCTGAAGGTAGGACGCTGAACACTTGGAGAAATTGGCCTTCAAGCAGGCCTGTCACGGAGCGAGTAGCGGCGAGGTTGGTGTAGCGTATGCTGACCCGTGGGGCTTAAGGTGTTACGCATTAATGTATTGAAATGTCAGTAGCTTTTACGTCTAGGCCCTATAGGAGAAATCCTCCGGGTGAAATACACATACATACAAGAGACACACACAGGCAGCGAAATTCTGGATAAGGATGCGGACGCTCCCGAAGACGCATCCTCTGACATCGTTGAGGCTCAAGCTGAACAGGAGGTATGCGTCGCCAATGCAGAAGCTCGCCTCGGCGATGGGAAGACTAGATACCAAACGCCTGGAAGTCATCCACGAGTTCGCACTGGCGCCGTGGGACGAACGAGTGCAGGCAACGTACGAGGCAGACCGAGCGGAGGTGCTGAAGTCGGATGACCCGGAGGACATCACTATCGCGACGTCCAGCTCGCAAAGGAAAGGCAAGGTCGGGTTGGGAGGCGTCGTTCGGGATGCTTCCCGTGACAGCGCAGACGAGGTGCTGGCCAGCTACTCCGTCACCCTTGGCTCCAGTGATGAGCAGAATACCTACACAGCAGGACTCAAGGCAATCGCCATGGCCCTGAGGTGTGTACCTCTAGGCCTTCATGACCGACAGCTCACAGTTGTGACAAGCAACCGATTGTCATGTCCCCGACAATAGCTGCCATGCGCCTATATTGCGACCCCAGATTCGGGCTGCCCGCATCACCTGGCTGGATAATATGAGACCACGTCTTGAGCGAAGGAATGCCGATAGACTGCATGTTCGGGTACAAGTACATCAGCTCTTTCAGCAGCTGGTCGACGTTCTCTGCCGTGTTGTTCGATATGAGCTGCGCCCTGAGGGCTTCTCGCACGTCTTCATCCGAGTTTGTCGAATCGGTCACGAAACCACCACCCTCATCAGTGGTGACACCGACCAGCAGTGGAACCTTGACGAAGTTGCCCTTGCGTAGCTGGTTTGTGGGATAGTCGTGCAGGAAGTTAGGCAGGACTTCCTCAAGGCCCTCGAGGATTGGGATGTCACATGGGCCTCGAACGTACGGTCTGATGACTTGTTGCTTCAACGCCTAAATGCCCCTGAAACGCCGCTCCGAACAGTTATTGCAGACTTCAAAAGGGAGGTTGGGATCAGGAAAAAGGGGAAGCCAACAAAGACCGTCAATCAAGCAGGCCAAACGCCTACAACAACAACAGGGGCCGGGACCACCCGGAAAAAGTGTCCAGCCTGTGGAAGCCACGTCGTCAAGAAAGATGACTGGTGGGTCAATTGCTGGACCTTCAGGGTGATGTTCAACAAGGACCCCTGAGGGCTGGAATCAACCCAAGATCAGAAGGCTCGTATCACTAAGCGCTTCAAAGAGAATCCTCACGAGAAGGAAAAGGCTCTGGCATGGAAGCCACAGATAAAGAGGGATCCGACAACAATATCACGATCCCAAACAACAACGGCAGTGGCAACGCTGGGGGCAAGGTTCATACAGTCTCCCGGGTTCACCACATGCAACAGAACTGCGAGCCCCTCGTTGATAAAGTTATCTACGATTCAGGGGCAAGCGTTCATGTCTTCAATGACCTAAGGTGGTTCAAGGAGGAGTCCTTCACCTGGGGATCAACTGAGGAAGTCAGAGCTGGGAAAATTCCTCCAAGTTCAGGGGTGGGCTCGGCAGTGATTATGCTAGACCAAGGGTTAAATTACACCTTGACAATAGCTATTACATCCCGAGATGCCCACAAGCGTGTTTTCGGCACGACAAGGGATTCAGGCCAAGGTCTATTGGAACCAAATCAACGGCACGCTCTATTACGAGCCTACGGGCCGTCAGCTTACGCAACTGGAAGATTTCGAGGGCCAATACGTCATCGCGAGCCTTGGAAAGGATCGCAATAGTGTTTTCCTTACAAGCCGGAAACCAAGGCCCCGAATGGAGGGCCCGGGTGACTTGTGGCATCGACGCCTTGGGCACCCTGGTCCAGGGGCCCTTGAGAAGCTCTCGATTCAATGCCTTGGCACAAGATTGAGTGGACCATCTGGATGCGAGTGCGAAGTCTGTGCAACAGGCAAGGCTCGCAGGAAGTCTCGCGAGCAGAGCCCACTTTCCGGCCACAAGGGCAGGGGTCCAATTCAGCTTTGACCTACACCCAGGGCCAGTTCCCGGCTACAGCGGCTTCAAGCACTTTGCCCTCTTTACCTGCATGACAACGGGCATGCGCTTCTATTACCTGGTCAAGGATAAAACAGGGGTCCGATCAGCCCTCAAGAAGCTGATTAGGATGATGAAGGCACGCTATGGGATAGAAATGATCATCCTAGTTAGTGACGGGAGAAGGCCCTGATAACGAACGACATGATCGAGTATGTTGAAGCGCTTGGCGCACAGGTCTTTGTGTCAGCCCCATCAACGCCCACACAGAACGGTCATGCCGAAAGGTCAGGGGCTGTGGTCAAAGAGAAAGGAAGGGTTATGATGCTTGATGCAAACCTTCCTGAGAAGCTTTGGCCAGAAACTTACAAAACAGCGGTTTATCTGCTAAATAGAACCCCTTTCGAAGGCAAGGATAACTCATGGAGAAGCCCTTTCGAGCGTTGGTGGACCTACATGAAGGAATACAACCCCTATACGCACACATCAAGGAAATTCGCCTGATATCTCACACCTTCGAGTCTTCGGCTGTGTGGCCTATCCTATGACGATAGAGGCGCTAGAACATGTGAAGTCCCACAAGAGCCAGCCGGCCATGCAACAGAGGGCACATATCGGCTACCTTGTGGGCTACAAGTCAAGCCAACAATACATCGTGTGGATGCCTTCGATTGGGCAAACGAAGCTGCTAGTCTCTGCGAACGTTCGCTTTGACGAGTCGGCGATGTATGACCCGGCTAGGGAAGAAACAGCTGAAGCCGCCTGTGTGTACACATACGATGTGTTGCGCCAAATGGCCGCTGTGGACGTCCCTGACGATGAGGACCCTGACGAAGTCGAGCTATATGGGCACTCTGATGAAGAGGAAAGCCATGAGGCAAGGCCAGCCACGCCAGGACCATCAGCAGAACCCTCCGCAACGACCAGGCAGGGCAAAGAGGTCAGGTTTACCCAAGAACCCTATGTCTCACCTCCCCGCACGGAAGGGAGCGCCGCGGTATCATCCCCGCCACCACAGGGTGTAAGCCCTAATGCCCACTTGCAGCCAGTCCCGTACCACGGTTGGGAGAACAGGCAGCCGAATTCACCCACTTCTAGCTCTCCAACCAGACAGCCCGACGAGGAACCCGTCATCACGCTGGGAACGCCCCTTCGCGACGAATCGAATGAGCCCCTCGCCGACCTGGGGGGTGACCGGGTTACAGAGCTATCAGACTCAGAGCCAGAGGGTGAGCCCGTCGGGGGTGGTCATAGATCCATAACACAAGATGCGGAGTTAGCCTTGGAACCCGAGCCAGAGCCCGAGCCACGGAGAGCTCGGAAGGCTAGGGACACGTCTCAGGGGGTGGACTCAAGCAATATGCTCACAGGAAAAAGAGAGCGCCGCGCGAAGAAGCCCTTCATCAACAATGTCATTGCCAATGCCTCAAAGCACAGGCTCCACATAGAGGATATGCCACCAGTGCCAAATTCCTACAAGGAAGCGATGGCCTCGGCATATGCCCCTGAGTGGATGGAAGGAATGACTGCGGAAATCAGGGATCAAGAGAAGCTCTGCACATGGGTCAAATTCCTCAAGAAAGACGCGGCAGACCAGTTCCTTATCCCCATGCGTTGGGTCTTTGCCTACAAGCTTGATCCACAAGGATATGTGATACGCTTCAAAGCCCGGCTTGTGGTCCGTGGAGATCAGCAGCCAGAAGACGATGAAGATACATACGCTGCAACCCTCCGGGCACGAACGTTCCGCCTTATGATGGCGCTCTGCTGCCTTGAGGACCTTGAGACCGAGCAATACGATGTGAAAACCGCATTCCTTTACAATAGGCTTCGACAAGCAGTCTTTTGCCAGCTCCACCGGGCTTCAATGAGCCGGGGCTATGCCTAAAGCTTCTGAAAGGCATCTACGGGCTACGAATAGCTCCGAAACTATGGTATGAAGAGCTCACGGGATTCTTCAAGAGCCTTGGAGCACAACAGCTCGTGGAAGACGCCTGTGTTATGGTGTATAAAGGGATTATCATCTTCTTCTTCGTGGATGACATCGTCATGATGTATCCTTCTAGTCACAAGGCTAGCTGGGAACACGTTCACAATGCACTGATGGAAAAATACACTATTAACCACATGGGTGAATTACGCTGGTTCCTAGGGATCGAGGTCATCAGGGATAGGGCCCAAAAGAAGCTGTGGCTTTCACAGGCTTCCTACCTCTCTAAGATGGCTCAGAAATTCCACATTAACGATGACAATAACGTTATAGGGATACCCGTCATTCCCGTCACAACAGACGAATTGAGGCCCTACGAGAAAAAGGCTAGAAAGGAAGAAGTACACAAATTCCTATCGATCGTCGGCTCAATCCTACACCCAGCTATACACACACGACCTGACGTGGCTTTCCCAGTCGGAAAGCTGGCCCAATTTGGCTACAACCCGGGACCAAGGCATCAACGTGAGGCTCGAAGGTGCCTCGCATACCTCTATCACACGAGGGATCGATGCCTCTGCTTTACAGCTACCGAATCTACTCGCCGATTCGTCTGTGCCTCGGATTCTTCCTTTGCAGACGACCCAGAAACGAGGAAGTCATCACAGGGCTATGTGTTCCTATTCCTCGGGGCCCCTATTGACTGGAAGGCCACGAAGCAAGCTACAGTCACCACATCGTCCACGGAAGCAGAGCTCCTAGCCCTGACAAGTACGGCTAAGGAACAAATGCAATTTGGTCGCCTTATTGACGAGCTAGGCATCCAAGTGGAAGGACCGACGAGCTATGGTGTGACAACCTCCAGACCATCAGGCTACTCACGGAATTGAGTGCTAGGCTCAAAACAAGCCTCAAGCACGTTGACATCCACAGGCACTGGCTCCGTCAGGCGGTCCAGGAAGAAAGGCTCCGTGTCAAATGGATCAAGTCAAGCGAGAACCCGGCTGACGGAATGACGAAGGCCCTACCCCGACAGAAACACGATGCCTTCGTCCGCCAACTCGGAATGCAAGAGCGACCGACTCCCTCAGGGGGTGACATAGGGGCACTCTTGCCGGGGGATGACTAGGTGTGCAGAAAGCCTAGGAGTTCCACAACACTAAAGAATATGATCTCACGAGTCATCATTACTTTATGGTCTCAACACCATACAAACAGCATTATCACGGCTTTCCAACATAACGAATAGCCTCACTTGTTTATCTGCCGCTACTCGTCCCACATACCCACGTAAAGTGGGTCCTCACCACCTGTCTGTGTCAACCACCTGGCTGTGTCACTTCACCGCTTCAAGCCTCTATCTTGACCTCAACAACGGCACATTATGAAGAATAAAGAGCTTACGCTTGAAGGCGCGTAGCCGAGGCTATTAAAGCCATTGAGGCAAATCCCAATATGTCCCTTCGCGCTGCGGCTAAGGAATTTGGGGTTCCACGCGAACAGGGCTCCTAATAGTGCAAGTAGTGCGTGTGAACACCCCAAACGGCCCCTTCAGTGCGTGTGACGCCACTGGACCAAACTGCCAGTGCACTCGGCCAGGGCGCACTGAACTGGCAGTGCAAGCCCACATGGTCAAACCAAACTGTGGCAGTGCAGACCAGATGGCCAAACCAAACTGTCCGTCCGTTCGTCAGCGACAAACTGCACTGCACTGCGAACTGCAGTTTACACTATCAGTGCGATATATAAAATACAGGCTTGGCGCGCATGATTGAAGTCAAGACGTTATTTCCGCCTTAGGCCGCCCATGTGCCCATGAATCCCTCATTGCTTCAAATGCATCACGTTCTACCAAGCCGATGCTGACTTTCGTCCTCGAGACCTGAATCTTAGGCTTCAGAGCTGACGCGTTCGAAGGTGTCGTGGCTGCCGTCCATGTATCGACACTTGAAATGCACTCGTAAGCTGGTCTCCATTTCGTTGGTTGGGAACTTACCTCTGTCGGAAGTATCAGTGCGCTATTATCCCAAGACCTGAGGCATTCCAGAAGATTGAGTGTTTCGACGTTGATAGAACCTCGCTGATCGGTCACTGATAACTTAGCCTTAGAGAAGAGTCGCTCCGTTTCCGCCGACATCGGCGCGATTGACAGAATGTCTATAGCCATCAAGGATAGGCCGGAAATCGTCGCCGCTGCGCTGGATCCAGCCACCATTTGAGCGGATCCGATACCATGATTACAGGTTCGCGACAGTACACATCATACTCGTCATCATCCATGCTGAAAATCGTAGCCTTCTGCTCTTTCATCCATATTTTGTATCCGTTTGGCCGTTTTGCATCTGGTCTTTGTTCAGGAATTGGTCTGGTAATGCAGCACTGCGAGGCCGGTTTGTATTCATCTCTCCACAACTGCCCAACGCGAGCCTTCGCTCTTTCAATCCACTCTTGCCTGTCTTCCCAGGTCTTTTCCATGTATGTCCATTTGAGAGAAGGATTCAAGACTGTCGCGGCCGAATAGACAGGTGAATCTTCTGTGAGCTCGTAGTAGTCGGCTAATTTTGCCCATGCTGTCTCCATCATCGTGGCTAGGTGAGGTATATCGGTCGTATTTCTGGCTGCTTCGATATGGTGCAAAAGGTAGTCCATGGTAGGTAGGACATCGGAAATGGACTTTTTCCAGCTTTCGTTGGCAATAGTAGCGTCGTGAAAGGGCTCGAGGAATTTATGGATCTCAGCCAAAACAATCCAATCGCACGGGTGCAAGGCATCAAAGGCTTCAACGTCAAGTTCTGCCTAGCAGAGAGTATGGGAAGTGTGACCAGATACTACCCTAAAGACAGGAGATGAAAGCTACGCAGAGGCTCGTTCTGCCCTGGCAACACTTGGATATCTCGTAAGAGCTAGATGGTTTGTAAAATTGAGCAAGAACGCATCCCGCCGTTTAATCAGCGATTGACTCGTTGTAAGTAGGCCAGGAATTAAGTTAATGGTCAAACGTCCAAGTTTAGCTCTATCACACTCGTCACACTCGTCACACTGATGGTGACACTGATAGTGCGCGACGCTCGCACTGAACTATGGGGCAGTTTGACGGGAGCCTCACTGAACCAGCAGTGTGGCGGGAAGCCTCACTGAACCAGCAGTGTGGAGGAGGCCTCACTGGACCAGCAGTGCGTTGCCAAACGGTTACACTGCACTGGCAGTGTGCTGACTAAGCAGTGCAAACTGCAGTGTGCACTAATAGTGCGCTAAACGGTCTGCACTATTAGGAGCGCTGCACGCGAACGACTCCGCTTGCGATTTCACGGCATCCAACCTCGCAGCGGCCATAAAGCAACGCATACGAGGCTATCGCCAGCTCAAGAGGACTCAATCGATCTGTATATCGATCGTCTTGAGCGTATAGGACTTGCGGTGCGGAAGGACTTATTACGCGATGCAGCAAATCGGGTTCTAAGCTCCACGGTCGGCCCTGATGGTACCCGCAACGAACCCTTCGACTCCCAATGCTTTGTTGGCAAAAACTGGATATCCCGTTTTATTAAACGCAAGGGATATCATATTATGAAGCAAAAGGTACTCGATAACCAACGCAAGCTTGCCGAATCAGTCCCGCACGTTACCGAGTACTTCAAGAAGCTCCACGAGACGATTGCCTCGTACGGGATTAACCCGGCTGATATCTGGAATATGGACGAGACGGGCTTCCGTATTGGTATTGGCAGGGACCAAGTTGTCGTCACGAAATCAAGGCGATCGCAATACTTTGGTATTGAGGAAAACAGAGAGTCGGCAACAGCCGTTGAAGCGATTTCTGCCGATGGTCGATACATCCCTGCGTTTTGATCCTATCCGGCAAGGTCCACCTCGAACAGTGGTACGGCATCAAGGAGCTAGATGGCGATACCCTTATTGGTGTTACGAAACAGGATTTACGAACGATCAGCTCAATCTAGCGTGGATTCAACATTTCGATAAGCATGCAAAGAGCAAAGGTGCTTGGAGGCTATTGCTCCTTGACGGCCACGGCTCCCACCATACCCTTGACCTTATCGAGTACGCTGAAGCCCATAATATTGTGCTCTTTGCATTGCCTCCGCATCTTACGCATCTCCTTCAACCGCTTGACGTCGTGGTATTTCAGCCGTATAAACATTACCACAGTCGGGCAGTCGATTTTGCTATTCGCAGTGGTGCGAGTAAAATCACCAAGCTGGAGTTCCTCGCTATGATCCAATCAATCCGCGTCAAAGCCTTCAAGGAGTCTACAATCCTCTCGGCATTCAAAAACAGGAATCCACCCATTCAATCCAAAGCCAATCCTCGAGAGACTCAAAGAGAGGTACGGGACCAGACGCCGCCGACAGAGCTACCTGCAGAGCCGTATTCATCCCCTTTTGGTACCCCCCATACCGTACGGAAGTTTGAATCAGTTGGCCAACGTCTCCTTGAGTTTGACCCAATTGATGATATTGAGAAGGAGGTCTTCGTACATAACCTTCAACGCTACGTTAAAGGTGCAATCTCCCAAGGCCACGAGTTAAAGCAAACGATGGTCGATCTGTACAATACCAAGCTTGCCGAGCAGCAACGCCAAGGCCGGAAGAAATACAAGAACCGCCACCTTCAAAGCGGTGGAGTACTGACTGTAGACGAAGGGAGGGCTATTGCGAAGTCAAAGGAAGATATTCGCATTGCAAAAGCAGAAAAGTTGGTACTGGCAAAGAAAGAGGAGAAAAGGGCGATTGAGCTCGAGGAGCGACGGGCAGCCCGGGCGGCTAAGAAAGCCGAAAAAGAAGCCCAACGATCAGCTTTATAAGCTACAAAGGTCAAAAATAGGTAGACTATTGCGGCCAGTATTCAATTATCGTATGCATCAATTTTTAACTTTTTTTGCCGTTTTATTATTAAATTAAGTTGGCGTTGAAGCCGTAAAGTGACACAGCCAGGTGGTTGACACAGCCAGGTGGTGAGGACCCACTTTACGTGGGTCTGTGGGACAGTAGTTGTCTTCTTCTGTTTTGCACCAGGCCGTCAGAGCCTGCTACAAAAGGGGGTGTGTCAGTGGACCAGGGTAGCCCTGTTAGGGAGGGACCCGGAGAAGGGATTCCTGGCCCATGTAGCAGGAACGCATGAGGACTTCCTGAGTAAGGAAGGCAACCCCTTTATGCGTGGGCACAGCCACGTATGCGTGGGTAGAGCCCATTACTCAGGAGGTCCCCAGAAGTCCCTAAGACCTCCTGTATAAATAGGGCCCAATTATCTATACACCTCCTTTTATTAACTGTACACCAAAAAGTGGATCAACTGTGGCTGGGTCAGGCGCAGTGCCGATGCCGCTAATTTTGGTGCGCCCATTCCCGGCCGGCCAGCTGGCCAGTTCGTGATGCTTGCGTAACAACATCCTGTAACCGTAACTATCAGCAATACCATCAAAACTGAAGCTATTCGCACCGCGTTTCTGCCCTTACGAGCCCGAATCATGGAGTCGCTTACGAAGACACTATTCCCGACCTTCCAGGCCGCGATGGAAGCCGCCGATACCGTTGCTGAGGCTGAGGCTACGCCCTACATTCGAACATCGAAGCGGGATAACGCTGGCCAACGCAAGTCTGCACTTGTTCGTTGTATCAAGGCCGGCCCCTACGAAAATCGGAAGGATAAAGCTGCTCATATCTCTCGTCGTCGCCTCAATACAGCAACCCAGAAAACAGACTGTGAATTTCGCCTCTCGTTGAAGGAAAAACGCGGTTACTGGACTATCTCTTATCTTCACGATGTTCACAATCATCGCCTTGTTGATGACCCGATGGTCTTTCCGAAGTACCGGGCGCTTGTTATCCAGAAGTATCGCGACGACATTATCCGGAAGTTTAATAACAATACCCGGCCGACCGATATTGCTGGCGAGCTTCGTGACCTGGTTCACGACGATCCTCGTTTAGCCGGTATCACGGCTCAAGACGTGAGTAACGCCTTGGCTAGGCACCGTCAGGAAGAACTAGCTGGCCGTACGCCTCTTCAGTTTCTCTACGACCGGCTAGATAAGTCCGACTTCTTTCATCGAGATAGTCGTGATCCCCAGGGCCGGCTAACTGGGCTATTTCTCGCGCCTCGTGCTACCTTCCATCGATGGCGTCAGCATCACGATGTCCTCGTCCTCGACTGTACCTACAAGACGAACCGATTCAATATGCCGTTATTGAATATCTGCGCGGCCACTCGAGATAACAAAACGTTCTCTATTGCCTCTATCTTCTTGAACGGCGAGACCGAGTCCCATTACTATTGGGCTATCTCGTTGCTGCTAGTCCTTTGCGAGAAGGAGTCGATCCCATTTCAAGGGTCACTGTCACGGACCGAGATACTGCGTTGCTTAAGGCGTTAGATAGCTTTCGCGAGCTTCAAAACAGTACTAACCTTCTCTGCACGTGGCATATTAACCAGAATGTCGTTGCGAAATGCAAGCAATTTTCCCTAAGGCATCAAAAATCGGCAATCGAGTCGTACGGGCCCCGGCATTCCAAGCGTTTCTACAAGAGTGGAACGAGATCGTCAAGTCACAAGATGTGAATAGCTTCAACGAACGTTTACGCCAATTTGAGACACCAGGCCGCCACCCGCTTGCAGCTATACAATACTGTTGCAATACGTGGCTAACGCCTTGGAAGGAGAAGTTTGTATCTTGTTTCGTTAATCAATATCGCCACTTCGGGCGTACAACGACCTCGATCGTCGAGGACTTCACTCTCATATGAAGAAGTTCCTTTGGTCCTGTACGGGCGATTTGACGACCGTTTTCCAACGATTCGAACGCTTCTGGGGCCATCAGGCTGCTCAGATCACAGCGATAGAGAATCGAAACCTCCACAAGATATCAACGTTCTCCCTACAGGCGCCGTATATGCCGATCCGCGAGCGAGTATCGTCATATGCGTTAAAGCTACTAATAGATGAGCATCGCAAGATCCTCTAGACCCCGAAGTCAACGGGCCAAACCGCCGCCAGGTCAATGTCCTTGTAATTGGGCTACTAGTCGAGGGCTACCGTGCTGCCATCGAATCTTCGAGTCTATCAACACCAATACCTCCCTTACACTCGACGACTTCGACCCATTTTGGTATATTCCGATCGATACAAGCGCTCAGGGCACAAGCCCTACTCGGGCACCATACGAGCCACAAGTTATCAGGGCTGAGGCCGCCCCAAGGGCTCACTCAACCTCGAAGAGTCACGGCGGTCAAGAACAACGCGGCGGGATCCCTCACATCACGAGATCGCTGAACGGCATGAGCGGGGTGAGGCTATACGACTGCCTCCTCCTCAACGGCACCAGCGGCGATGACGGGTACGGTAACGGCCGCGATGACTTCAACGGAACGAGGGCTGCGGCACATCGAGGAAAACGGCGATACGTACGAGGCAGGCACACGGATGCAACGGGCGTATCAACAAGCCGGGCGTCAAACGCCAGTCTCTGATGATGACGATCAGCCGGTACGGCGGGAGACCCAAGACTGCATCTTCGTCGCCGGCCTCACGGACGATGCCGCCCTTGAGGATGTATGGGATCAATTGGAATCACAGTTAGATGAAGCGGATCAGGCACGTAGTGCACTCGAAGAAGGAGGCCTGTTGTAAACACCAAAGAATAGTCTCATCAGCATAGAAAGCGCAGTACGAATAGCTTCAATTTTGGGTGCCTTATCGTTGAAGGAGAACTGTTACTACCTGGCTCTACTTATCGTAGAGAATGTGTGCATACAAATTGGCGGTATCGGCCCTCTTCGGCCGTCAGCCACAGTTAATCCACTTTTTGGGTGTACAGTTAATGAAAGTGGGTGGATAGATAACTTGGGCCTAGTTAAAAGGCCACCCCGTCACGCTAAACGGCCACCCAAAAGTGGGTCAACTGTGGCTTGGTCGCCGCGCAGCGCCGATGCCGCAAAGGTTCGTGAAGCCGCAATTGAAGCGGCAAAGTGAAGCTGGCCGTGATGCAAATTCAAGTACGTAGGGCCATGTTCTTGGAGTCGTAGAAAACACACTTCCGTCAATTCAAATGCAGCGGTAACGCCGGTAGCTATAGTAGACCCTCTGCACACAATTCCTGCTGTATAGACTCCTCCTCATCCACCTGCCGGTCCATCTCGTTAAAATCGGCTAAAGGGTCGTCTTCATCCTCTATATCCTCACCTCCTTGACGAATTGAGGATATCGGCATTGGCTGCGTGGCACAGCGAATCGTGCCCTGCGTCTCGCCCGGGTCAGTAAGCTCATCGTCAGAGTCAGGCGTGCGGCGTACGGCACGCTGATACGCTCGTGGCATAGCTGTGCCAGGCTCGTACGAATCGCCATTGGCTTGAAGGTATTCCAACCCCCGTTTTGTCACATCAGCAGCGCTGCCGGCGGTGTTGACGGTAGCAGCAGCAGCTTTCCCTCCAGCCTTGCCCCCAGCCTTGCGCTTCTTGCTCGTAGCCTTCGTCTTCGTACTTTGGAGAGCCGCCGGCGCTGTGGACGACGGCGGCCTTGTGGCCTTGCTGCGTTCGTCGGATTCCGCGATATTGTGTGCTGACGGCTCTCTCCGCGTGCCGTTACGACCTCCTGCGGCCTCGAGGTTCAATGAGCCCTTGGGCCGGCCTTTCCCGCGCATAGGGAGTGGATCGTGCGGAGCATCGTTAGGGCTTGTGTCCTGCCACCTCTGGCGATGCCAGAACTCGTCAACGTCGTTCATTTCGAAGGGAACGGCGGCGGCGGCATTGAGCCGCTTGAAAATATCGTGACGGCAAGGGAGGCCAAGACTTGACTTGAAGCCGCACTGATGAAGAAGATCACAGCGGCCGGGCGGCGGCTTTGCTTGGTCGTTTGAAGCGGCATCCCTTGCCACAGCGCGGTATTCGCCCCCTATCTTCTGGAGCGCCCAGTTAGAGAGGTTTGGCCGGATCTTCGCCAAGATCGGTCTAATTGTAGAGGTTGATGTCTTATGTATGGCTTTTTGCTGTGTATTGAGGATCTCAGCCGACTGGTGACGCCAAAAGGCTTGGAACCGTCGGAAAACGGAGGTCAGGTCGCCCGTTGAGGACCAAAGGAACCGCTTCATTGTAGAATGTAGGCCCTCCACGATAGAGGTCGTCGTATGCCCTAGGTGACGATAACGGTCAACGTAATACAGCACGATTTTTTCCTTCCAGGGCTCGAGCCACGTTTTAACCGCATAATCCACTGCTGCCTGTGGGTGACGGCCTGTAGCAGTAAATTCCCGTAGTCGCTGATTGTAGCTTGCCTCGTCAGGGGCATTGACGAGGGCATGCCACTCCTTGAGGAAGGCCGTGAACTGAGGGGCCCGGATAACGCGGTTCCCTTCCTTTGTTGCCTTAGGGAAGTGCGGCCTGCACTTCGTAAGAACGTTCTTGTTGACGTGCCAGCGGCAGAGTAAGTGAATAACGTGCTCGAGTTCTGGGCAGCTAACGAGGGCATTCATGAGGGCAAGGTCACGGTCTGTGACGATGACCCGTGGCATCGGGATTCCTTCCTCTGCTGCTAGCTCGAGCAGGCACTGCAACGCCCAGCGGTATTGCGGTTCTGCCTCGCCGTTGAGGAAAATAGAGGCCACTGAGAAGGTCTTCCTCTCTGCTGTAGAGCCGCACACGTTGAGGAGAGGCATGTTGAAGCGGTTGGTCTTGTATGTGCAGTCCAAAAGGAGGATATTCGCGTACTGCCGCCAGAGCTCAATGCCGCTACGCGGTGCGATAAAGAGGCCGGTCAGCCGGCCCTCTTGGTCACGTGTATCCCGAAAGAAGAAGTCGGAGGTATTGAGTTGATCGTAGAGGAATTGAATTGGCGTGCGGCCGGTGAGCTCTTGGAGGCGGTACGAGGCAATGGCATTCCTCACGTGTTGCCCAGTGATGCCAGCGAGATCCGGATCCTCGTGACAGAGGCCACGGAGGTGCGAGGCGATGAGGAAAGGCCGTAGGCCGCAGTTATATAGGTGGGTGATATGTCCGTGGTGCCTCCGGATAACCTCGGCACGATACCTACTATGTGTGATAGCAGGAGTAAATTCGTGGTTATGGGCTTCCCCTAAGGAAGAAGGCGCTACGACCCAGCCGCCCGGGTGGGTGGACTTGGAGGCCGAGCTATTGGCCTTCCTCACGATGACGCGGAACTCGCACTTGGTCTTTTGAGTGCTGGTCTTGCGGCGACGCTTGGATTCGTGGGCGCCCTCGTCGCCTTGATCCTGCCAGTGGCGGCCCTTTGAGCATCTCAAGAGAATCCATCGTGGATTGGCGGCAGAGGGCTTCTTCGTACGCACGGCTAAGGCAAAGCCTTCCGCCCGGGCAGCAGCGTGGCAGGCGGCGATGGCATCCTGGTGGGATTCGAATTGGAGGGCGTAGACGGCTTCCATCGTTGCGGCGTCGGCGGCAGCAGATTGCGAAAAGCTTCACTTTTGAGACGGTTGCAATACGTTGTGTTACGCGGTTGTAGGAGACGAAAATCTGTTGATGTACGCTATGCTACGTAGGGCTCTACGGAGATGCCCAAACTTTGCGGCATCGGCGCTGCGCGGCGACCAAGCCACAGTTGACCCACTTTTGGGTGGCCGTTTAGCGTGACGGGGTGGCCTTTTAACTAGTACGTATGTCAATACACATCGGAATAAGGGGATCACACAGCTAGGTTCAAGATGTATGTTCTATTTCTAAAGGGTGCAGCCTGAAGGGGCTATTTATACCCGAGGTCTTTAGGGACTTCTGGGGACCCCTGAGTAAGTGCTCTACCCACGCATAGGTGGCTGTGCTCACGCATAAAGGGTAGTCTTCCTTACTGAGGAAGTCCTCATGCGTTCCTTCTACATAGGCCAGGAATCCCTTCATATCGAGGCTGCCCCAGTCCACCGACAGTATCGTAGCATTTCCGATTCTCTGTTGTCGCGAAATTTCGCCTCTTGCTGATCGGTTACATCGTCGTTTCTTTCGCGGCCAATCTGTCTCAACGACACGAGGCAGCGATATGGCCATTATTGCCCAATCTCCTGGCAACGCCGTGACGCGAGTATTCAATGCCCTGTTCGATCCTGAACTTCACTACGGCGAGGGCGACGATATGCCTTATAGGTAACTACTGAGCTGTCGCCACGAAGTCAGCTCCTGCATCTGCCCTAAGTCTGCACTGGCGTCTCCCAAATATGTAGTCCAGTTCATTTGGGCGATCTCTAAACTCGTCTTGTCGCGAAGCACTGTTGCGATTGAACTTACTTCTATTCAATTCTGTCTGACAGCTCTCAACATATATATACGGTACATAGTGGCACGTCCGTGCCACTATCCAGTGACTCACCACTTGTAAGTGCTGCCTAAACATGTCTTGGTCCATGTCTCATACCAAGTCAACAAGCACGTCTGAGATCTTGAGCTCGGGGTGACCATAAGGGGTATACAGCTAAGGGCCCCGACAGGCTAGATCGTAAGGCAGCCTGCAAAGAGTTCTGAGACTGCAGAAAGCTATTAGGAGACCGCATTAGGCAGCCACATAGGCTGTAGAGAGACTGCATATACGGGGGAAGCTGAAAGAGCCCTCGGCGACTAGGGAAAGTCAGTATGCAAAGGGGGGGGGGGGCTGGGGAAAGGAGCCCAGCCCCTTAGATAATATGCCTATACAACTGAAAAGGGGATATCAATAGGGAACCAAGGGATATAAATAGGGAGCCTAGAAGAGGGCATTGCAAGAGGACAGACAAGACGGAATACAACAGAACACACCTATTATTAAAACAATCAATGCCCACTTGCATGCTCTCTTCGTGAGACGTCTTGGGAAAAAGATGGACGTAATATTCAGCTCAGCTGCTCAAGTAATAAAATTAATAATGGAAGCTGGGTTGAGACATGACGCTGCAGAAATCTTAGCTGCCTCACTAGCTATGCTGGTAGGTAGGGTACTTCTAGACTATCTGGGACAAGCTCTGGAAGTGTAGGCATTGCATATTTGGAGAGAATAGACAAGTCTCACATGATTGGCATCACGTCCGTTTCTGCAGCGATTAATGGGAGAAGAACGGCTGTCGCGCCACATCCGAGGCTTTTGCAGCTTTGACTTACACTTAGTTAGCGCCCCCAGGGGTAAGCCAACGGGTATACGTAAGGGGCTCCAGGGACTTGTTTAAGCAGCAAACGCAGCAAGGATCCTCCCTGACTTTGAAGTTCATCGCCCGCAAATTATACCGAGTCTTCTAGCTTTGGCCATTACTCCCTTAAGCTACCAACATGGCCATCAAGACCACTGAACAGGGCCAATCAATCCTATTTTTTGGCATAGGAGACCTACGAGTGCGAAGATTCTTAATGATGCAAGTTCTCGTCATCTTATTCTTCTCTTCCTGTACAGCACTCCTATCCTCCTTGTCAGCAATGAATGCTTGGGCAATACCCCACGCAGCTACCACGGTCACCAAGCATCCATCACCTATCATGAGTCGCCGTACCAACGATACCTAAGTTCCACTGCAAACAACCTACAGGCACCAGTTCAAGATGCTTCTGCGGGTTCTATTGCGCTATTGTGCGCCGATGTCTGGTTTGCTTTGGGTTCCATCGCCGCTATCGACGCATTCTGGATTGTGGCAACGTTCAACCGCACCTTAATAAAAAACTGGCATTATTTTGTTAGCTTACGCATGATGGCGATAGCATCCGTCGCCTCGTTTGTTTTCTATTTGACAGGGAAAGAGACTTCAGCAGGCTATATATTCCAGCATCCTGTATTCGCCTTACTCATATCTTTGGCTGTATATCTGCTTTTCGGCCTCACCCTTCAGAAGTTGCACAAGCCCCCGCCAACCACGGCTGTAAACGCGCACTTTGGCTCTATTCAAGAGTACAGTGCTAGAGTATGTGCGTCAGCATGCGGATGGTGGCCTGCGATACAGGCCACGGTGGTTATCGGAGCTCTTCCTGTGCTACTCACTGCGGTCATGCCTCAAAGATGGTCAACCATTGTGCCATTGGTGGCCATTAGCTTCGAGGTAAGAACATTGTCTCCCCGGGCCCGACTCCTTTCCTACCATAACAAATTCACTTACTGGACAGTTTGATCTAACTTCTGCGTAGTCGATTTTCCTTGCATTCAAAAAAATGGGCAGAGGCCCCGAGTACACCATGTGTGGCGGTACCTTCGTTCAAGCTGTGACGTGTACTCACTGGGGGCTTCCTCAAGCGATGGCGAACCCACGTCTGGCCCTTCCTGCATGGGTTTTCTTGGTCTTGCTAGTGGCTGGACGTCTGATATTAGATCTACACATGTACACGGTTTTTCGCAACTATCCCGAATTCTTATGGGCACACAAGCGAGTACTCTTATCGACCAAAAGTCTGGTGAGTATTTGTGTCGGCATGCTGATTATAGAATGCCTGGGATGTCCAGTGGTCTCTTACTTCAAGTTGATTGTGGTGCCTACATGGTACTCACTAAGTGTCCTGGGCGTTGCGGCGCCTGCGTCATATGGCCTTGCCGTGAGTAAGGTGAAGGTGATATTGTCGAGAAGAAGGGTCCAAGACTTGAGCTTGAAGCCTGACAGCTAGCTGAAGGTGTAGGTACGAGAGGGGAGGAGACAGGGAGGACGTGGCATGCTGACGTGGGGAGAGGGGAACCTATGCTTTAGTGAGTCAGCAAGGAAGAAGATGAAAGACTGAAGAGAGGGCAAGGGCCATAAATGGGAGAATGGTACAGCAGAGAGGGAGCAGAAGAATAATGAAGACATGACCCTAAAAATTATGCCCTCTGCCTTGCTCTCTGTCACAAGTAACTGGAAGATGCCATGTATGTGAGGGTTATATAGAGTCAAATTGGCCTTAACCACTGCCCAAGTCAAGGGGACAAAGGTCCCAGTTATATACACAAGAATGGTGCCCCTGTAGATAGGAGCCTCGCAAAAGCCCCTAGGCCGGTGTTTTCAGCATACAACCAGCTCCTACTAGGGATAGGCTTTCTGAAAGCTTACCTAGCTAGAGCAAGAAAGACAGACTTAGAAGGGTGTAGGTATGGCTCGTCCAGACATACTGCCTGTTACGATCAAGGCCGATATGGATAACCAGAAGGGACTTGGAAGAATAGTTAATTATCGACTTCTTAAGGAAGAAGGGAAGAGGAAGAGGAACTGAAGAAAAGGAGGAAGCGGTCTATATACGTAACGGTATGTGGAAGTGGATACCGTAACACTGCCTCACACCTTATTCTTAGTTGTAAGAACTACACGAAGGAGAGAAACCAGCTAAGAAAGGCCCTAAGAGGGCAGCCGCTAACCCTTCCTATTCTCTTTACAACTGTGACGGCCTAGCACCGTCACACCCCCTTACATGACCCACATGTTGTTGGGCCAACGGCCCACACGTACGGAAGGCATATTTAGGGAGAGGACACCCAGTTGTATTGTTCGGTTCTCCTTTCTCTTCTTCAGAGCAGAATCTTCGTAATAGAGTCCACAGCCTTCTGGCTCAGTCCGTGACCGTCACACTATTCTGCTCTCAACCACGCCATCGCTGCCGAGCGATTCATAAAAACGCCACGACTTTACCCCATGCCAAGACTGCGCTCGGCCGGCCCACTTGAACAGGACACGGCCCTCCATAGATCGCAGCTCCCACGACCCGTCTTACCAAGCATCGAAGACCAAGACCAAGACCAAGAGTCCAAGACCAAGACCAAGACCAAGACCAAGACCAAGATCAAGACCAAGACCAAGACCAAGACCAAGACCAAGATCAAGACCGAGATCAAGACCGAGATTAAGACCAAAGAAACAGTTCAGGGACCATCGAATCGCACATAACCATCCAGGAAGGACAGGGACCTAAAATGGCTGACAGCACCAATCAGGAGGGCAGCAGCGGCTTGTTCACCGAATTGTCTCCCGAGCAGAGACAGCAATTAACCGACCACATCAGCCGAGAAGTGGCCCGTTTGGTCGCCCAAGTACGAGTGACCGAGCCAAGAGACAGCCAATATGGTGAAGATGAAGTCAGCACACCAGGCCAACGGGAAGGAACAGCCTTTGACGACCGCGAAGAATTCCGGCCGTCAGGATATGCGGCCCTTTTAGCCTTCCGGAGATATGAGTCGATGGATGGCACCAACCCAAACTATAGAGAGGGACGGAAACGTCGGGAGAGAAACCCACCATGTTCTCCGGCGAAGGACTCCCTCGTTTGAAAGCTGGATTAAGCAAGTAGAGGGCAAGTTCGAGGAGGACAACGATACTTTCGCCTCTGAGAAGACGCGGATCAACTTCGTGATTACGCGTCTCGAGGGCGCCGCGTATAAGACCGTAGAAGGACGCCACCACTCGCTGACTCGGCCTTTCACAACATTGGCCGAACTAATCCAGGTCCTCCAGACAGCGCACACAAACCCAAACAAAGGCGCCGACGCCCGCGCCCAGCTGCGTGTCTGCAAATACGATTGGAAGAAGGACTTCAATATTTTCTTGGGAATTCAACTCCATGTACGAGGCGGCGGGTACCAACCTTCAATGCAGAAACAGACCCTGTGGGACTCTCTTCCTGCGCCGATCAACCAAGCGGTGGTCGAGAGGGTCTACGATACGAAAGTGCGCTACGAGGACTTCTGTGAGTCAGCACAGCACCAGGTGTTCGTGGCCCGCCACAACTTTTGAACGTCGCCGCATCAATAACCTGTGCTACCGGTGCGGAGAATCTGGGCATATCGCCCCATTCTGTCGCACCCGCAACAACAACACCCGGAAAGGCAGCCACGAAGACCGTGGAGAGCAGCCGGCCCCAGTCAGCGCAGCGACAACCAACACCGCCACGGGCAAGGGCAAAGTTTGCGACCCAGACTCGAGCAGTTCGGAGTCGGAAAACGAGTAGGCCAGGACAAAGTCTCGTTCCTGGCCGACTTGGTGCCTTGCCTTGAGGAACGAGGAACGAGTGACGAAAGGATTTTCTTGCCCTGCGAGCCACAACCCCTTTTTCTCCTCGAGTTTCGCCCCCGGCTTTTGCCTTGAGGAACGAGGAACGAGTGACGAAAGGATTTTGCCTTGAGGAACGAGGAACGAGTGACGAAAGGTTCTTGCCTTGAGGAACGAAAGGATTTCTATGCCGCGCTTTGCCTTGAGGAACGAGGAACGAGTGACGAAAGGTTCTTAGGGTTCCTCCCCGGGGAGAAAAAAAATTCGCCATCGATTTCCCCCCCGCAAATGCCGCCCTCTGATTCGCTGGCGTTCTCGCTTTTGATTCGTCAGTGCCTTGAGGAACGAAAGGACTTTATGCCCCACCCCCGGTTTTGCCCCTCGAAATCCCCGCTTCTGATTCGCTCGGTCGATTGGCTACGGTCATGCCTTGAGGAACGAAAGGACTTTTATGCCTTGAGGAACGAAAAGGCTCTTCTGGACGCGAAAAAAACCCCAAAAACCCACAAACCTACTTTACCCTCGAAACCCTTGGCTTCTGATTGGAGAACCCATCTTGGCTGCTGATTGGAGAGCTTTTAAATCCCGGCTTCCTTTGGTCGCTTAATGATTACTTACCCTTTTCGTCCTAGCCCTTTTGTTTCGCCTTCCGGCGCAGTTCGCCCTCTCCGGTCCTGCCAGCGACCTAACCTCGCGACTAGGACTCAGCTCCTCGTGAAACCGGTTTTTGGCCTTTTCCGACCAAACCCTCTCCCGCACCCCTGACACGAGCATGGTGCCGTCCAGCGCCCTGCGCCCGGCATCGCGATAGCTACACGTCCAGGCCCGTGCCTTTAGAGTCCAGGAATCAACGTCTAGCCATCCCGAGGCCTCGCGGACAGTCTTGTCGCTCAGCTGGCCCAGCCTCGCTTCTGCGTCTGTCATCTCGTCTGGCACCTTGTTGCCCACCAGGTCCCTCTCCCGCAATTTCGAGACCAGCATAATGCCGTCCAGCGTCGGGCAGCGAGACAGCTGCACGTACAGGCTGTACGGGTCGCACTGCGAGACACGGCGCGTCCGTCGATGTTTGACGTCCGCGTTCCCCGCAGCTCCAGAGCTACACGCTCGAGCGTCCTGCCCTGCACTTTATAGTCTGTGCACGCGAAGGCTGCCGTACAGGGCAGGCCCTTTCGGCTGACGTCGTTCTGCTGCCACGGCCTCTTTCGCTGGCACTGTATTTTGACCGTCATGGGCGTCAACAGGACCGTGCCTGGCGGCATCCCGACGAAGTGAACGTCGTTCGTCGTCTCCGACTCCAGCATTATCCCCGCCGGCGGCCGAAATGGACCGTCGTGTCTGCCGTGATACGATGCCCCGGGTACGACTTGTCGAGGACGACCTCCAGCGCCGTGTAGCCGGCGCCGTTCACCAGCTTTAGCCCCTGATGGGTGTTATGGTTCACGACGACCGGCATCCCCGGCACGAACATGAAGACGGCCGGCACCGGGATCGCGCTGTCGTCGCCCTGGTTCAGCATCATGATGGCCTCTTCCTCCGTCGGCAGGGCCTCCTTCCACGTATGATCCGAGATGAAGATGCGCATCACTGACCGCTGCTGGGCCCGGAACGCCAAGCTGGCCTCCATGTTGAGGTTCCACCGGTTCCTGTTCAGCGGCGTCACCACGGTGATGCACGTCTCCCACGGGATCCGCCTGCCTTCCCGGTAGCATCTTGAGTTGAGGAGGTCCAGATCCGAGCGGTCCTGCACGCCCAGTCGAATCCGCCTTAGCAGCCTCTGCAATTCCGGATCTCCGCGGCGCGCCTGCTCGTCCAGCATGACCGTGGTCGTGAATCTCTTCCACAACGCGTGCGCCTTGTCGTGCTGGTGCCGTGTCTCGGCCTTGAAGGAGCTGTCTACGTCCCACGAGACGGCGGTGCTGGGGAGGAGGATCGAGCGTTCTTGGACGGGGCGGAATTGGTGGAAGTCTCCGCAGAAGAGGACGATCGGAATACCTCCAAAATCCTGGTGCGACCCGCGCAGCCGGCAGAGCTGCTCGTTCACCGCGTGTAGCGTCCGCGCCCCGAGCATGCTCACCTCGTCGATGACGAGCACGTCCTTCTCCTGCCAGTCCATCCGGGATTGCCCGTCGACGAACCGCTCCGCCTGTTTCGGCAGTCGCACCCCGTCGAGATCCTTGGCCGCGTTTGCGGCTGCCGCGAGATCTTTTGAGACCCGTGGATTCCCGTGAACACGGATAAGATGATTCCCTTTCCCAATCAGGTCTCCTTTGAGGAGGCTCGCGACGCCACTCTACGCACCGGGAACACATCTCCAGGCTCGGACAACATCACGGTGCGGATGCTTCGCGCTGTCTGGCATGCAATCGGCAGTCTCGTCCATCAGCTGTATCAAGGCTGCCTCACCATTGGTCACCATCCGAAACCTTTTCGGGAGGCAGAAGTGGTTATGATCGCCAAGCTAGGACGCAGAGATCTGTCTACACCCCGCGCCTGGCGCCCCATCTCCCCTTTTGTCTTGTCTCGGCAAGGGCCTCGAGCGGCTCATTGCACGGCGTCTAGCGTGGGGCTCAATCCACTTCGGCGTACTACACCCACAACAAGCCGGCGCGCTCCCGAAGAGGTCGGCCGTGGATCTCGTAGCTGCCTTGGTTCACGACATCGAGGAGGCATTCGCCCGGAAGCAAGTCGCAACCCTGGTGACCTTGGATATACAAGGCGCCTTCGATACAGTTCTCTGCAATAGATTGGTCCTCCGCTTACGAGAACAAGGATGGCCATCGAACCTCGCGCGCTGGGCCGGCTCGTTCATGCAGGACAGATCGGCACGCATCCGCTATCAAGACATCGTGACGGATTCATCGCCCTCCAGTGCGGTCTGCCGCAGGGTCGCCCGTCTCGCCGATCCTCTTCCTGTTGTACACGGAGCCGATATATCGCCTAGGTCACTCTCAGGGACGCTTCGGCTACGCGGACGACACTGCCATTCTATGCGTCGGTAATAGCCTTGATGAAACGACCGCCGAAGCATCTCACCATGTACGTGAGCTTCTTTCGTGGGGCGCCGCTAACGGGATCTCTTTCGACCCCGACAAGACAGAAGTGATGCACTTCTCTCGAACGAAGCCCAAGACGGCGCCGCCGGTGCTCCACGGCGAGTTTGAGAAACGGCCGGATCGAGCGATGCGTTGGCTCGGCGTTTGGCTCGACAGCTCTCTCTCTTTCAAGACACACGTCGAGAAATGGACGGCCAAGGCGCAAGCTGTTGCCTTTCATCTTAGGAGACTGACGAACACGAAACATGGCCCTCTGCCGAGTGCTATGCGACGAGCCGTCTGCGCTTGCGTCATCCCCGTGCTACTGTACGCGGCGGAGGCCTGGTACCCTGGTCCGAAAAGCCCGCGCTGGACGAAGCTTCCAAGGAGGGGCCGTCGGGGATTGGCAACCTCGTCAAGAAGATGAGCAAGGCACTCTACACGTCTCTTCGGGCTATTCTGCCAGTGTGGAGGACGACACCGACGAACGTGCTGCACAGGGAGGCGGGAATACCGCCCGTTCCTCTACTCCTCGAAGGGCGTCGGACGGCCTTTGCTGCGCGCCTTAAAGCTCTCGACGAAGCTCACCCGCTCGTCCAGCGCACGTCGCGACCAAAAGCTCCCGTCGTGACCGTGAACAAACTTATCAAGTTGAAGTACCAGAAACAGCCACAGCCCTTCCGTACCAGACTGCGGCGAGCCGACGAAATGCTATCGAGCTGCCCGAGACCTGCTTTACTGCAGCGCGGATTTGCCGAAGAGCAGACTGCGCCTCTGCAGAGTGCATCGAAACACGAGACGGCGAAAAAATTTCGCGACTGGCTTCAGGCACTATCGCCCCGAACTCTTGTCGTCTACTCCGACGGGTCTCGTTCTGAGGAAGGCCACATCGGATACGGCTATGCTGTTCACCGGGACGGATCCACCGTCTTGAGCGGCAAGGGCCGTCTTGGAACAGCTGAGGTTTTCGACGCTGAGGCGAAAGGTGCATTGGAGGTTGAAGGCAGCGGTGAGCCTTCCAGAAACTGACCGCATCTTTGTCTGCCTCGACAACCTCGCGACCGCAACATGCTTACGGGCACGCCGAACGACTCCTCGCAAGAGGTCTTCCTTGAGTTCCAATCTTTGGCGCGAAAATACGGAGCTGTGGAGGTCCATTGGATCCCCGGCCATGCTGACATCCCAGGCAACGAGGAGGCTGATGCTCTGGCAAAGGCGGGAGCATCACTGCCAGAACCCGCTGATGGCGAACCGACGCTAGCGCATCTGCGAAAAATTGCCCGACTGCAGCGGAAAGAGGCTTTCAGTGCCTGGTGGGAAACCTCTGCGCCGGAGCGATACAGAGACCTGAGGCTTAAAGCCACAACCAGCTGTCCGTCAGAATTGGCGCTCTCTCGGCCCCTGCTTCATAACTTGCTTGCAGCAAGAACCCACCATGGGGATTTTGCTGACTACCACGAAAGGTTTGGTCACGACGATGCGCGACTGACGTGCTCGTGCGGACGACGAAAGAGCCAGCACACATCTTTTACTGCAGAAAGGTTGCGCCACGGCATCGTATGCGGCTTGCACCTTGGCCGGCTGCAGCCATCAACCGCGCAATCGGCAAGGACTTTGACAAATTCGTCAGGCTGGCGACAGCGAGCTCCTTCTTCGGAGGGATCTGCCCACGCCACTAGACGGTCATCATTCTCCTCTCTCACCCTACCTTTTCCTCTCAATTCTTTCTGTTACCTGCTCCGATCTCGGGCGGCGTCAAGGTCTCACGACCTCGCAGAAAGATTTCGGGGGGATCCCCATCGTCCTCTTCTGCGGAGACTTTCAGCAGTTCCGGCCGGTCCAAGAGAGGTCGATCGTCCTGCCGAGCGCGGCCATCTCGTGGGACGTAGACAACTCGTTCAAGGCCGAGCAGCGGCACCAGCACGACAAAGCGCACGCGCTGTGGAAGAGATTCACGACGGTCGTCATGTTGAACGAGCAAATGCGCGCCGCCGGTGATCCGGAATTGCAGGAGCTGCTGAAGCGGATCCGGCAGGGTGTGCAGGACCGCACGGATCTGGACCTCCTCAACTCAGGTGCTACCGCGAGGGCAGGCGGATCCCTTGGGAGACTGGCATCACCGTGGTGACGCCGCTGAACAGGAATCGGTGGAACCTAAACATGGAGGCAAGCTTGGCGTTCCGGGTCCAGCAGCGGTCGACGATGCGCATCTTCATCTCCGAGCACAAGTGGAAGGAGGGCCTGCCGACCGAGGAAGAAGCGATCATGGTACTCAATCAAGGCGACGATAGCGCGATCCCCGTGCCGGCCGTCTTCATGTTCGTGGCCGGGATGCCGGTCGTCGTGAACCACAACACCCATCAGGGGCTGAAGCTGGTGAACGGCGCCGGCTACTCGGCGGTGGAGGTCATTGTCGACAAGGCGTCCCCAGGGCATCGAATCTCGTCCGACATGACGATCCACTTCGGGCCGCCGGCGGGATATTACTGGAATCGGCGACGACAAAGGACCTCCACTTCGTCGGGATGCCGCCGGGCACGATCTTGTTAACGCCGATGAGCGTCAGGATACACTGCCAACGAAAGCGGCCGTGGCAGCAGAACGACGTCAGCCGGAAGGGATTGCCGTGCGCAGCAGCCTTCGCCTGCACGGACTACAAGGTGCAGGGCAGAACGCTGGAGCGCGTGGCCCTCGAGCTGCGAGGGACACGGACGACGAAAGTCGATGGAAGGGCCGTGCCCTCGCAATGCGACCCGTACAGCTTATATGTGCAGCTATCGCGCTGTCGAACGCTAGACGGCATCACGCTCGTGTCCAAGGTGCTGAGAGACTTGGTGGGCAACCGAGTCCCCGAAGAGATGACCGCCGCGCAGGCCAGGCTGGAGGTGCTAAGCGAGAGGACTGTCGAGGAAGCTTTGCGTCGGTCGGATGGCGACGCTGAAGAGTCAGGAGAGTTGTCAGGGTGAGGTGACGAGGGGGAGAAGACGGAGGAGCGCGCCGGCGGGCAAGAAGACAAGGGCACTGGGCAGCAGCGATCAACGAGGGGCGACTTTTAGACTTGAAGGAAGAACCCGCTAGAAAGGCATGAACGAAAAGGGCAAAGACAAAAGACGCAAGTTTTAGACACAATAAGAAAACCGGCGGACGAAAGGAAAAAGGTTGGCATTGGCATTGGCATTGGCAAGGGGGTAAACAGGAGTATAAACGGGGAAACAGGGCAAGGCATGAGAGGGCAAGAAAAGGCGGCAGCGACCAATGATGAGGGAGGGACGGAAGGGTCGGCGACCAATCACACGGGATCTTTTATTCCGAAAGAGGAAATAAATCAGCCAATCAGAGGCGGAGGATGTGGGGGTGAAGCAGTCTGGGGCCTTTTTTCCCCGCGCGCTAATAATGAAGTCCTTTCGTTCCTCAAGGCACGTTGGAGAGGGAGTCATCTATTTGAAGGTTTTTGTGGTGGTTGCGGCACAGGAGAGGCAACCCAACGGGGGTTGCGCAAAGAGCCTTGAGGAACGAAAGACTACAGGGAAAAAAACTTAAGGAAGAAAAAAAAGGGGCAGACGTGAGGATTGAGGATGGAGTAAGAACAGGGGGGACTTAAGGACGGAGTGAAAAAGAGTGATAGAACCAGGGTAGGGTTAAGGAGTAGGTTAACTTAAAGTATAAGATTTAACTGTCTTACTCGTTTAGGAAACTGTAGCAGTTTATGGTTTCGCATCGTTATTCCGTTTCGGTAGCTTTCTTAGATAGGGACGGTTTCGGAGTGGACGGGCCGGCGAGTCCAAGCCATGCGCGACAATGGAATGGAGGGAAGAGTCCCCTAAGACATGACCCCGTTTAGGGCTATCCGGCTTAGATGTCAAGGAGGCAGCCGAAACAGAGAACGACTGGGTGGCAGATGAGCCAGGGTTAGGGAAGACGAAGGCACCGGGGCCTTATGCAGCAGCCGCGGTCGTTTCGTCGGCGTATCGGCAGGCTCGGGGCAACATCGCTTCCCGGGCGGCCCAAGGGGCCGGTCGAGGGCGAAGCCGAAGCCAAAGGTGGAGGGCTGAGCGGGAGGGTGCCAGGGGTGGCCAAAGACAAAGAGGCAGCGCGCATGTCCTGAAAGGCCGCGGAAGGGAGGACGCCTGCTGCCTCTGTGGTGTAGAGAGAGTGGTGTCATTGGGGTGACGGCGGCGGCGGCCTTGTCGAGAAATGTCCAAGAATCCGGGACGACAATAAAGACGTTGTCCCGGTCGGAGCCTGGGGGATAGAGCATAACGTCATGACGGAGCAGGCCGGCGACCTTGGCTGTGCAAGTAAAGGGGACGTTGGGTTGGAATTGAGAGTCCGCCTCTCGGCCATCTTCTTACACAAGATGGCCCAGGGTTAGCGCGAATAGGAAGATGACGAAGACCTGGAAGGGTGGAAGCCCTTGAAGGGGAGTTTATTGGGCATCCCAGGAGCGACGTAGGTAGAAAGGCGGACAAAGCCGCAACAGTTAAGCTGGGCGGCGTCTAGACCCGGCAGGAGGTCCCGCCGGAGCAAGGAGTGGCCGGTGCCGACGATAAGGCCGGTAAAGGAAACAATAGGCGGGACGCAGGGGAAGTCGTCCATAGGGCCAAGAGCTAGGAAGAACGCTTCAGGCCCACCTTAGCTATGTATCTTTCGTTGGCACTTGCGAGGAACAGGGCACGGCTTACGGCTGGTAGCCTTGGTCGCGGACGACAAGGGCGGGCATCGTATAGAGAAGGGTGCCGCCCGTGTCGGACTCCAGGCCGTCGCGCTGCTCAATCTCCCACGCAAGGGCGTAGGGGTGGACGCGGCCATTCATGAAAAACCACTCTTCCGTCCATTTTGAGGCATCAATAGGCTGGCCGTAAATCGAGAGATTGAGACTAAAGAAGACGGATGTCGGGGAATCGTCGGCCTCCGATCGGAGGGGCGCATATCCCATCGCGAGCAGCCAGGCGGGCGGAGGCAGCAAGACGCGGGCCATGGCCTCGGCGTTAAGACCCTTGATGCGGTGCTCGTCCTGGTGGGCAAATCTAACGGGGCAATCCGGCTGGACGAAAAACACCATGGACATCTCGCCGCCAGCGCCCCTCTGGCTATCGAGCGGCTTTCGAAGGTGTGGTGCGGGCACATCGATGGGAGGTAGAGAGGAAGACATGGTGCAGCAACGCAGGTCGATAGGCCAGTCGCGCGCACGAAAATGACCAGTGCTCAGTGTCAAGAAAGAAAGGAGTAGGGAAGAAGTCGAGCGTGAAAGCACTTGGGATAGATCAATGGTGACATAGATTCGCCGGGAAGGGCGAGGAGCCTTGCCGCTGTAAGTAAACGGACGTTGAAGAGATGCGTAGTGGTGTCGTGTAGCTGGGTTCCGATCAGGCACCAAGGGCGGCGCGGACTAAAGTGTCCGGCAGGGCTGGCGGCATAGGAGGCCGAAAGCTAGGGCTGTCGGCAGATAAGCCTGCCGATAGGTCCAGAGGAAGCCCAGCAGGCCTGGGAGAGCAGAGGCCTGATGCAAAAGGAGGACATCAATAAGGAAGGACATAAACAGGGGGCGTTTTAGAAGGCTGAAGATAAGGGGCGGGGATGAAGCAGGCAAGATCAGCACAGGAACCTTGTCATACCTTTCCACGCCCTGTTGTACACCAATTAGTTTGCCCTCCTCGCGGGGTAGAGACCGACCTAATATATAACACGTACAAAGCGCACGGGGAGGTGTTGCAGGAAGGTCGTGGTTACACTTGATAGGGAAGGTCGGGAAAGAGGGGACCGGAAGCAACCGTTATAGGTGAGGGCGAGCTGAAGGAGGGCCATTCCTACTTTCGGTGCAGCAGGAATACTAAGAGATACCGAGGAAAAGAAAGATTAGCACAATGTTCCTTTGGCCGCCTATTTGCAACGGCCAAATAGAAAGATGCGGAGGAGAACCGAGGAGGAGGAGAAGACCTCGCCAGGCAGATTTTTATGGTGTCAGCTCCTGCGCATGGGCTAGTCGAGGCCGTCCGCCGGGAAAGACGCGTGGCGGCGGAGTTAGGAACCGCGGGGGAGAAGGGAGGGGGTCTGTCCGGACAAGCACTGCCGCGTTGTCCCCGAGTTATAAAGACTATAAGGTTGCTGGAGACAGACCGCTGGTAGGAAGAATGGCGATACGGCGGAACGCCATCGCCGGGAAGCAAGGCAATCCCAGCGTATATCGCGAGCGAAAGCTTCCCTATCCATCGTACGGTTGCAGAGCCTAGCCGTCAAGAAAGCACCAGCATGGGGGAGAATCCTAGCCGCGAGGCTAGGTTGGTGGCAAGAGGGTGCGAAATAGCGACGGTGGCAGCGGCCGCTGCTGCGACGAGGAGCATTACGGCGGGGAGACTGAGTGCAACGGACGAAGGGCCGAAGCGGGCCTCGGACCATGAAAGCCAAGCTAATACGGTACCTAGGTTCCGGCCTATCGAAGCCAAGCAGGCAACGCTGGCTGAGGAGGCCTCACGAAGAGAACAAGCAGAGGCACTCAAAGAGCGTTGCCCAAGGGAAGTCGGCGAGGCGGTTGGCCGCGGAAAAGACGACGCACGTCAATGGCGCCTCCTCGAAGGGAGGGCGGGCGCGACGCTCAGAAGCGATAAACGCGCGTGATAGGTGTCCAAGCATAGAAGCAGACGCTGCCACAATAGGGTCGGTAGTTGCTGAGCCGGCTAGGCGGGTCTTACGCCGTCCGTTGGCGCTGTGTTGGAGGGAGCGGCCGACAACCTCGTACCGCAGCGGCACACGTTGGCGAAGGAGATGAGGGCTAGGAGTGGCGAGAGAGGCGCACCAGGCATAGTTGCTCTGCAAGCACCACCCGCCCCAGGGTCTTGGTTGGGCGAAACGAATGCCTAAGCGGCAGGGGATCTTCCGTCGCGGCCGGAGGTGGCCACGAGATCGTTCGGCCTGGGCAACTCATCGGTGGCGTACGGATGACTCTGAAGGGTCTTGTTAGGCGGACAACTGGTGCCGGGGGGGAACAGAGGAGGGGGAGACCGACAAGCAGGATGGGATTTCGGCTGGGAGAGGCGAGCCTGCAGTCGCCCCGGCCCATCCAGCCCAAAGGGATCAGGGACGTGGCCGGGCACAATCGTCCTTCTGGCGAGGCCGGGTCGTGCATCGGGGCAGCGGCCGCTGCTACGAGGAGGAATACTGCGAAGGCGAGACCGAGCGCGACGGACGAAGGACCGAAGCGGGCGTTGGGCCGCGAAAGTCAAGCGGGCCCGGCACCTGGGTTGCGGCCTATCGAGGCGAAGCAAGCGCCGATGTCCGGGGAGGTCTCAGGAGGAGAGCAAGCGGAAGCACCCGAAGAGCGTCGCCTCAGGGAAGTCGGCGAGGCAGTCGGTCGCGAAAAATACGGCGCGCGTTGATGGTGCCTCTGCAAAGGAGAGGCAGCGCGACGTTTAACAAGATCTCGGCCAGAGGACGTAAGCCAGCGCTTGCCGCAACAACCCATCCAGCCGAAAGGGATCAGGGGCGCGGCCGGACACATACCTCCCTCGGACGAGGGCGGATCGTGCGTCCGGGTCGTGGAGGGCGTCCAGAGGGGCACGACTAGAAAGCGAAGGGGTGGTGCGCAGACGAGGCCCAAGGGCCCCGACGGACACTCAAGCCGCCCAGGAGCACAGGATCGGCCGGCAACCAGTGTCGGGGTTTCGTCTCGAGTTGTCAGGAGCGCCTCATTAGGCCAATCCAACCTAAAGAAATAAAATACAGAGCGGAGATTTGCAGTCACCCGGACGCCAGGCGGGACAGGGTCGGCCGGCAATCAGGGTCGGGACCTCGCCCAGAGTAGTCGTCAGGGAGTACGTCGTTCAGCCGATCCAACCGAAAGAGATGGAAGAGGGAGCCGGAGATACACACTCATCCGGACGGTTGCCACCACGGCCATCAGGGGAGGCAGCGGCGGGAGAACAAGACCGGCCGAGGCGAGACGAGGCTGCGGCAAGATCTTCGCGGCCAGCGGAACAGAGAAAGAGGAACCGGCAACCCGACCGAGACGAGCCACTGACGAAACGTACTCGAGGCGGCCAATCTAGGGAGGTGGGGGATGGAGCAGGAGATGTGCAGTCATCCGGACGGCTGCCACCACGGCCACCACGCCAGGCAGGACGGAATCGGCCGGCAACCAGGGTCGGGATCTCGTCTCGAGTTGTCGGGGAGTCCTCGTTCGGCCAATCCAACCTAGAGAAATAGAAGATGGGACAGGAGATTTGCAGCGATGCGGACGCCAGGCGGGACCGGGTCGGCCGGCAACCAGTGTCGGGACTTGGCCCGAGTCGTCAGGGCATCCCCTCCAGCCAATCGAAGCTAGAGATGGAGGATGGAGCCGGATATTTGCAGTCATCCGGACAGTTGACACCACGGCCATCACGTCAGGCGGCGGCGGGAGAACAAGATCGGCCGAGGCGAGACGAGGCAGCGGCAATATCTGCGCAGCCCGTGGAACAGAGAAAGAGGAACCGCCTGCCCGACCGAGACCAGCCCCAGGCGAAACGTAGTCGAGGCGGCCATCGGAGGCAGAGGAGCCGTGAGTCACAGGCGGAGGATTTGGCCGGCGTCTTACGTCACCTTGGGGAGGAATTCGCCGCGAAGGAGAGGCTGTCCAACGAGCAAACGTGGTGCACACCAGTGCCGCACGAGAGGAAGGTATCAACGGTGCGGAGCTTCTACCGGGCGTTCCACGACGTGGACACGCTGCCGATACGGACGTGCATGCTGTGCTACCGGAAGCGCACGAGAAAGAGCTGAGGAGGTGGCATGGGACCAGTGGTTGTCAAGTCCTATCCCTAAGGCTGGGTGGTCGCCATTTGCGTGCCGGAGTTGCTTCCGCGAGGGCGAGCCTGTCCCGGTTTGCGCAGAGTGTTCTCGACGCTTGGCGTGCGGTGTGCTGTCGCCAGCGGCGCAGCTTCATAGACGTCTCGGTTGTGAGCACACGTTCCCGGATGAGCTCAAGGGCCTGACGCCGGTGGAGGAGAAGCTGATCGCGCTGAACTCGTGCTACGGATTCGTAACCAGGTACAACGTCTCAGGCGGCCAGAAGCAGACGCTAAGGTATCCCAAGCACGTCAAGGGCCACATCACGGTGTTCCCAAACAACGTACAAGAGCTGGCGACGGACGTGCTGCCGCACCCTCTCTTCCAGGTAATGGACGAGATCCACGTCTCGTGGCAGGGGGCGCTAAGGCCGACACCGAGCGATCTGTCGAGTCTCCTATCGGTGAGGCGGCGAGTCGTCGAGAGAGCCCTTGTCTGGTTGAAGAGGAACAACCCCACTACGCCGCGATCGAGATCGACGCGGCAGAGATGGAGAGCTGGGGACCCGGCCCACGGGGTGCCGCCGTTGGTGTACGAGCGCCTGGAGCGGAACGAGCCGTCGGCGTGGGAGAAGACGCGGACGGCGCACGTCGTGCCGCCCACGGAGCGGGCCATGGACGACGAGGGGGCGGTGGAGATCGAAGAAGTCCTCGCCATGCTCAACCAAGGGGAAAGCACGACGAGTCGCGAGGCCGGCGAGCCAGAGGCAAGCGAGGTGGACGAGGTGCGTGGTCAGAGCTGCGGCGAGGCCGATGATAATGCGAAGACGGTCAACGAGGTGACCTCGTCAGGATGTTTGCGTTGGACGGACCGCCCGACGTGGCCGACGTCGACAAGCTGCGGTTCGCATGCGATTCCGTTCGCCAAGGCGCAGCCGACGACGGTACGGGCCCGAGGACGTGGGTCGAATCCTCGGCAAGGGCAGCCGGGGCACGTCGATGGTCCTGAACCATTCATCCATGTCCGCCGCGGGATGAATTCGCCGACTCGTTCGAAGCTTCTTTCTTCGCAAAGACCTTTCCCACGCTATTACCATTCGGTGTCGGAGGGCCGCGGCCGGTCGAGGAAGCAAGCTCGCAGTTGGGCAGAGGCTCGGTCAACACGCGCGCGGCGGCGGAGGCGGGGCGCAGGACCTCCTGTCATCCCGGAACATGAGCCTTCGTACGTGGGCCGACACGGTGTTGCGACGCCACGGCGGCCGGTTCGCGACGCACCACATCTTCGCATTCCTCGTCTTCAACATGGGCGTGCGGTCGAGGAACCGCCGCGTCAGCATGCTGAGCGTGACGAGGAAGAACTTCCGCAAGGTGGAGCGCATCGTACGGTCGCTGACCGCAGACGGGTTAGCGGCAGCTAGAGCCGAGCTGGAGAGCACAGGCAAGACGACCGACGACGGCGTGAAAGAGCTTCTCAGGAGCCTCTCGCTCTATGGCTATCGTCAGCCCATGTCGAGAGAGCTCCGTCTCAGTATGCGGCACAAGATCCTGGCGCTCATCGTCCGCTACGGCGTGCCTGCGATCTGGTTCACGATCAACCCAAACGACATCACGAACCCGGTGAAGCTCCGACTGGCAGCGTACCGCACGCGCGACCCTGAGGCGGCCGAGGAGTTCCTGCGGAGCCTCGATATGTCGTTCAAACGGGTGAGGCTGTCCGTCTCCGACCCGATGAGCTCAGCCATGTTCTTCCACCGGGAGATGACGCTGTTCTTCGAGCATTACGTAAATGCAGGGGAGTCGGTGTTCGGGCGCATCGGCCACTACTACGGTGCCGTGGAGACCAACGAACGAGGATCCCTTCACGTCCACGGGCTGCTCTGGTTACACGGAAACGCGCACCTGAGCTCCATGCTTTCCGACGCCCACGGGGAGGAGCAGGCGGCGTACCGTGAGCGAATCATCCGCTATGTCGATAGCGTCTTCTGTGGTAGGTAACAGCAAGGGGCGTTGCTGTCATGGGCCGAGAAGACGCAGGCTGACGCGGAAGGCAGGACTTGGACCAGGAAGGCTTCTGCGCCGTGCAGGCGGAGCGTTCGGTGACGTCTGACGTCTCATCCCTGCTGGACAGTGCCGAGCAGTTCTCGGCCGGATTCGAAGAGGAAGCCAACTTCTGCGCCGGCGCGACGCAGATCCACACCCACAGCCCGACATGCGTCAAGTACTCCCTGGGCAACAAGGGGCGAAGGGGCGACCTCTGTCGCTTCAAGGCGCCATGGAAGCTGGTCGAGGAGACGACGCTCTCACAGGACGGCGTGCTGCGGATCCGCAGGACGCATCCCATGGTGAATCGGTGGAACAAGGCCATCGCCGTGGGCTCCGCCACAACCACGACATCTCCTTCATAGCGACGCAGCGGAAGACCATGGCTCTCGTCTATTACGTGACGAATTACGCGACCAAGGTAGAGGACCCGACGTGGAAGCGCGTCGCCGCGGCCGCGGAACTGCTGCCCGTCGTCGCAGCAGGTGGCCAGCCGGGTGCCAGGAGGATGCCGGAAATGGCGTCGTCGGCGGCGACGACGGAACCAAGAATAATAAGACGCGGCAGTTTCTGATGAGAGTGGCGAACAGGATATTCACGGAGCGCGCCCTGTCGCAAGTCGAGGTCGTCGCCCATCTCCTGGGATACCCGAGCGAGTTCACGAGCAGCAGCGCCTGGGCGTACCTGAACGTGTCGGTGCTCTACTGGCACGTCTCCAGGCGCTGGCGACACCTTCGGCAGGAGAGCGGCACCGCGGTCGCAGACGTGTCCGTGGACGAGTCGGTCGCCGTGGAGGAAGCAGGCGAGAGGATCAGCTTCGCCGAGGCGTACCATCATCGCGGACACGTCCTACGAGGCTTGTGCCTATATGACTATGTTTCGCTCGTCAGGCTCCAACGCGTCGGCAAGGACGGGTGCTCCGGTGCCTGGGGAGGTGCCTTTCGAGAGCGGCTGGGTGGCCGGCAAAGACTGGGTGCAGGTATTGAGGCGGCCAGGAAAGCACGCCGTCGTCTGCCTTGACGGCCACCTTAGCAAGGATTTCGAGCAAGACGACGAGGAACAATGCCACCGCCGGTAAGTAGGTGCGGTGGATGGCCGGTCGAAAAGCGGTCCCAACGCGCGGTGACTAACCGTGCCGCTACAGAGCAGCCGTGCAGCATCTTGCCCTATTCGCGCCGTGGGAGACCTTTCTTAGCGAAGAGCGAGGCGACATCAACGAGATATGGAGGCGCGCACGAGAGCGGCTTCCGCCAAGAACCTCGTGCCTCGTCGATAACGTTCAACTACTCCGGCGGTCCGCCGAGGACGCAAAGCGAGACGCCAAGCAATGGGCAGCGTCGTCCGGCGACGGGGATCCGGCCGGCGCACCTGGCGATTGGGGAGGATGGGGAGGGGCCGGGCGAGGCGGACCGCGAGGCGGATCCGCGTACCAGTCCGGCAACGGCGGAAACGCAACGCGGCTGATCGAGGTCGTTAGAAGCGCGGCCGGCGCGAACCAGATCACGGCGGGGTCGCGGAGCTTTCGGGAATGATGCAGCAGCTCTCCCGCTTCCAGCAATCAGCGCTAGCCTCGACGGCCGAGCTCCGGGCCACCGTCGTGACCGAACGGGGTGGGGGCATCAACATGCCCGGGCAGGTGTTCCCCGGGCTGCAGTGCCGCCGCAGGATCAGGTCAAGGCCATCAAGTCGCAGCAGACATGCGCCTCAAGAGAGGGTGAAGATGATCCAGGGCATACAAAGCATGGCCCCGGCCCACGGTACCGATCGCGGCGCAGCGGAGCGGAGCGTGCTCGCCGGCTTCGGGGAGGAAGACGTCCAGGTGACGCGAGTGGAAACCGAGGAGAGGGCAGGTAACGCGGAGGCCGGCATGGAAGTCCGCCTCGGCCCATCCACCTCCTTTCACGAGGCCGGGAAAGACTTGACAAGACGATTGACGCTAAACAAGAAGCAGGCGATTGCCTTCTCCATAATATGCCGCCACCTGGACTCGATGCGGCAAGGAGACGGAGGCGACGTCAGCCAGCTCTGTCAGTTCGTCGGCGGCGAGGGCGGCACCGGCAAGTCGCGCGTCATCGAAGCACTCGTGGGCCTCTTCGCCGCGAAGGACCTCTCGCATCGCCTGCTGATCACGGCGACGTCGGGGACCGCCGCCGCGCGGGTCAACGGCATCACCATCCACTCGGCCTGCGGCTTCACCAGGACCAAGGGCCGGGCGCGAACACGGCGAGGGACGTCGACGGCGTGCGGTTGCCGAGGCAGGCGGAGCGGTTCGTCAACGGCCAGTCTCGGATGGACTGGCAGGATAAGGACATGCTCGTCATCGACGAGGTGAGCATGCTCGGCGCGCGGACGCTGCACGCCGTCAACGAGCGGATCTGCCAGCTGCGGGGATCGCAGCGGGACTTCGGCGGATCCCCATCGTCCTCTTCTGCGGGGACTTCCACCAGTTCCGCCCGGTCCAGGAGAGGTCGATCCTGCTGCCGAGCGCGGCCGTCTCGTGGGACGAGGACAACTCGTTCAGGGCCGAGCAGCGCCACCAGCACGACAAGGCGCACGCGCTGTGGAGGCGGTTCACGACGGCCGTCATGCTGGACGAGCAGATGCGCGCCGCCGGCGACCCGGAGCTGCAGCGGCTGCTGAAGCGGATCCGCGGGGGCGTGCAGGACCACACGGACCTGGATCTCCTCAACTCGAGGTGCCACCGGGAAGGCAGGCGGATCCGTGGGAGACGGGCATCACCGTGGTGACGCCGCTCAACAGGAATCGGTGGAACCTCAACATGGAGGCGAGCCTGGCGTTCCAGATCCAGCAGCGGTCGACGGTGCGCATCTTCCTCTCCGAGCACAAGTGGAAGGACGGCCTGCCGACCGAGGAAGAGGCCATCATGATGCTGAACCAGGGCGACGACAGCGCGATCCCGGTGCCGGCCGTCTTCATGTTCGTGCCGGGGATGCCGGTCGTCGTGAACCACAACACCACCAGGGGCTGAAGCTGGTGAACGGTGCTAGCTACACGGCGGTGGAGGTCATCGTCGACAAGGCGCACCGGGGCATCGGATCTCGGCCGACATGACGATCCACTTCGGGCCGCCGGCGGCGATAATACTGGGGTCGAAGACGACCAAGGACTTCCACTTCGTCGGGATGCCGCCCGGCACGATCCTGCTGACGCCCATGAGCGTCAGGATCCAGTGTCAACGGAAGCGACCGTGGCAGCAGAACGACGTCAGCCGAAAGGGCCTGCCGTGCGCCGCCGCTTTCGCGTGCACGGATTACAAGGTGCAGGGGGGGACGCTGGAGCGCGTGGCGCTCGAGCTGCGGGGGACGAGGACGACAAACGTCGGCGGACGCGCCGTCCCGTCGCAGTGCGACCCGTACAGCCTATACGTGCAGCTGTCACGGTGCCCGACGCTGGACGGCATCATGCTCGTGTCGAAAGTGCGAGAGAGACCTAGTGGGAAACCGGGTCCCCGGGAGATGACCGCCGCACAAGCGAGGCTGGAGGAACTGAGCGATAGAACTGTTCGGGAAGCGATGTGCAACAGGCTCGGTGAGAGCGCGGGGGACAGAGACGGTGAGCAGTAGGTAACTTAACCCAAGAGGGCGCGACACCAATAACTTAGCTATGCCCCACCCCCGACCCTTGCAAGGACTTCATTACTAATGGGAAAATTGGGTCAGGGCGACCGGTGGAGCAGGCGGCACAAGCGAATGGGAAGGGGGGTTTTCAACGGGCCAGAAGCGAAAGCGGTTTATTATTCTGGGCAATCAGAAGTCTCAGGGCACGGACAAGCGAATCAGATGCCCCAGGACATGACAAACAGAAGGCGAAAGGCCCAACCGAAGGCGAAATGACCGTAGCCAATCGACCGAGCGAATCAGAAGCGGGGATTTCGAGGGGCAAAACCGGGGGTGGGGCATAAAGTCCTTTCGTTCCTCAAGGCATGGCGAATTTTTTTTCTCCCCGGGGAGGAACCCTAAGAACCTTTCGTCACTCGTTCCTCGTTCCTCAAGGCACAACTACAGCATGGCCACTTGCAACGTTTCCGTGGAGTTCTGGTGCGAATTCGGGGCCACGGAGCTCAAGTACAAGCATAGCATCCCGAAGACGCTCGTGACGCAGGTAGGCCAGGCGAGGCCGAACCACGAAGCCAGCGCACTGTTCCTACAGTGGATAAGGCCGATCCTACGGGAGCACGAGGCGGCGTGTCGGAAGGCAGCAGGGGCGCGCTGCGAGAGTTGCGGCGAAGTCGCAAAGGAGATTCTACAGAGCCCGATATCGTACCTACATGCAGAGAGACCGTTTGTGCTCGTGGTCGTGTCGTCATTCTGCGGTCAAGAAGGATGCGAAATAAGGGCGAGGCAGGAAATGCAGGACACGATGGCAGAGGCGGGGCAGGCGGACGGAAGCATGGGCGCAAAGCAAATGCAAGGGCAGGATGCACAGAGCACAGAGGAAGGTCTGCCGGGTTTGTGGAGAGATGGCGGGGCGAGGAGGTGCAGCCGATGCCTGGCGGTCGCGTATTGCAGCAGGCAACACCAAAAGGAGGACTGGAAGGTACACAAGAAGGGATGCAAGCCAAAGGCAAGCTAGGGAGCTAGTGAGGGGAAGCAAGCAACGCCGTCGAGGCGGCCTTAAGGCCAGCCTCACACGCCGCAACGGCCCTTGTAGAACCAACCGCCGATTTCGGCGACCCTCGTCCCTATGACTTGCACAACTAAGGAACGGAATGTAAGATAACAAAGACGCCCCTTTGCGAGGCGCAACTACAGGGCCCCGTCGCCGCTAAACGCAACTGAGAGGTGCGGCGGCAAGCTGGCAAGAGAGAGAAGGAATGGTAAGGAAGGGAAAGAGAAGGGCGAGGCGCAACGCATGGGACATTAACAAGGTCACGGAGAACGTCTAGAGGCAGGCAGTGTTGTAAGAAACGGGTTCGCAAGCCAAAACTGTCCTTTAATAAAGGGAGAAACGTGGCAATGCGTAGAGTAATAGTAATTTTGCAGCGACAAGCTGCGTTAGGAATAGTATCCCGTTCCATTTTAGTAAAGGCAGGAGGCGTAAGAGAGCGATTGGTTTATAGTAGGCAGCTTATTTCTGCATGCGATAGCGGAGAGGGCGAGCGGGCGGGTCGGAGGTGCTCGCGACGATAGAGTCGAGAAGGGAAGGCGGGGGAGCGGGAGCGGGAGCGGGCGGGATGCCGTCCAGTCGAGACGAAGAAGCGGCTGGCGGGGGACAGTGTCACGACCCTGGGCGCCAGCGTAGAGCCGCCAGCGCAGCACCTCACCAGTGTCACGTGCCCAAGCAGCATCACGTGCCCACGCGCGACCTCGTGTCTATATAAGGGCCCGCTCGGTCGTGTAGTCTAGTCTTCCTTTCTTGCTCCTTAGCTTTGAGTCTTCGTTCATAGTGCCAATACATCTTTATAGCCGTCAAGGCTCGTATGTGCCTGGCCGTAACACTACTCAAAGCTCAATAAGATCGCTTGCCAGCGATTAAGCAAATAGGCACCGAGCTTTCGTCACACGCGCCTGACGTAAATCCAGCGCATCCGTTCTGACCGTTCCGACCAAGACTCCGACCACCGACCAAGTGATCCTCAAGGCTGAGATCACGTCCGTTCCGACCAAGACTACGCGTGTGTGTAGTCGTCCGACCAACCGTTCCGACCAAGGGATTCGTCCCGTCTGACCTCCGACCGTCCCTGCTCGTGCAGGCATCTGACCGTGATTCCGCGTGGTATCATTTCCGACCCTAGACTCTGACCTCGAGACTATGATATCCGAGGAAGCCCTGCCCTCTGATCAGCCTCGCCGTTCTGCCCGGCTTGCTGGCCAAGCCACTGAATCCGAAATAGCAGCCATGGCTGCCCTGAGCCCCAAGACGCTCTCATCCGCGAGATGAGGACAGATTGCGGCCTTAACGGCCCGTCTAAATGAACGCTCTCCGTCTGTTGAATCAAATCGACAGCACCGGGAGCCCTCGACTGCTTTTGCCGGCCCAAATGGCCCGGCCTTCCGACCAACAGGCAAAGCTGCCTGGCCTGTTTTTGCCCCTTCCCAGAGGGCAAGAACCCCGAGTACAGCGACGCCGCCAAATCGCGCATCAAGGTCTCCGCGACGTTCTCAGGAAGAAGGACGAGTTCCATTCCTTCATCCTGAGCATAAAGAACAAATTTGACGAAGACGTACGAACCTTCCGGACTGAGAACAGCCGGATGGTCTGTCTGTATAACCTGCTCGAGGAAAAGCCCGCCGAGCACTTGAAACCCGCTTCTCCTCTGACACTCGACCCTTCTCTGGAGTGGCAGAGATGATCCAAGCCCTTGAGTCCGCCTATGGCAATCCGAATGAGCTTTCCGAGGCTCTTGACCGCCTGCAACGCCTCCAGTTTACCGTGAATGGGAAGACCGACATTGTGGACTTTCTTGCGGAATTTGACTACTTAACTGCGACCGGTCGTGTGCCCGAGGACCAGATGAAGCATACCTTGTGGCAGCACATCCCGGCCAACCTAGATAACAGCCTCTTGACCAAGACCCGTGACGAGTCCGTGACCTACGAGGTTTTCTGTGGGTTCATTAAGGACGCTGTCCACTGCCAGAAGAGGAGTATGAGGCAGACACAGGACTCCCGCTCTTCCGACCGATCTCGCCGCGCGCCGACTAAGACTGCTCCGACTACCGCCAAGACTCCGAACAAGACCGGCTCGACCCCTATCACCTCGCGTGATGCTGGCAGAGCCTTGACCGACGATGAGAAAAGGGCCCATTGGGATAATGGCACCTGCTTTATTTGTGGAAAAACAGGGCACCTCTCTCGCGAGTGTCCCGACCGCACCCATGCTGTCTCCCGTGTCGCCTCCGTCCCTGTCCCTGCCAACGACTCTGATCAAGATTCGGGAAACGAATAGGACCATCACAAGTCTCCTTGATGGTCCCTAAGGTGTCACAGATAGCGAGTAGGTCTAGCAAGTCATTCACTCAGCCAAGTCAAGTCCAAGTGGATGGTGTGAGCCTACCTGCCCGCTCCCTCTGTGATACCGGAGCCGAAACCCGTTTGCTGGTTAGCCCAACCTTCGCCCAGTCCGCCGCCCAAAGACTCGGAGCCCAGATTAAGGAGCTCCCGAGTCGGATTCCCCAAGACTTCCGTGGAAAGCCAGCCGGCTATATCCAGAAACAGCTGGTCGCCACTTTCGTCATCGATGGCCGTTCGTTCGCAAACGAGACATTTGATATAGCTGAGTGTGGCCATGATATCTTTATCGGTCTTTTCTGGATGCGGAGAAGCGCCTCCTGCTTGACTGCGCCGCCCGACAGATCATCTGGCCAGATGATCTTCCTGCCTCGCCAAGTTCTCCCGACGATCCAGCTCTCTCGTCAAGCCCCGCTCTCGGGTCGGATCGACCCTAAGATCCAGGCCGACGCTGAGAGGCGGAACCGCCTGCTCGAGAAAGAGGAGAAACGCTACCGGATCCTCCACAAGAACTGGCGCCGCTCTGATCAAGCTCCTCCGGCCTCTGTCCCGACCCCGTTACCGACTCCGTCTCCGTCGTTTCAGTCCAAGTCTCCGTCTGCCAAGAAGTCTGTCCGTTTTCAGCTCACGACCGCCCCTGCTACCGACTTCGTCTCCGTCGCCTCGGTCCAAGCCTCCGAAGATCAAGCCCTGATTAACGCTCTGGTCTGCCAAGTAGAGTCTCACGAGAGATTCGAACAGTGGAACGAACTCGAACCGTTGATGCCCCGGGATCCAGTCCAGCTCGAGCCAAGCTCCGGCCTTGACCAGACCGTCCCTAGTGCTCGAACCATTGCTAAAGTCTCCCGGATCAGAAGACCTACCAGGGACAAAGCATTCCGTTCCCTCAGGAGAAGACCCTGAGCATGTTGCTTGTGTCCGTAGTCGTCTACCGCCCCAGCTCACCCATCTAGAGGATTCTTCTCGAAGAAAGAGGCCCACCCTACCTTCGAGCCGACCCGGTCACGATGTAGTCCTAGAGCTTGAGAAGCCTCTTTCGCCGACAGGACCCCATCGTACCGCACGCCCGTTAAGTATCTGCCTCTAGAGAAGAGACTGTCGATCACCTCCGGAGATAGACTTCATCGAGCCCGATCCGAGTCCGCACGCCGCATCCGTCCTCTTCGCTCCGAAACCGAACACGACCGCCCGCCGCTTCTGCATCGACTACCGTTGGATGAACGATCATCTTAAAAGTCGCATCACGCCCGCTCCGTCCCTCGAAGGTACTGCTTTCGGTTGCCGTGAAGCTCAACGCTTTACGAAGATCGATGTGATCCAGGCCTTCCACCGTCTCCGCATGGACCCTGACTCCGAGTATTTGACCGCCTTTCGCACCCGTTTCGGAACTTTCCGCTGGAAAGTCCTCCCGTTCGGTCTGAAGGTAGGTCCCGCCTGGTTCCAGCAGTTTATCAACGCGCAGCTTCACGATCTCCTCGACCGGTGCGCCAGCGCCTACGCAGATGACGTCCTGATCTACTCGGATAAAGAAGAAGACCACTGGAAAGACTGTCAAGAAGTGATCTGGCGACTCCATCAGGCCAACCTCCAGGGAGACATCAAGAAGTCTAGATTTAACGTGACCAAGGTTGACTACCTCGGCGTTCTGCTTGAAGCCGGTGTGGGCCTTAGTGTCGACCCTCGGAAAGTTCGATCGATACAAGACTGGAAGTTTGAAGACCTCCGAGACCGCACCGCGATCCGATCATTCGTTGGCCTATGCAACTTCATCCGTGTTTTCTGCTACCACGCCTCGGGAGTGGCAGAACCCTTGAACCGGTTGCTTAAGAAGGATGTTGCCTTTGTGATGGGCCCGGAGCAACGCGAAGCATTTGATCAACTCAAGCGCCTGGCTATCGAAGCCCCGGTCCTCGCCTTCTTTAGACCAGAACTGCCGACCCGACTGGAGACCGATGCCTCCCGGAATGCCACAGCTGGTGTTCTATGGCAGGAACAGCCTGATCAGACCTGGAAGCCCGTTGGATTCTTCTCTAGGACCATGACCCCGGCCGAGCGAGCCTACCCAATCCAAGATCAGTGTCACGACCCTGGGCGCCAGCGTAGAGCCGCCAGCGCAGCACCTCACCAGTGTCACGTGCCCAAGCAGCATCACGTGCCCACGCGCGACCTCGTGTCTATATAAGGGCCCGCTCGGTCGTGTAGTCTAGTCTTCCTTTCTTGCTCCTTAGCTTTGAGTCTTTGTTCATAGTGCCAATACATCTTTATAGCCGTCAAGGCTCGTATGTGCCTGGCCGTAACACTACTCAAAGCTCAATCTTCGCGTGCCCCGCGAAACAAATATAGGCAACCTTCGCGTGCCCCGCGATAAACAAATAGGCACCCACAACCTGGTCCTTCGCGCTGGACTGAAAACTCGTGCACTCCGACCGACCGTTGACCCGTTGCACTAAGGACTGTGCCCCGACTCAACACCGACCGACCCTCCTGTGTGTGATCAGGAGCCCGACCGATTCGCTTCGTTAAGGACTGCGTTGCGAATCACTTCCGACCCCTCTGTATGTGATCAGAGGGTTGACTGTCCGTGAGGACACTCGACCAAGCCCTCCGAAGGTACTGGAGGCACCTGTCGACTCGTCTGCGTGTGCAGCTCGGCTCGGCCTTGACCCGCGCACGCACTAAGGACTGTGCAGCGCATCGACCCGTTCCTCTTCCTAAAGACTGGAAAGGAACAACCTCCGCCTGTCGACTTGACCCTCCTGTGTGTGATCAGGAGGTTTGGCCCACCGATTCGCTTCGTGTTGGATTCGACCCCGACTCGCCCTTGACTAGGTGATGCCGAAGAAACTCGACTACGGACCCCCGACAAGGAAGTCAGTCCGTACGGCATCGCAAGTGCCTGATCAAGGCCCCTCGACCCAAGACCAAGACCAAGACTCGACCCCGATTCTCCAGCTGCAAGAGGAGACGTCGGCCTCAATCGAAGACCCGCCAACGATGGCCCAAGTGACGGCTCAGCTGGCCGCCCGTCAACCTGCAATACTGGATCGAATGTGCTGCAGCGGAGGAGGGCTGCGAGGAACGAGACGATGACGACACAGCAGAGAAAGCCGTGAAACCAAGAAGCCGCCGCCACGACTGACTACCTTGATACGCATATCAAGGCCTTAGACGGGGGGCAGTGTCACGACCCTGGGCGCCAGCGTAGAGCCGCCAGCGCAGCACCTCACCAGTGTCACGTGCCCAAGCAGCATCACGTGCCCACGCGCGACCTCGTGTCTATATAAGGGCCCGCTCGGTCGTGTAGTCTAGTCTTCCTTTCTTGCTCCTTAGCTTTGAGTCTTCGTTCATAGTGCCAATACATCTTTATAGCCGTCAAGGCTCGTATGTGCCTGGCCGTAACAGACAGGAGGAGGGGGCGGCGGGGCCGACGGTGTCCGAAGACGAAGAAGGCGGCGAATGCTGCTGCTGTAGTAAGCGCGCCCTCTTCATGGGCGTATCGGCAAGGGCCGGGTGGGAGCGCTTAGGCGGCGGCGTGACGGGGTCGGGGGCGGTCGGGGCCGAGGCCGAGGAAGGGGGGGCCGACGTGGCCGAGGCCGGCGCGGCAACGGAGTACAAGGCGGCGCGGACGGAATCGAAGGTAGAGGAGGCGGATGGGGTCTGGCGCCTAAGGGGCGTAGCGAGGGGGGAAGCCGAGGCGGCGGCGGCGGCCGAGGGCCTATCGACAAAGGTCCAGCTGTCCGGGACGATGATAAAGACGTAATCGCGCTCCGAGCCCGGGGGGGAGAGCATAACGCGGTGGTCGAGAAGGCCGACGACCTTTCCGGTGCAGGTAAAGGGGACGCCGGGCAGGAAGGAAGAGTTAGGCTTTTCAGCGATTTTCTTGCATAGCACGGCCCAAGGGTTAACGTAGACGGGAAAGATAACAAAGACCTCGAAGGGGTGGTAGCCCTTAAATGGAATCCTGTCCGGCAGGCCAGGGGCGATGTAGGTCGTGAGCCGGACGAAGCCGCAGCAGCGGAGCTGGTCGGGCCCGAGACCGGGCAGGAAGTCTGGACGTAGGAGGTCGAGGCCAGGCCCGGCTACTGCGCCATGGAAGGAGACAACGGGAGGCGTAGACGGGAACTGGCCGCTAGAGGCCAAGGAGCGCGGCAGGACGCTAGGGGGCAAAGTCAGCGGGGCGGTGGGTGAGGAGGCGCATTAAAATGAAAAGGGGAAGGGGGCCCACGGCTGGTAACCTTGGTCGCGGACAATAAGGGCGGGCACGGTGTAGAGAATAGTATCGTCCGGGCCGGCCTCGAGCCCGTCGCGGCGCTCCACCTCCCAGGAGAGGGCGTAGGGGTGAACGCGGCCGCTCATAAAGAACCACTGCTCGGACCAGTCTGTATCGACGACCGGCTGGCCGTAGATGGAGAGGTTTAGACTAAAGAAGAGGGAGGGCCCTAGATCGTCGCCCTCGGCCCGGAGGGGTGCATACTCCGACTCTAGCAGCCACGAGGGCACCGGCAGGAGGACTCGGGCGATGGCTTCGGCGTTAAGGCCTCTGATGCGGTGCTCGTCCTGGTGGGCAAACCTCGCGGGGCAGTCAGGCTGGGCGAAGAACATCATGGACATGTCGCCGCCCGCGCCCTTGCTAGTGACAAGGGGCTTGCGGAGGTGCGGGCAGAGCTGTCCGCCGACGGAGACGAAGACATGGCGAGGCCGTGTAGTGGAAGAGCAACGTTGCCGGAGCGAAGCTATAAGCGGCGAGGAATAGGGCAGGAGTGCTCCTACCAATATGCCGTCTTAAGAGTTTAGTGTAGTAGGAAGGGCTAATGGCCGTGGTGTATAAGAGAAGTCAAAGGATCCTAAACGAAGAAGCAACGTAGCGTCAGCGGTAGGCTAAGATAAGGAGCCTATATAAAGGAGGTCTATAAGATGCGTATATAGAACAATGCGACAAGAGGAGAAGAGGAAACTTCGAAAGGCGGTCTAGTAAGACGTAGAGGGTTTTAAGACAAGCAGGACGCGCGAAGCTATGTTCGAGGAGAAGGAGGCAGACTTATTCGCAACACGTGTAAGATGTCACGACCCTGGGCGCCGGCGTAGAGAGCCAGCGCAGAACCTCACCAGTGTCACGTGCCCAAGCAGCATCACGTGCCCACGCGCGACCTCGTGTCTATATAAGGGCCCGCTCGGTCGTGTAGTCTAGTCTTCCTTTCTTGCTCCTTAGCTTTGAGTCTTTGTTCATAGTGCCAATACATCTTTATAGCCGTCAAGGCTCGTATGTGCCTGGCCGTAACACTACTCAAAGCTCAATAAGATCGCTTGCCAGCGATTAAGCAAATAGGCACCGAGCTTTCACGTCACACGCGCCTGACGTAAATCCAGCGCATCCGTTCTGACCGTTCCGACCAAGACTCCGACCACCGACCAAGTGATCCTCAAGGCTGAGATCACGTCCGTTCCGACCAAGACTACGCGTGTGTGTAGCCGTCCGACCAACCGTTCCGACCAAGGGATTCGTCCCGTCTGACCTCCGACCGTCCCTGCTCGTGCAGGCATCTGACCGTGATTCCGCGTGGTATCATTTCCGACACCTATCACCTCGCGACTATGATATCCGAGGAAGCCCTGCCCTCTGATCAGCCTCGCCGTTCCACCCGGCTTGCTGGCCAAGCCACTGAATCCGAAATAGTAGCCATGGCTGCCCCGAGCCCCCAAGACGCTCTCATCCGCGAGATGAGGGAACAGATTGCGGCCTTAACGGCCCGTCTAAATGAACGCTCTCTGTCTGTTGAATCAAATCGACAGCACCGGGAGCCCTCGACTGCTTTTGCCGGCCCAAATGGCCCGGCCTTCCGACCAACAGGCAAAGCTGCCTGGCCTGTTTTTGCCCCTTCCCAGAGGGCAAGAACCCGAGTACAGCGACGCCGCCAAATCGCGCATCAAGGCCTCCGCGACGTTCTCAGGGAAGAAGGACGAGTTCCATTCCTTCATCCTGAGCATAAAGAACAAATTTGACGAAGACGTACGAACCTTCCGGACTGAGAACAGCCGGATGGTCTGTCTGTATAACCTGCTCGAGGGAAAAGCCCGCCGAGCACTTGAAACCCGCTTCTCCTCTGACACTCGACCCTTCTCTGGAGTGGCAGAGATGATCCAAGCCCTCGAGTCCGCCTATGGCAATCCGAATGAGCTTTCCGAGGCTCTTGACCGCCTGCAACGCCTCCAGTTTACCGTGAATGGGAAGACCGACATTGTGGACTTCCTTGCGGAATTTGACTACTTAACTGCGACCGGTCGTGTGCCCGAGGACCAGATGAAGCATACCTTGTGGCAGCACATCCCGGCCAACCTAGATAACAGCCTCTTGACCAAGACCCGTGACGAGTCCGTGACCTACGAGGTTTTCTGTGGGTTCATTAAGGACGCTGTCCACTGCCAGAAGAGGAGTATGAGGCAGACACAGGACTCCCGCTCTTCCGACCGATCTCGCCGCGCGCCGACTAAGACTGCTCCGACTACCGCCAAGACTCCGAACAAGACCGGCTCGACCCCTATCACCTCGCGTGATGCTGGCAGAGCCTTGACCGACGATGAGAAAAGGGTCCATTGGGATAATGGCACCTGCTTTATTTGTGGAAAAACAGGGCACCTCTCTCGCGACTGTCCCGACCGCACCCATGCTGTCTCCCGTGTCGCCTCCGTCCCTGTCCCTGCCAACGACTCTGATCAAGATTCGGGAAACGAATAGGACCATCACAAGACTCCTTGATGGTCCCTAAGGTGTCACAGATAGCGAGTAGGTCTAGCAAGTCATTCACTCTGCCAAGTCAAGTCCAAGTGGATGGTGTGAGCTTACCTGCCCGCTCCCTCTGTGATACCGGAGCCGAAACCCGTTTGCTGGTTAGCCCAACCTTCGCCCAGTCCGCCGCCCAAAGACTCGGAGCCCAGATTAAGGAGCTCCGAGTCGGATTCCTCCAAGACTTCCGTGGAAAGCCAGCCGGCTATATCCAGAAACAGCTGGTCGCCACTTTCGTCATCGATGGCCGTTCGTTCGCAAACGAGACATTTGATATAGCTGAGTGTGGCCATGATATCTTTATCGGTCTTTTCTGGATGCGGGAGAAGCGCCTCCTGCTTGACTGCGCCGCCCGACAGATCATCTGGCCAGATGATCTTCCTGCCCTCGCCAAGTTCTCCCCGACGATCCAGCTCTCTCGTCAAGCCCCGCTCTCGGGTCGGATCGACCCTAAGATCCAGGCCGACGCTGAGAGGCGGAACCGCCTGCTCGAGAAAGAGGAGAAACGCTACCGGATCCTCCACAAGAACTGGCGCCGCTCTGATCAAGCTCCTCCGGCCTCTGTCCCGACCCCGTTACCGACTCCGTCTCCGTCGTTTCAGTCCAAGTCTCCGTCTGCCAAGAAGTCTGTCCGTTTTCAGCTCACGACCGCCCTGCTACCGACTTCGTCTCCGTCGCCTCGGTCCAAGCCTCCGAAGATCAAGCCCTGATTAACGCCCTGGTCTGCCAAGTAGAGTCTCACGAGAGATTCGAACAGTGGAACGAACTCGAACCGTTGATGCCCCGGGATCCAGTCCAGCTCGAGCCAAGCTCCGGCCTTGACCAGACCGTCCCTAGTGCTCGAACCGTTGCTAAAGTCTCCCGGATCAGAAGACCTACCAGGACAAAGCATTCCGTTCCTCAGGAGAAGACCCTGAGCATGTTGCTTGTGTCCGTAGTCGTCTACCGCCCCAGCTCACCCATCTAGAGGGATTCTTCTCGAAGAAAGAGGCCCACACCCTACCTTCGAGCCGACCCGGTCACGATGTAGTCCTAGAGCTTGAGAAGCCTCTTTCGCCGACAGGACCCCATCGTACCGCACGCCCGTTAAGTATCTGCCTCTAGAGAAAGAGACTGTCGATCACCTCCGGAGATAGACTTCATCGAGCCCGATCCGAGTCCGCACGCCGCTTCTGTCCTCTTCGTCCCGAAACCTATCACGTCCCCCCGCCGCTTCTGCATCGACTACCGTTGGATGAACGATCATCTTAAAAGTCGCATCACGCCCGCTCCGTCCCTCGAAGGTACTGCTTGGTTGCCGTGAAGCTCAACGCTTCACGAAGATCGATGTGATCCAGGCCTTCCACCGTCTCCGCATGGACCCTGACTCGAGTATTTGACCGCCTTTCGCACCCGTTTCGGAACTTTCCGCTGGAAAGTCCTCCCGTTCGGTCTGAAGGTAGGTCCCGCCTGGTTCCAGCAGTTTATCAACGCGCAGCTTCACGATCTCCTCGACCGGTGCGCCAGCGCCTACGCAGATGACGTCCTGATCTACTCGGATAAAGAAGAAGACCACTGGAAAGACTGTCAAGAAGTGATCTGGCGACTCCATCAGGCCAACCTCCAGGGAGACATCAAGAAGTCTAGATTTAACGTGACCAAGGTTGACTACCTCGGCGTTCTGCTTGAAGCCGGTGTGGGCCTTAGTGTCGACCCTCGGAAAGTTCGATCGATACAAGACTGGAAGTTTGAAGACCTCCGAGACCGCACCGCGATCCGATCATTCGTTGGCCTATGCAACTTCATCCGTGTTTTCTGCTACCACGCCTCCGGAGTGGCAGAACCCTTGAACCGGTTGCTTAAGAAGGATGTTGCCTTTGTGATGGGCCCGGAGCAACGCGAAGCATTTGATCAACTCAAGCGCCTGGCTATCGAAGCCCCGGTCCTCGCCTTCTTTAGACCAGAACTGCCGACCCGACTGGAGACCGATGCCTCCCGGAATGCCACAGCTGGTGTTCTATGGCAGGAACAGCCTGATCAGACCTGGAAGCCCGTTGGATTCTTCTCTAAGACCATGACCCCGGCCGAGCGAGCCTACCCAATCCAAGATCGAGCTCCTCGCCGTCGTACAGAGTCTAGAGCACTTCTACCCAGAGCTCTTAGGCCAGAAGTTCGATGTGATCACCGATCACGAAGCCTTAGTCCATTTCTCTACGAAGCGCCTGCTCTCGGTACGACAGATCAGATGGTCCGACTTTCTCGCCCAGTTCGACATCCGTTTCTCTACCGCCCCGGTCGACTGAACGTAGTCGCCGATGCCCTCTCCAGGAAGACAGCGGAGCTCCCTACCGTAAAGGCCCGGGAAGCCGAGGAACGCACGGTGACCCTGATCCTCCGGAAAGGCTAGGCTTCGCGACCGACTCTCTAGACCCTACGGCCGCCGGCAACCTGCCCCTCAGAACTTTAGTCCCGAACCTAAGCCTACTAGACCATTAGTTCTGAGGGCCACGAGTGCCCTACAGACCCCAGAAGACCGAGGGATACAGCAGACGCCCGATCAAGACCGCCCAGAACTAGACCCGAACTCGGTCCCGAAGGGAGCCGAACTCGTTTCGTTGATCCGCCAAGAGAACCTCCTCCAAGACCTCGGTACCCATGGAACACACCTGGTCGTACCAGCCCAGACCTCAGACAAGCAGACGTTTCTTCAGACCGCGCTCATTCGCGAAGCCCACGAACCCCAGATCTTCGCTCACGCCGGACAGAACAAGGTGATCAAGCTGCTCCAACGAGACTTCTACTGGCCAAGGATGAAGGAGGATATCCGTCGTTATATTCGGAACTGCCACGACTGCCGCCGCAACAAAACCCCTCGAGACAAGACCCCTGGACTGCTCCATCCACTGCCCGTACCGACCTCTGTTTGGGAGCACGTCGAATGTGACGGGAAGGATATGCCGAAAGACCGTTACGGATATGACTATGTTTGGACCTTCGTCTGCAAGCTAAGCCGGATTATCGCCACGCTCCCAGGAAAGAAAACGATACGGCAGAAGTCTTAGCTAGCCGCTACTTCCGCTACCTCTATCGTTTCTTCGGTATGCCCCTCGTATGGATTTCTGACAACGCTGGACAGTTTATTTCGCCTTCCTCGCAGAGATTAACCGGCTCACGGGAACGAAGCATCGTCATGGAAGCTCCCTACACCCTCAGACCCAAGGGTGTAGAAGTTACAAATCAATACCTAGATCAAAAGCTACGATTCTACGTGACGAAGCATCAAGATAACTGGAGTTCCCTGCTGCCCGCCCTCGACTTCGCCCATAACTCGTCTTGGCACTCTTCCATCGACATGGCACCGTTAAAAGTAGCCCTAGGCCGAGATATCCGGAACCCCCTGTCACTGCCCCCGACTGACAAGACCGCTGCCACCGGACCCGCCGCCAGAGCTAGGGAACTTGTGCAGACCGCCCAGGAAACCCAGGAAGACGCCAGGAATGCTGCCACCGCCGCTCAAGAACGTCAGAAGGAACAGGCTAATAGGAAACGACGACCAACCGACTTTGCCATCGGTGACCGAGTTTTTCTCAGCAGGAAAGGCTTCGCCACGAACGCTCCGACTACTCGGCTAGATAACCAATGGTCAGGTCCGTTCGTAATCCTGGAAGAACGCGGTCATAGCTACGCACTGCAGCTGCCCGAGTCGTACAAAATGAAGAACCTATTCCACGCCGACCGTCTTCGAAAAGCAGCCGATAACCCCTTGCCCCAGCAGATCCAGTCACCTCCGCCACCCGAGGAGATCAACGGAGAACCCGAGTGGGAGGTTGATCAAGTCCAGCAGTCTCGAGTAACCGGTAGGAGTCGACGACTGGAATACCAGGTCTTATGGAAGGGATGTGACCCTGATGAGACCTGGTACCCGGCTAGGAATTTCCGTAACGCACCAATGGCATTGAAGATTTTCCACGATGAACATCCGGACGCAGCAGGCCCACCCGTCAACCTGCAATACTGGATCGAATGTGCTGCAGCGGAGGAGGGCTGCGAGGAACGAGACGATGACGACACAGCAGAGAAAGCCGTGAAACCAAGAACCCGCCGCCACGACTGACTACCTTGATACGCATATCAAGGCCTTAGACGGGGGGTAGTGTCACGACCCTGGGCGCCGGCGTAGAGAGCCAGCGCAGAACCTCACCAGTGTCACGTGCCCAAGCAGCATCACGTGCCCACGCGCGACCTCGTGTCTATATAAGGGCCCGCTCGGTCGTGTAGTCTAGTCTTCCTTTCTTGCTCCTTAGCTTTGAGTCTTTGTTCATAGTGCCAATACATCTTTATAGCCGTCAAGGCTCGTATGTGCCTGGCCGTAACATAAGACATGGGTTCAAAATTCAGCAGGCGAGCGTCTAGGGGCGTACTGAGGCTTTGACCGACAAGACCTAGATGACAAGACGGAAAAAGTGTACCATGCAAAGCACAGGCAAGAAGAAGCTGTCTTGGCGACCTACATGTAAGGACCGGCCGAGGCCGTATAGCCCGCCGCCTTCAGCGGCGGGCAATAGCGGGCGGGCTCGATAGAAAGGCGGCGCCGGTATAATGTAAAGAGCAGCGGCACGCCTGTAGACGTACTAGAGAGCTACGAGTAAGATATATAGACTTTCCTAGAGGATCCTGTACGCACAGGAGGGGTGCCAGTCAGCAAGACAAGTGCAGGATGAATGGTCGAGGCAAGGACTTATACGCCGTTACTACACTTACGAGGATTTACGCCGGGAGCCCAGTAGCACCGCAAGTAGGCGGGGCCGGAGAGGGCAGCGCAAGCGAGGAAGACAAGAGGTCCGCGGGGGCCTCGGTAGACCGGTGTCGCGATGAAGCCAGCTAACGGGAGGGTCCAGTCCGGAGCGGGTGACAGGGCAAGCCCGGCGCCAGAAGCCCGAGCAGCGCCGTACACAGGACCAGAGATCCGGCCGATCACAGCAGCGCCGGCACTCGGTCGCGGCGCCTCTCGGAGAGAGCAAGAAGAGGCGTCGGGAGGCGCCTCCGAGGCGAGGCGGGGAAGACCGCCAGGACTAGGGAAATGGAGGATCAGCGCAGGCCGAGTCGCGCCGCGGGATATCCAGCCTCAGCCGACACCGAGTGCGGCGGCAACGGCTGCCGCCTACACCGAGGGCGGCGGGCACTGGCTGCCGCTGGGCGGGCCCAGCGCCGTCTCGGCCTCAGGAAAGGCCAGCGCGCACCGAGAGAAATCCGGTCTCTGCCGACGGCGGAGACCGCCGGGCCTCGCCGCCGCAGACGAGAAGTTCGGACGCTCCACGGGACATTCGGCCCCAGCCGACATGGAGGGCCGCCGGTCCTTCACTGCCGTCGAACGGGATAGGTTTGGCTACAGCCTCGGCCGGAAGCAAGGGGGCTCCGCAGGATACCTGGCCCCAGCCGACATGGAGGGCCGCCGGGCCTTCGCCGCCGTCGAGCGGGACTAGCCCGGCCGTAGTCTCGGCCGGAAGCCAGCACGTGCCGCGAGCCATCCAGTCCCGGCCGGCTAGCAGGGCGAGGCCCCGCCACAACTCCCCCCGCAGCCGGGCCGCTTGTTAGCGGCAGAGATAGCGCACCGGCAGGTACGGTCGTAGAGCGAGGTGAAGGCGTGTGACGGTGATAGCTAACCGGACGCAGGTAGAGCGGCGATAAGACGCCAGGCGAGAGACGAGCAGAAGAGGAAACGCCATCTTAGTAGTGGGCAGGCCGGGCGGAAACGCGCCAGGGTGGGTGAAAAGATGCCGAGACGAAGGGAGCTGCAGGCCGAGGACCTGGCCAGCGCGCTGCGGCACCTCGACGAGGAGTTCGAGGCGGGCGAGAGGCTGGCCAACGAGCAGACGTGGTGCGCGCCGGTGCCGCGCGAGAGGCAGGTGAGGACGGTGCGGAGGTTCTACCGGGCGTTCCACGACGCAGGCACGCTGCCGATCGCGACCTGCACGCTATGCTACCGGAAGCGAGCCAAGGGGAGATGAGGAGATGGCGTGGGAGGGTGGTCGCGGAGCAGCGTTGCGGGGCGGGCGGTCCCGGTTCGGATGCCGAAGCTGCTTCCCGGAGGCAGGCCGGTGCCGGTCTGCGTAGAGTGCGCGCGATGGGCCGGGCGCGAGGGGGCGTCGCCGGCCATGCACCTCCACGGGCGGCTCGGCTGCGAGCACGCGTACCCCGACGAGCTGAAGGACCTCACGCCGCTCGAGGAGAAGCTCATCTCACTCAACTCGTGCTACGGCTTCGTGACGAAGTACAGCATCCCGGGCGGTCAGAGGCAGAGCGTGAGGTACCCGAGGCACGTCAAGGGCCACATTACCGTGTTCCCAAACGACGTGCAGGGCCTAGCCGCTAAGGTGCTGCCGCACCCGCTGCTCCGGGTCATGGACGAGATCCACGTCTCGTGGCAGGGTGCCGAGAGGCCCGGGCCGCGCGACCTATCGGGCCTGCTGTCGGTAAGGCGGTCGGCGGTGGAGAGGGCGCTAGCCTGGCTCAAGGAGAACAATCCGCTCTACGGCGAGGTCGAGATCGACGCGGCGGAGATGGCCAGCTGGGGGGCGCCGCCGCACGGGGTGCCGCCAGTGGTGTGCGAGCGGCTAGAGCGAAGCGAGCCGTCGGCGCGGGAGAGGACGCGGACGGCGCAGGTGGTGCCGCCGTCGGAGCGGGCCATGGACGACGAGGGTGCGGTCGAGATCGAGGAGGTCCTCGCGATGCTGAGGCAGGGGCGGGACCCCACCGAGGGGAGCCGTGACGTCGGGCTCACGTGCGAGGACGACGACGGGGACGGCGCTAGGCCCGAAGAGGACGGGGACGTAATCAACGAGGTGACGTCTTCCGGCATGTTCCCGTTGGACGGGGCGCCAGAGGTGGCCGATGCTGAGAAGATTCGCTTCGCCCGCGGTGCCGTCGGGCCCGAGGAGCGCGCCGGCCCGAGGACGTGGGTAGGGACTGCGGCCCGAGAGGCGGAGGGCGATGGCGGCGACGTCGAGCCGCACATACAGGTGCGGCGCGGCGAGGATTTCGCCGACTCGGCGGACGCCTCCTTCTTCGCAAAGGCCTTTCCGACCCTGTTCCTTTGGCTTAGGCGGGCCGAGGCTCGCCGACGAGGACGCCACTGGGAGAGCGCGGGCCCTAGCGTCGGGAACCAGGGCACGCAGGCGGAGCGGGTCGCGGAGGGCCTTATGTCGACGCGGAACATGAAGCTCCAAGCATGGGCCGACGTCGTGCTGCGGCGCCACGGCGGCCGGTTCGCGACGCACCCTATCTTCGCCTTCCTCGTCTTTAACATGGGCGTACGGTCTAGGAACCGCCAGGCCAGCATGCTATGCGTCACGAGGAAGAACTTCGCAAGGGTCGAGGGCCTGTTAAAGTCGTTAACGGCGCAGAGGCTCGAGGCGGCGAGGGTCGAGCTCGAGGCCACGGGCAAGACTAGCGACGACGGGGTAAAGGAGCTCATCCGGTCCCTCTCCGTGTTCGGCTACCGGCAGCCGATGTCGAGGGAGAGCCGCCTTAGTATGCGGAAGAAGATACTATCCCTCATCATAAGGCACGGGGTGCCGGCCATCTGGTTCACGCTGAACCCGAACGACATTACAAACCTGGTAAAGTTGCGGCTAGCGGCACACCGCGGCCGCGACCCGGACGAGGCCGAGGCCTTCCTACGAGACCTAGGGACCGCGTATAAGCGGACCCAGCTGGCCATATCGGACCCGATGAGCTCGGCCGTCTTCTTCCACCGGGAGATGACGCTCTTCTTCGAGCACTACGTCAACGTCGGGGAGGAGTCGGTGTTCGGGCACGTCGGCGCGTACTACGGGGCGGTCGAGACCAACGAGCGAGGCGCTCTCCACATCCACGGGCTCCTCTGGCTAAGGGGCAACGCGGGCCTTGGCGAGGCGCTCGCCGGCCCCGATACGGAGAAGCAGGCGGCGTACCGGGAGCGCATCGTCCGCTACGTAGATAGCGTCTTCTCCGAGGTAAGGCGGCCGCCTTAAGATGATAACCCCCCCTAAGCCCCCATCCGTAGCAGGCCGAAGGGCCCCGAGCTGACCGAGGCTATAGGAGCTAGACGCAGAAGGTTACTGCGCCGTGCAGGCGGAGCGGTCGGCCACGGCGGACATATCGTCGCGGCTCGACGACGTCGCGCGCTTCACGGACACCTTCGACGAGGAGGCCAACTTCTGCGCCGGCGCGACGCAGATCCACACGCATAGCGCGACCTGCGTAAAATACTCGCTCGGCGCGAGGGCGCGGAAGGGGGACCTCTGCCGGTTCAAGGCGCCGTGGAGGCTGGTGGAGAGGACGGCGCTGACGGCGGACGGGGTGCTCGAGATCCGGCGGACGCATAGCATGGTGAACCGGTGGAACCGGGCGATGGCAGTAGGACTACGGCACAACCACGACATCTCGTTCATCGCGACGCAGCGCAAGACCATGGCCCTATCTACTACATTACCAACTATGCGACGAAGGTAGAGGACCCCGTGTGGAAGCGTGTGGCCGCCGCGGCCGAGTTCCTTCCCGCGCTAGAGCCGACGGGAGAGGGCAACGGAAGTGGCGCCGACCGCGACGCCGGCCGAGGGGGCGGGGCCGAAGGGGTGGCGACGGCGGCGGACCCCATAGGGGGGAACAAGACGAGAACGTTCCTGCTCAAGGCGGCGAACCGAGTATTTACGGAGCGGCCGCTGTCGCAGGTCGAGGTGATCGCGCACCTCCTAGGGTACCCGGCAGAATTTAGCAGCGGCTCGGCGTGGGCGTACGTGAACGCGAACCAGCTCTACTGGGCCGTCTTCCGCCGGTGGCGGCACCTCCGACGGGCGAGCGGCGCGGAGGCGACGGGCGACGCGCCGGACGAGACGGTCGTCGTCGAGGAGGCCGGGCCGAGGATCCCCCTCGTCGAGGCCTACCGGCACAGGGGCGCTCCTACGGGGCCTCTGCCTTTATGACTACGCATCGCTCGTAAGGCTAAAGCGAAACGGCCGCGGCGCCGACGGTGGACGGGCTGGGGCGAGGTACCTTCGCGGAGAGCTGGGCGTCGGGGAAGGGCTGGGTGCAGGCGCTTAGGCGGCCGGGTAGCGGGGCGACCGTATGCCTCGACGGATACCTCAGCAAGGAGTTTAGCGAGGGAGACGACGAGTCGTGCCACCGAAGGTGCGCACCATAAGACGGGGAGCGCCAAGGGAAGGCAGCGCGGCTAGGGGCATCGGCTAACAGCGCCTAGGGCGGCGGTACAGCACCTGGCCCTATTCGTGCCGTGGGAGTCCTTCCTCGGCGAGGAGGCAGGCGACATCAACGACATCTGGGCGCGGGCGCGGGAGTCGCTGGCGCCGAGGGTCGCGCGGCTCGCAGACAACGTGCAGCTCCTCCGGCGGTCGGCGGAGGACGCGAAGCGCGACGCCAAGCAGTGGGCCGCCACGGCCGAGGAGGGCGGTATGACGGCGCCGCAGGCCGGCGACGAAGGGAGGGGGGCGGCCGAGGGGGGCGAGGAGGCGTACCGCGCCGGCGGGGCGGGCGACGCGGCCCGGCTCATCGACGTCGTCCGGAATGCCGCCGGCGCGGGACAAGTCACGGCGCAGTCAACAGAGCTGCTAGCGATGACGCAGCAGCTCTGCCGGTTCCAGCAGTCGGCGCTGGGGTCGGAGGCCGAGCTCGCGGCGACGGTAGTGGCGGAGGAGAGGGCAGGCAGGCGGGTGAACCTACCGGGCTCGGAGCTCTCGGGGCGGCGCTGCCACGGCAAGAAGAGGTGCGGGCCATCAAGTCGCAGCAGAGGAGCGCGGCGCGGGAGCGGGAGCGAGCCATCCAGGGCATCCAGGGCGGCGGGGCGGCGGCGGGCGTCGGGGCCGACCGCGGCGCGGCTCTTCGCGGGGTGATGGGGGGCTTCGGCGAGGACGACATGGACGTAACGGCGGCCGACGGCGACGTAGACGCTGGCACGGCGGCGGTGATGCGCGTGCGGCTCGGCCCGTCGAGCTCGTTCGTCGCCGCCGGCAGGGAGCTGGCGGGGCAGCTAACGCTCAACGAGAAGCAGGCCATCGCTCTCCTAATCGTATGCCGGCAGCTCGACCGAATCCGGCAGGGCGACGACGCAGGCGGCGATGGCGGCGGCCAGCTCTGCCTGTTCATCGGCGGCGAGGGCGGCACCGGCAAGTCGCGCGTCATCGAGGCGCTCGTCGAGCTGCTCGCCCGGAGGGACCTATCGAGCCGGCTGCTGGTGACGGCGACGTCGGGCACGGCGGCAGCACGGATCAACGGCATCACACTACACTCGGCCTGCGGCCTTACGGTCGGCCAGGGCGGCCGGGCGGGAGGGCGACGAGGACGTAGACGGCGTACGGCTGCCGGGCCAGGGCGAGCGCTTCGTCGACGGCCGGTCGCGGATGGACTGGCAGGAGAAGGAGGTGCTGGTGATCGACGAGGTCAGCATGCTCGGGGCGCGGACGCTGCACGCCGCCAACGAGCAGCTGTGCAGGCTGCGGGGGTCGGCGCGAGACTTCGGCGGCATCCCGGTGGTGATCTTCTGCGGCGACTTCCACCAGTTCCGGCCGGTGCAGGAGCGGTCGATCCTGCTGCCGAGCGCGGCGGTGGCGTGGGACGAGGACGGGGCGTTCGCGGCCGAGCAGCGGCGGCAGCACGACAAGGCGCACGCGCTGTGGCGGCGGTTCACGACGGTCGTCATGCTGGACGAGCAGATGCGGGCCGCCGGCGACCCGGAGCTGCGGCGACTGCTCGGGCGCATCCGCCGGGGGGAGCAGGACCGGTCGGACCTAGAGCTGCTCAACTCGAGGTGCCACCGGCCGGGCAGGCGGATCCCGTGGAGACGGGCCTGACGGTGGTCACGCCTCTCAACCGCAACCGCTGGAACCTCAACCTAGAGGCGGCGCTCGCGTTCCGGGCGCGGCGGCGGACGGCGGCGCGCATATTCCTGTCCGAGCACAAGTGGAGGGAGGGCCTGCCGACGGAGGAGGAGGCGGTGTTAATGCTGTGCCAGGGCGACGACAGCGCGACGCCGGTGCCGGCCGTCTTCGTTTTCGTGCCGGGCATGCCGGTCGTCGTGAACCAGAACACGCACCAGGGGCTGAAGCTAGTGAACGGGGCCGGCTACACGGCGGTAGACGTCATCCCCGACCGGGCCTTCCCCGGCCACCGGGTCTCGGCCGAGCTGACGATGCACTTCGGGCCGCCGGCGGGCATCGTGCTGGCTTCGGAGACGACGAGGGACTTCCACTTCGTCGGGATGCCGGCCGGGACGATCCTGCTGACGCCCATCAGCGTCAAGATCACGGCGCAGCGGAAGCGGCCGTGGCAGCGCAACGACGTCAGCCGGAGGGGCCTGCCGTGCGCGGCGGCCTTCGCCTGCACCGACTACAAGGTGCAGGGCGGGACGCTGGAGCGCGTGGCGCTGGAGCTGCGGGGGGCGAGGATGACGACGGTCGAGGGGAGGGCGGTGCCGTCGCCGTGCGACCCGTACAGCCTGTACGTGCAGCTGTCGCGGTGCCCGACGCTCGACGGCATCATGCTCGTATCGGAGGTGCGGGAGCGGGATCTAGTCGGGAACCGGGTGCCCGAGGAGATGACGGCAGCGCAGGCCCGGCTAGAGGAGCTTAGCAGGCAGACGACGCAGGAGGCGGCCGACTGGCTCCGCGGGTAACGCGGGCGGCGTAGGCGTCTCGCTCGCAGCGGAGGAGATCCTGCCCTTGGGACGACTACCCTAGCACACAATCAGGGGGCGGAGAAAGCAAAAAGTATGGGAAGGCGCAACGTAGATAGATAGAAATACGAGCAACAATCTCAAGGTAGTTAATGGACATCGACGGGTGCGTGTCTAATATAGACGGACCGCAAAGGCGGAGATTTAGACTTCACAGGCCAGCCGGCTCTAGGCTAGCGGGCTTGCCGTAGCTACCGACGTAAAGGAGCACAGGTCAAGGGCCAGGAGGGGGCAAAGAGGAAAGGGCGTATTCGGGGCGAGCTTGAAAGAAAGGGCCAGGAAAGAAGACGGGCTTCAAGGAAAGAGGGCAAAAAGGGGCGGCGACGAGAGCGGTGAGGTTGTATTTTTAAACCAATCTGAAGAGAGCAAGCCGACGAATTAGAGGACGGCAGCCGACGAATCAGAGGGCGGCATTTAGGGGGGGGGAAATTGATGGCGGCGTTTTTTTTTTCTTTCTCCCCGGGGAGGAACCAGAAGAACCTTTTCGTCACTAACGTTCCTCAAGGCAAGAGGAAATAAATCAGCCAATCAGAGGCGGAGGATGTGGGGGTGAAGCAGTCTGGGGCCTTTTTTCCCCGCGCGCTAATGAAGTCCTTTCGTTCCTCAAGGCACTTGCGGTTGGAAGGGGAGGTTTGGAACAGGAGAAGGCAACCCAGCAGGGTTGCGCAAAGAGCCTTGAGGAACGAAAGACTTGCGGTTGGAAAGACTTGCGGTTGGAAGGGGAGGTTTGGAAAGACTCAAGCTAAAAGATCCAAGCTCAGAAAGGGAGGCTAGGAAGATTTAAGATTAGTTAAGAGGGGGAAGTTAGAAAGAAAGAAAAAGACTTTAAGTTAAGGTTGGAAAGTTAGGAAGACTCAAGGTAGGAAAGGGGGAGGCAGGAAAGACTCAAAGTTGGGAGGGGTGATAGGAAGTTAGGACGATATACGAAGGGACGAGGTTTAGTTTGGTAGGTGTAAGTGACGATTCACGACATAATGTGCCAGGTCAAGGCCTCTATCAAGTAATATAAGAGTAGATAAAATAAAGGTCAACTAACATGAGCTGTTCAAGAAATCCCAGCCGACAGTAAACTTGCCTTATTATTCTATATCTATCGTTCTCTTAGCTGGGTGACGGTTTCGAGGCGGGCGGGCCGGTGAGGCTACGGGTGGGCGACAATCGAATCAAGGGCGGGTTTCCGAGGCGGGACCCTGTTTAGATGATACATCCGGGTCGGGAATGGATGAGACAGCCGAGACCGAGAAGGATTGAGTAGCCAAGGCCAGGGATAGGGAAGAAGAAGGCACAGAGGCCTGTTGCGTCAGGCACGGTCGCTTCGTCGGCGTATCGGCAGGTTCAGGATAATGGCGCTTTTGGGGCGGCGTGGGGAGCAAGTCGAAGAGCAGCCGCGGCTAAGGACGGAGGACTAATTGGGAGAGTGCTAGGGATAACCACGGACATAGAGGCAGCGCGCATATTATGAAAAGCGGCAGAAGCGGAGGACTGTTGTCGTTTTGGTGGCGTAGAGGGTAGCGGTGTCATCGCAGCCATAGAGGTGGACGACTTGTCGAGAAAAGTCCAGGAATCCGGGACGACTATAAAAACAAAGTCACGGTCAGAGCCCGGCGGGTGAACCATGACGCCGTGGTCCAGCAGGCCAGCGACCTTGCCTGTGCAGGTAAAGGGGACATTAGGCTGAAAGGAAGAGTTTCGCCTCTCGGCCATCTTCTTACATAGGACGGCCCAGGGGTTGGCGTGAATAGGGAAGATGACGAAGGCCTGGAAGGGGTGGAAGCCCTTAAAGGGGATCTTATCCGGGTTCCCCGGGGCGACGTAGGTAGATAGGAGGACGAAGCCGCAACATCTAAGTTGGGCGGTGTCTAGGCCTGGCAGCAGCAGGGAGTGGCCGGTGCCGACGACGAGGCCGGTGAAGGAAACAACAGGCGGGACGTGGGGGAAGTCGTCCATAGAGGCAAAGAGCCTAGGAAGAACGCTTTAGGACAGATTTAGCTACCCATTTCCTCGCTGCCACGCGCGGGGGAATGGGACCCGGCCTACGGCTGGTAGCCCTGGTCGCGGACGACGAGGGCGGGCATGGTATAGAGAACGGTGCCGCCCGTGTCAGACTCCAGGCCGTCGCGCTGTTCGACCTCCCACGCAAGGGCGTAGGGGTGGACGCGGCCGTTCATAAAGAACCACTGCTCGGTCCAGTCGGTGTCAAGAATCGACTGGCCGTAAATCGAGAGGTTAAGGCTAAAGAAGACGGAGGTTGGGGAATTGTCGGCACCCGACCGCAGGGGCGCATATTCCGCTGTGAGCAGCCACGCGGGCGGAGGCAGCAAGACGCGGGCCATGGCTTCGGCGTTAAGTCCCTTGATGCGGTGTTCGTCCAGGTGGGCAAACCTGGCGGGGCAGTCGGTTTGGACGAAAAGCATCACGGACATATCACCGCCAGCGCCGGTTTGGCTATCGAGCGGCTTTCGGAGGTGCGGTGCGGGCAGGTCGGTAGGATGTAGAGAGGAAGACATCGTGCACCTGGGCAGGTCGATAGACTCGTCGCGCCCCGTAGAACGACCGCTGCCTAGCGTTAAGAGCGGAGTAAGGAGGAGATCGAGCGTAAACGTGCGTAGAATGAACCAAGGGTGATATAGATTGGCCGGGAAATGTGAGGAGTTTTGCCACGGCAAGTGTTTGCCTAGATGTCGAAGGGATACGCAGTGGTGTCGCGAAGCTGGGCTCCAGTCAGGCACCAAGGGTGACGCGGACTCAAGAGTCCGGCAGGGCTGTCGGCAGACTCGTCTGCCGATAGGTCTAGAGGAAGCCCGGAAAGTCCGGGAGAATAGAGGCCCAATGCATAAAGGGGGACATTATTGCGGAAGGACATGCACAAGGGGCGTGTTGGAAGGCCGAAAGATAGGGGGATAAAGCAAGCCAGGTCGACACACGGAACCGAGTCCCGGCCTTCCTCGCCTTGCCGTATGATGACTAGCATGCCGTCTTCAGTAGGGGTAGAAGAAGTCGACCGAACATCATATAATATAAACAAGCGCACGGAGAGCGGCTATAAGGAAGGTCGCGGATAGGGTTGACAGGAAGGTCGGGCAAGACGGACCTAAAAACCACCGTGCTAGGCGAGCGGAGCCGGATGGCAGGGCGATTCCTGGTTTCGGCGCGGCGGGGATGGTAAGAGATACCAAGGAAGGAGAATGTCTTAGTATAATGCCCGATTGGACGCCCTTTGGCAACGGTCAAATAGGGAGCTGCCAAGGAGAGTCGACCAGGAGAAGGCCGCGCTAGATAGAGCTGCAGCATCAGTGCCTGGGCTAGGGCTGGTCAAGGCCGTCCGTAGGGATAGACACATGGCGGTAAGGTAGGGAAGGAGGGGGAGAAGGGGGAAAAGATGGGGAGGGGGGGCCTCTCCCGGACCAGGTACTGCCGTGTTGCCTGCATGGTATCGAGACCATAAGGTTGCCATCGCTTGCAAGCGGGGTGGCCTTGGATCACACCTCGGGCGAAGGCTTCGTAATTCCTCGCTTGTTCGCAGACCCTTACCGTAAGGGAAATATAAGTTTGGGGGAGAATCCTAGGGGCGACGTTAGGTCGGTGGTAGGAGAGGGTGAACCGGAGACAGTGGAGCTGCCGCTGCTGCAACGAGGATCATTGCGGAGGCGAGGATGATCGCAACGGACACAGGGCCGAATCGGGGGTCGGGCGACGAAAGTCAAGCGGGCGCGGCACCTAGGTTGCGGCCTATCGAGGCGAAGAAGGCGCCGGCGTCCGAGGGGAACTCACGAGGGGAAGCAGCAGAAGCACTCAAAAGATTGTTGCCTCAGCGAAGTCGGCGAGGCGGTCAGCTGGGAAAAAGGCTGCCGCACGTCGATGGTGCCACTTCAGAGGGAGGGCAAGCATCACGTTTAATAAGATTTCGGCTGAAGGGCGTAAGCAGGCACTCGCCCCAACCCATCCGGCCCAAAGGGATCGGGGACGCGGCCGGACACATAGCTCCACCGGACGAGGGCGGGTCTAACGTCGGGCCAGCGGCAGTCGCTATAACGAGGAGCATTGCGGAGGCGAGACCGAGCGCAACGAAGGAAGGGCCGAGGCGGGCGTTAGGCCATGAGAGTCAAGCTGGCGGGGCACTTGGGCTGCGGCCAATCGAGGCGAAGCCGGTGCCGGCGTCCGAGGAAGGCTCGCGAAGGGAACAAGCGGAAGGAGTGAAAAGAGCGATGCCTAAGGGAAGTCGGAGAGGCGGTTGGCCGCGAAAGAAGACGACGCGCGTCGATGGTGCCACTTTGGAGGGAGGCCAAGCGCCACGTTCAGCATCGATAAACGTGCGGGACAGGCCGGAGGCCTTTGTCAGAAACGAAGGGTCAGGCATCGGTGAATCGTCCGTTGCGGTTGGGGGTGGCTTCGAGACGGTCAGGCCCAGGTCACCGAGCGATGGCGCACAGATAACCCTGAGAGGTCTTGTCGAGCGGGCAGCGGGCGTGGCGGGGAGCATAGGAGGGGAAGACCGACTGTCAGGCTAAGATTTCGGCCGGAAGACGCATGCCAGCACTCACCCCAACCCATACAGCCTAAAGAGATCGGGGACGCGGCCGGAAATATGCCACCCCCTGACGGACACTCAACTGGCCCAGGAGGACAGGATCGGCTGGCGGGTGCTGCTGGGGGTTCGCCTAGAGTCGTCAGGGAGCCCTTCATCCAGCCAAGTCAAGCCAAAGTGACGAAAGATGGAGTAGGGGACGCGGAGTCATCCGGATGGTCATCACCACGTCCGTCACGCCAGGCAGGGCAGGATTGGCCGGCAATGACGGTCGGGATTTCATCCACGGCCGCCAAGGAGCCCTCATTCAGCCAATCCAACCCAAAGAGACGGAAGATGAAGCAGGAGATGGACAGTCATCCGGACGCTTGGCATCACGGCCACCACGCCAGGCAGCGGCGGGAGAAGAGGATCGGCCGAGGCGAGTCGAGCCGGCGGCGACGTCTTCGCCGCCCGTGGAACAGAGGAAGCGGATCCGCCAGCCCGACCGAGACCAGCTCCCGCCGAAACGTAGCCGAGTCGGTCATCGGAGGCAGAGGAGGAGTGAGCTGCAGGCGGAAGATTTGGCCAGCGTCTTACGTTACCTTGAAGAGGAATTCGCCGTCAAGGAGAGGCTATCCAACGAGCAAACCTGGTGCATACCAGTATCGGACGAGGAGGGTATCAACGGTGCGAGGCTTCTATCGGGCATTCCATGACGTAGACACGCTGCCGATACGGACGTGCATGCTATGCTACCGGAAGCGCGCAAGAGAAGAGCTGAGGGAGATATCATGGGACCGGTGGCGGTCAAGTCCCATCTGCAAGGGCGGGAGCTCGCCGTTTGCGTGCCGCGGCTGCTTTCGCGAGGGTGAATCTGTCCCGGTCTGCGCGGAGTGTTTTCGACAATTGGCGCGCGGCGGGCTGTCGCCGGCGGCGCGTCTTCATAGCTGCCTCGGTTGCGAGCACATGTTCCCGGATGAGCTCAAGGGCCTGACGCCGGTGGAGGAGAAGCTGATCGCGCTGAACTCGTGCTATGGGTTCGTCACAAGGTACAACGTCTCAGGCGGCCCGAAGCAGACGTTGAGATATCCCAAGCACGTCAAGGGCCACATCACGGTGTTCCCGAACAACGTGCAGGAATTGGTGACGAAGGTGCTGCCGCACCCACTCTTCCGGGTAATGGACGAGATCCACGTCTCGTGGCAGGGTGCGGTAAGGCCGACACCGAGTGACTTGTCGGGTCTGCTGTCGGTGAGGCGGCGTGTCGTCGAGAGGGCCCTCATCTGGTTGAAGAGGAACAACCCACACTACGCCGAGATCGAGATCGACGTGGCGGAGATGGAGAGTTGGGGAGACCCGGCCCACGGGGTGCCGCCGTTGGTGTACGGGCGCCTGGAGCGGAACGAGCCGTCGGCGTGGGAGAAGACGAGGACGGCGCACGTCGTGCCGCCCACGGAGCGGGCCATGGACGACGAGGGGGGCGGTAGAGATCGAAGAAGTCCTCGCTCTGCTGAACCAAGGGGAAAGCAGGACGAGTCGCGAGGCCGGCGAGCCAGGGTCAAACGAGGCGCACGAGGCGCACGGCCAGAGCGACGGCGAGACCGGTGATGATGCGAAGACGATCAACGAGGTGACCTCGTCGGGAATGTTTGCGCTGGACGGACCGCCCGACGTAGCCGACGTCGACAAATTGCGCTTCGCATGCGATGCCGTCCGCGACGGCGCAGCCGACGGCGGCACGGACCCGAGAACGGGGGTCGAATCCTCGGCAAGGGGGCAGCCGGGGCATGCCGATGGTTCTGAACCGTACATTCATATTCGCCGTGGGGATGAATTCGCCGACTCGTTCGAGGCCTGCTTCTTTGCAAAGACCTTCCCCACGCTGTTACCATTTGGCGTCGGAGGGCCGCGATCGGTCGATGAAGCGACCCTACATCTGGGCAGAGGCGGCGCCAACACGCGCGAGCCGGAGGTGGGGACGCAGGACCTCGTGTCGTCCCGGAACATGAGCCTTCGGACGTGGGCCGACACGGTGCTGCGACGCCACGGCGGCCGGTTCGCGACGCACCACATCTTCGCGTTCCTCGCCTTCAACATGGGCGTGCGGTCGAGAAACCGTCGAGTCAGCATGCTGAGCGTGACGAGGAAGAACTTCGGCAACGTGGAGCGCATCGTACGGTCGCTGACCGCAGACGGATTAGCGGCAGCCAGGGCCGAGCTGGAGAGCACAGGCAAGACGACCGACGACGCCGTGAAGGAGCTCCTCAGGAGCCTTTCGCTGTATGGTTATCGCCAGCCCATGTCCCGAGAGCTCCGTCTCAGCATGCGGCACAAGATCCTGGCGCTCATCGTCCGCTACGGCGTGCCCGCGATCTGGTTCACGATCAACCCAAATGACATTACGAACCCAGTGAAGCTCCGGCTGGCAGCGTACCGCACGCGCGACCCCGAGGCGGCCGAGGCGTTCCTGCGAAGCCTCGATATGTCGTTCAAACGGGTCCGGCTATCCGTCTCCGACCCGATGAGCTCGGCCATGTTCTTCCATCGCGAGATGGCGCTGTTCTTCGAGCATTACGTAAATGCAGGGGGGGAGTCGGTGTTCGGGCGCATCAGCCAGTATTACGGTGCCGTGGAGACCAACGAACGAGGCTCCCTTCACGTCCACGGGCTGCTCTGGCTACACGGGAACGCGCACCTGGGCTCGATGCTCGCCGACGCCCACGGCGAGGAACAGGCGGCGTACCGCGAGCGGATCGTCCGCTATGTCGATAGCGTCTTCTGCGAGGTAAGGGGCGGGGCGTCGCGGTCATGGGCCAAGAGGATGCAGGCTGACACACGGAAAGCAGGACCTGGACCAGGAGGGGTTTTGCGCCGTCCACGCGGAGCGTTCGGTGACGTCCGATGTCTCGTCCCTGCTGGACAGTGCCGAGCGGTTCTCGGCCGCATTCGAAGAGGAAGCCAACTTCTGCGCCGGCGCGACGCAGATCCACACCCATAGTCCGACATGCGTCAAGTACTCCCTGGGCGACAAGGGACGAAAGGGCGACCTCTGTCGCTTCAAGGCGCCATGGAAGCTGGTGGAGAAGACGGCCTTCTCGCCGGACGGCGTGCTGCGGATCCGTAGGACGCATCCCATGGTGAATCGATGGAATAAGGCCATCGCCGTGGGGCTCCGCCACAACCACGACATCTCCTTCATAGCGACGCAGCGGAAGACCACGGCGCTCGTCTACTACGTCACGAACTACGCGACCAAGGTAGAGGACCCGACGTGGAAGCGCGTCGCCGCCGCCGCGGATCTACTGCCCGTCGTCTCGGCCGGGGAGGACGCCGGAAGTGGCGTCGTGGGCGGTGATGATGGAACCAAGAACAAGACACGGCAGTTTCTGATGAGAGTGGCGAACCGTGTCTTCACGGAGCGGGCTCTGTCCCAAGTCGAGGTCGTCGCCCATCTGCTAGGGTACCCAAGCGAGTTCACGAGCAGCAGCGCCTGGGCGTACCTAAACGTGTCGGTGCTCTACTGGCACGTCTCGAGATGGTGGCGACACCTTCGACAGGAGAGCGGCACCGCGGTCGCTGACGTGTCCGTAGATGAGTCGGTCGTCGTGGAAGAAGCGGGCGAACGGATCAGCTTCGCCGAGGCGTACCATCATCGCGGAAACGTCCTACGAGGCTTATGCCTATACGACTACGTTTCGCTCGTCAGGCTCCAACGCGTCGGCAAGGACGGGTGTTCCGGTGCCTGGGGAGAGGTGGCGTTCGAGAGCGGCTGGGTGGCGGGTAAAGACTGGGTGCAGGTATTGAGGCGGCCGGGGAAGCATGCCGTCGTCTGCCTTGACGGGTACCTAAGCAAGGATTTTGAAGAGGACGACGAGGGATCATGCCATCGCAGGTAAGCACGGTAAACGGGCGGTTGAAAGGGGGATCGCAACGCGTCGCAACTAAACCGTTCTGTTCGTTATAGGGCAGCCGTGCAGCATCTTGCACTGTTCACCCCGTGGGAGGCCTTTCTTAGCGAGGAGCGAGGCGACATCAACGACATATGGAGGCGCGCGCGGGAGCAGCTTCCGCCGAGAACCTCGTGCCTCGTCGACAACGTTCAATTGCTCAGGCGTTCCGCCGAGGACGCCAAGCGAGACGCCAAGCAATGGGCAGCCTCGTCCGGCGACGGGGAGGGGGAGGGGCAGGGCCAGGGCCAAGCGGATCACGAGGCGGCATCGGCGTACCAGTCGGACGACGTCGGAATGGCGACGCGACTGATTGACGTCGTGCGAAGCGCGGCCGGGGCGAACCAGATCACGGCGGGATCGCAGGAGCTTTCGGGAATTATGCAGCAGCTCTGCCGCTTCCAACAATCCGCACTAGCCTCGACGGCCGAGCTCCAGGCCACCATGGTGACCGAACGGGGTGGGAGGTACATCAACATGCCCGGCCAGGTGTTCTCCGGGGCCGCCGTGCCGCCGCAGGATCAGGTCAGGGCCATCAAGTCGCAGCAGACTTGCGCCTCCAGGGAGAGGGTGAAGATGATCCAGGGCATACAAAGCATGGCCCCGGCCCACGGCACCGATCGCGGCGCAGCGGCGCGGAGCGTGCTGACCGGCTTCGGGGAGGAAGACGTGCAGATGACGGGAGCGGCAGCCGAGGAGACGGCAGGTAACGCGCAGGCCGGCATGGAAATCCGCCTCGGCCCGTCGACCTCCTTCGTCGAGGCTGGGAAAGGCTTAAGAACACGGTTGACGCTGAACAAGAAACAGGCGATCGCCTTCTCGATAATATGCCGCCACCTGGACTCGATGCGGGAAAGAGACGGAGGCGACGTCAGCCAGCTCTGCCAGTTCGTCGGCGGCGAGGGCGGCACCGGCAAGTCGCGCGTCATCGAAGCACTCGTGGGCCTCTTCGCCGCCAAGGGTATCTCGAGTCGCCTGCTGGTCACGGCGACGTCGGGGACCGCCGCCGCGCGGGTCAACGGCATCACCATCCACTCCGCCTGCGGCTTCACCAAGGACCAAGGGCCGGGCGAGAACACGGCGAGGAACGTCGACGGCGTGCGGCTGCCGAAGCAGGCGGAGCGGTTCGTCAACGGCCAGTCCCGGATGGACTGGCGGGACAAGGACGTGCTCGTCATCGACGAGGTGAGCATGCTCGGCGCGCGGACGCTGCACGCTGTCAACGAGCGGCTCTGCCAGCTCCGGGGATCGCGGCGGGACTTCGGCGGCATCCCCATCGTCCTCTTCTGCGGGGACTTCCACCAGTTCCGCCCGGTCCAGGAGCGGTCGATCCTGCTGCCGAGCGCCGCCGTCTCGTGGGACGAGGACAGCTCGTTCAGGGCCGAGCAGCGCCACCAGCACGACAGGGCGCACGCGCTGTGGAGGCGGTTCACGACCGTCGTCATGCTGGACGAGCAGATGCGCGCCGCCGGCGACCCGGAGCTGCAGGGGCTCCTGCGGCGGATCCGACGGGGCGTGCAGGACCACGCGGACCTGGATCTCCTCAACTCGAGGTGCCACCGGGAAGGCAGGCGGATCCCGTGGGAAACGGGCATCACGGTGGTGACGCCGCTCAACAGGAACCGGTGGAACCTCAACATGGAGGCGAGCCTGGCGTTCCAGATCCAGCAGCGGTCGACGGTGCGCATCTTCCTCTCCGAACACAAGTGGAAGGACGGCCTGCCGACCGAGGAAGAGGCCATCACGATGCTGAACCAGGGCGACGACAGCGCGATCCCGGTGCCGGCCGTCTTCATGTTCGTGCCGGGGATGCCGGTCGTCGTGAACCACAACACTCACCAGGGGCTGAAGCTGGTGAACGGCGCCGGCTACACGGCGGCGGAGGTCATCATCGACAAGGCGTACCCGGGGCATCGGATCTCGGCCGACATGACGATCCACTTCGGCCGCCGGCGGCGATCATACTGGGGTCGGAGACGACCAAGGACTTCCACTTCGTCGGGATGCCGGCCGGCACCATCCTGCTGACGCCCATGAGCGTCAGGGTCCAGCGTCAGCGGAAGCGACCGTGGCAGCAGAACGACGTCAGCCGCAAGGGCCTGCCGTGCGCCGCCGCCTTCGCGTGCACCGATTACAAAGTGCAGGGGGGGACGCTGGAGCGCGTGGCGCTCGAGCTGCGGGGGACGAGGACGACCAACGTCGGCGGACGCGCCGTCCCGTCGCAGTGCGACCCGTACAGCCTGTACGTGCAGCTATCGCGGTGCCCGACGCTGGACGGCATCATGCTCGTGTCGAAGGTGCGGAGAGGGACCTGGTGGAAACCGGGTCCCGGGGAGATGACCGCCGCACAGGCGAGACTGGAGGAACTAAGCGACAGAAGCGTTCGGGAGGCGCTGTGCTGGCTCGGCGACGACTTGGACGCCGCGAGGCAAGAGAGGAAGGCTTGGTAGGCACGACGTCGTCGGACGCCGCGGGAACGGCTGACCGCGGGAACGGCTGACGTGAGCAAGGAGGCCAAAACGAAAGAGGCTATTTTCAGCCCAATCGGGTTGAGAACGAGGCGGCTAAGTCAAAAGAGGCAGATTTTACGGAACGCCGGCGGGCGAGAGCCAACGAAAAGCTGACCAATCAGGCACGCGGATTTTGGGGGGAAGGTCCGCGGGTGGGGCATACAGGTAAGGCAACCCTTCATGGGTTGCGCAAAGAGCCTTGAGGAACGAAGGCCGAAGATTGGAGAGACAAACAAGACAAAGACAGGGTGAGAGAAAGAACGCAAGCAGGCGGTAGCGCTAGGAACTAAAACATGCAAAAAAGGTACCCGTGCCACGCCCCACTTTATTGGCCCTCGAAAACTCGCACCAGCTAAATGGTGGTCCCCCAGAACCCCGGACCAGCAGTGGCCGATAGTCGTCTGCCTTGATAACACTGCGGCTATAAGAGCCATACGAGGCAGCCCATCGATCTCGTCGCAAGCGGCTGCGGAGAAGTTCGCTGAGGCCGCGGCTCGACACGGAGATGTCAGCACGCGTTGGTGCCCCGGCCATACGGGGATCGCCGGCAACGAGCGGGCCGACCAGCTAGCAAAGGAGGGCTGCCGGGCCGAGGGTCCGGACAGATCGCCGACCTACGCGAACATCAAGAGACAGGCCAAGGCTGCGGCCAGGCGCGACTTCCAGGACTGGTGGGCCGCGGGGCCCTGAGCAGCTACAAGAGCCTAGAGCTCAAGGCCTCGCTCGGTGCCCCGGAGCTGCACACCAAACGACAGCACCTCCATCACCTGCTCGCTGCGAGGAGCGGGCACGGGGACTTCGCCGACTACCACGAGAGGTTTAACCACGAAGAGGCCCGGATCGAATGCTCTTGCGGGAGGAGAAAATCACCGACACACCCCTTCTACTGCCGGAAGGTAGGTACTCGACACCGCCTAAGGCTAGCCCCCACGGCGGGCAAGGCTATCAACCAGGCACTAGGAAGGGGATTTGACCGGTTCCTCGGGCTAGTAACGGAGGCAGAATTCTTTGATCGGATCTGCCACCGCCACTAGCTCGAGGCAACCCTCCAACCTAATATGTACAACTCTCTCTTTTCTATGTTTTCTGCCCGTAGGCTCCTGTGGCCTACGGCCCAGCTGACTGCGTGGGCTTTCTCAGTCACCCGGCTCTGACCGAAGACTGACTAATATTACGGCTTCGCCGCCGTGCCCGGAACCCGCTGACGGGGGAAGGGACCTGAGAATCCGAGCGGCCACAGAGTCCAAGAATTGCTAGATAGGGGAGTAGAAGTAAGGAACGCGCGACGGGTCTCCGACGAGCATCCCCATCTTGTACTATACCTAGCCTAGCACGTCTTTTGCCCTTATAGGGATGTCCCAGACGGTAATCAATACTACTACTACTACTACTCGTCCCACAGCCCCACGTAAAGTGGGTCCTCACCACCTGTCTGTGTCAACCACCTGGCTGTGTCACTTCACCGCTTCAAGCCTCTATCTCGACCTCAACAAAGGCACATTATGACGAATAAAGAGTTTACGCTTGAAAGGCGCGTAGCCGAGGCTATTAAAGCCATTGAGGCAAATCCCAATATGTCCCTTCGCGCTGCGGCTAAGGAATTTGGGATTCCACGCGAACGACTCCGCTTGCGATTTAACGGCATCCAACCTCGCAGCGGCCATAAAGCAACGCATACGAGGCTATCGCCAGCTCAAGAGGACTCAATCGATCTATATATCGATCGTCTTGAGCGTATAGGTCTTGCGGTGCGGAGGGACTTATTACGCGATGCAGCAAATCGGGTTCTAAGCTCCACGGTCGGCCCTGATGGTACCCGCAACGAACCCTTCGACTCCCAATGCTTTGTTGGCAAAAACTGGATATCCCGTTTTATTAAACGCAAGGGATATCATATTACGAAGCAAAAGGTACTTGATAACCAACGCAAGCTTGCCGAATCAGTCCCGCACGTTACCGAGTACTTCAAGAAGCTCCACGAGACGATTGCCTCGTACGGGATTAACCCGGCTGATATCTGGAATATGGACGAGACGGGCTTCCGTATTGGTATTGGCAGGGACCAAGTTGTCGTCACGAAATCAAGGCGATCGCAATACTTTGGTATTGAGGAAAATAGGGAGTCGGCAACAGCCGTTGAAGCGATTTCTGCCGATGGTCGATACGTCCCTGCGTTTTTGATCCTATCCGGCAAGGTCCACCTCGAACAGTGGTACGGCATCAAGGAGCTAGATGGCGATACCCTTATTGGTGTTACAGAAACGGGATTTACGAACGATCAGCTCAATCTAGCGTGGATTCAACATTTCGATAAGCATGCAAAGAGCAAAGGTGCTTGGAGGCTATTGCTCCTTGACGGCCACAGCTCCCACCATACCCTTGACCTTATCGAGTACGCTGAAGCCCATAATATTGTGCTCTTTGCATTGCCTCCGCATCTTACGCATCTCCTTCAACCGCTTGACGTCGTGGTATTTCAGCCGTATAAACATTACCACAGTCGGGCAGTCGATTTTGCTATTCGCAGTGGTGCGAGTAAAATCACCAAGCTGGAGTTCCTCGCTATGATCCAATCAATCCGCGTCAAAGCCTTTAAGGAGTCTACAATCCTCTCGGCATTCAAAAAAAACAGGAATTCACCCATTCAATCCAAAGCCAATCCTCGAGAGACTCAAAGAGAGGGTACGGGACCAGACGCCGCCGACAGAGCTACCTATAGAGCCGTATTCGTCCCCTTTTGGTACCCCCCATACCGTACGGAAGTTTGAATCAGTTGGCCAACGTCTCCTTGAGTTTGACCCAATTGATGATATTGAGAAGGAGGTCTTCGTACATAACCTTCAACGCTACGTTAAAGGTGCAATCTCCCAAGGCCACGAGTTAAAGCAAACGATGGTCGATTTGTACAATACCAAGCTTGCCGAGCAGCAACGCCAAGGCCGGAAGAAATATAAGAACCGCCACCTTCAAAGCGGTGGAGTACTGACTGTAGACGAAGGGAGGGCTATTGCGAAGTCAAAGGAAGATATTCGCATTGCAAAAGCAGAAAAGTTAGTACTGGCGAAGCAAAAGAGGGAGCAAAGGGCGATTGAGCTCGAGGAGCGACGGGCAGCCCGGGCGGCTAAGAAAGCCGAAAAGGAAGCCCAACGATCAGCTTTATAAGCTACAAAAGCCAAAAATAGGTAGACTATTGCGGCCAGTATTCAATTATCGTATGCATCAATTTTTAACTTTTTTTGCCGTTTTATTATTAAATTAAGTTGGCGTTGAAGCCGTCAAGTGACACAGCCAGGTGGTTGACACAGACAGGTGGTGAGGACCCACTTTACGTGGGGCTGTGGGACGAGTACCAGCTAAATGGTGCGAGTTTTTCGAGGGCCAATAAAGTGGGGCGTGGCACGGGTAGGTAAAGAAAACGGCCATTCGGGCACCATCCCGCCGCGGGGAAGAGGCAGAAAAAGCAAGAAGGCAAGTAAAGCGGTGATGACGATTGCGGGGTAAGCGAGAGGAAGGGAGCATAAGAGGGGCGCCAAGGCACGAATAGGAGAACAAGAGCAGAAGCGTCTACCCTAGCTACCGATCGAGCAGTTAGAAAACAACTACAGCATGGCCACTTGCAACGTTTCCGTGGAGTTCTGGTGCGAATTCGGGCCACGGAGCTGAAGTACAAGCATAGCATCCCGAAGACGCTCGTGACGCAGGTAGGCCAGGCGAGGCCGAACCACGCAGCCAGTGCACTGTTCCTACAGTGGATAAGGCCGATCCTACGGGAGCACGAGGCAGCGTGTAGGAAGGCAGCAGGGTGCGCTGCGAGCTGCGGCGGACTCGCAAAGGAGATTCTACAGAGCCCGATATCGTACCTACACGCAGAGAGGCCGTTTGTGCTCGTGGTCGTGTCGTCGTTCTGCGGCAAAGAAGGATGCGAAATTAGGACGAGGCAGGAAATGCAGGACACGATGGCAGAGGCGGGGCAGGCGGGCGGAAACAAGGGCGCGACGCAAATGCAAGGCAGGATGCGCAGAGCACAGAGGAAGGTCTGCCGGGTTTGTGGAGAGATGGCGGGGCGAGGAGGTGCAGCCGATGCCTGACGGTGGCGTACTGCAGCAGGCAACACCAAAAGGAGGACTGGAAGGTGCACAAGAAGGGATGCAAGCCAAAGGCAAGCTAGGAGCTAGGGAGAGGAGGAAGGAAAGTAAAGGGACAAGGCATAACGCGCAGGACATAAACAAGGTCACGGAGAACAAATAGAGGCAGGCACTATCGTAAGAAATAGGTCGCAAGCTAAAGTTGTTGTTTCAAAAAGAGATAAACGTTGTAATGTGTAGAGTAATGGTAATTTTGCAGCGATAAGTTTCGTTAGGAATAGCATCTCGAGAGGAGAACGGTTTATTTTAGTAAAGGCAAGAGGCGTAAGAGAGCGATAGGTTTATAGTAGGCAGCTCATTTCTGCATGCGATAGCGGATAGGTCGAGCGGGCGGGTCGGAGGTGCTCGCGACAATAGAGTCAAGAGGGGAACCCGGCTTGGCTGCCGGAGCGGAACGGGCGGGACGCCGCTCGGTCGAGACGAAGAAGCGGCCGGCGGGGGAGAGGAGGAGGGGGCGGCGGAGCTGACGGTGTCCGAAGACGAGGAAGGCGGCGAATTCTGCTGCTGCAGCAAGCGCGCCCTCTTCATGGGCGTATCGGCAAGGGCCGGGTGGGAGCGCTTAGGCGGTGGTGTGACGGGGTCGAGGGCGGTCGGGGCCGAGGCCAAGGAAGGGGGAGCCGACGCAGCCGAGGCCGGCGCAGCAACGGAGTACAAGGCGGCGCGGACGGAATCAAAGGTAGAGGAGGCGGATAGGGTCTGACGTTTAAGGGGCGTAGCAAGGGGGGAAGCCGAGGCGGAGGCGGCCGCCGAGGGCCTGTCGACAAAGTTCCAGCTGTCCGGGACGACGATAAAGACGTAATCGCGCTCTGAGCCCGGGGGGCAGAGCATAAGACGGTGGTCGAGAAGGCCGACGACCTTTCCAGTGCAGGTAAAGGGACGCCGGGCAGGAAGGAAGAGTTAGGCCTTTCAGCAATTTTCTTGCATAGCACGGCCCAAGGGTTAGCATAGATGGGAAAGATAACAAAGACCTGGAAGGGGTGGTAGCCCTTAAAGGAATCCGGTCCGGCAGGCCAGGGGTGATGTAGGTAGTGAGCCGGACGAAGCCGCAGCAGCGGAGCTGGTCGGGCCCGAGACCTGGCAGGAAGTCTCCACGCAGGAGGTCAAGGCCAGGCCCGGCGATGACGCCATGGAAGGAGACAACAGGAGGCGTAGACGGGAACTGGCCGCCAGAGGCCAAGGAGCGTGGGAGGACGCTAGGGAGAGAAGTCAGCGAGGCGGCCGGTGAAGGGGCAAAAAAAAAAAAAAGGGGGGGGCGCACGGCTGGTAGCCTTGGTCGCGGACGATAAGGGCGGGCACTGTGTAGAGGACGGTATCGTCTGGGCCGGCCTCAAGACCGTCGCGGCGCTCCACCTCCCAGGCGAGGGCGTAGGGGTGAACGCGGCCGCTCATAAGGAACCATTGCTCGGACCAGTCCGTGTCGACGATTGGCTGGCCGTAGATAGAGGTTTAGGCTAAAGAAGAGAGAGGGCCCAGGTCGTCGCCCTCGGCCCGGGGTGCGTAGTCGGCCTCGAGCAGCCACGAGGCACCGGCAGGAGGACGCGGGCGATAGCCTCAGCGTTGAGGCCCCTAATGCGGTGCTCGTCGTGGTGGGCGAACCTCGCGGGGCAGTCGGGCTGGGCGAAGAACATCATGGACATATCGCTGCCCGCGCCCTTGCTAGAGCCAAGGGGCTTGCGGAGGTGCGGGGCAGAGCTGTCCGCCGACGGAGACGAAGACATGGCTCGGCCGTGTAGTAAAAGAGCAACGTTGCTGGGGCAAAGCTAAAAGCGGCGAGAAAGATAGGCAGGAGTGCTCCTACCTATATACCGTCTTACGAGTTTAGTGTAAAGAGAAGGGCCAGTGGCGATGGTGTGTAAGAGAAGTCAAAGGATTCTAAACAAAGACGCAACATGGCGTTAGTGGTAGGTTATATAAGGAGCCTTTGTAAAAGAGGGTTATAAGATGCGTATAGAGGAGAGTGCAATAAGAGAAGGGAGAACTTTAAAAGGCGGTCTAGTAAGATGTTGAGAGTTTTAAGACAAGCAGGACGCGCGAAGCTATATTCGAGGAGAAGCAGGCAGCCCTATTCGCAACACGTGTAAGACATGGTTTTAAACTTCAGCGGGCAAGTGTCTAGGGGCATACGGAAGCTTTGACTGATAAGAGCTGGATGACAAGAAGGAAAAGCGTAGCATGCAAAGCATAGGCAAGAAGAAGCCGTCGCGGCGACGTACATATAAGGATCGGCCGAGGCCGTCTAGCCTATCGCATATGGCAGCAGGCAATGGCGGGCGGGCTTAATAGAAAGGCGGCGCCGGTATAATGCAAAGCAGCAGCACGCATATAGACATAGTAGAGAGCTACGAGTAAGATATATAGACTTTTGTAGAGGATCCTATATGCGCAAGAGGGGTGCCAGTCAGCAAGATAAGTGCAGGGCGAATAATCGAGGCAAGGATTTATACGCTGTTATTACACTTACGAGGATTTACGCCAGGGGCCTAGTGGCACCATAAGTAGGCAGGGCCAAAGAGGGCAGGTGCAAAAGAGGAAGACAAGACGTCCGTGGGGGCTTTGGTAGACCGGTGTCGCAATGAAGCCAGCCAACGGAAGGGACCAGTCCGGAGCGGGGGACGGGGCAAGCCCGGCGCCAGAAGCCTGCGCAGCGCCGTACACAGGACCAGAGTTCCAGCCGACCACAGCAGCGCCGGCACTTGCTAGCGGCGCCCCTCGGAGAGAGCAAGAAGAGGCGTCAAGGGAGGCGCCTCCGAGGCGAGGGCGGGGAAGACCGCCAGGACTAGGAGATGGAGGATCAGCGCAGGCCGAGTCATGCCGCGGGATATCCAGCCTCGGCCGACACCAAGCGCGGCGGCAACTTGGCTGCCGCCGACACCGAGGGCGGCAGGGCACTGGCTGCCGCAAGGCGTGCCCAGCGCCGTCTCGGCCTCAGGGAAAGCCAGCGCGCACCAAGAGAAATCCGGCCTCTGCCGACAGTAGAGGCCGCCGGTCCTCGCCGCCGCCGACGAGAAGTTCGGACGTTCCGCGGGACATTCGGCCACAGCCGACATGGAGGGCCGCCGGCCCTTCGCCGCCGACGAGAAGTTCGGACGCGCCGCGGATATCCAGGCTCTGTCGACACCGACGGCGGCAGGGCGCCGGCTGCCGCAAGGCGGGCCTAGCGCCGTCTCGGCCTCAGGAAAAGCCAGCGCGCACCGAGGGAAATCCGGCCTCTGCCGACGGTGGAGGCCGCCGGGCCTCGCCGCCGCCGACGAGAAGTTCGGACGTTCCGCGGGATATTCGGCCACAACCGACTTGAGGGCCGCCGGCCCTTCGCCGCCGTCAAGCGGGACTAGCTCGGCCGTAGTCTCGATCGGAAGCCAGCACTCGCCGCGAGCCATCCAGTCCCGGCCGGCCAGCAGGGCCGAGATCCCCGCCACAACTCCGGCCGCAGCCGGGCTGCTTGTTGGCGGCAGAGATAGCGCCTCGGCAGGTACGGTCGTAGAGCGAGGTAAAGGCGTGTAGCGGTGATAGCTAACCGGACGCAGGTAGATCGGCGATAAGACGGCAGGCGAGGAAGAGCAGAAGAGGAAACGCCATCTTAGTAGTGGGCAGGCCGAGCGGAAACGCGCCCGGGTCGGTGAAAGGTGCCGAGACCAAGGGAGCTGCAGGCCGAGGACCTAGCCAGCGCGCTGCGGCACCTCGACGAGGAGTTCGAGGCGGGCGAGAGGCTGGCCAACGAGCAGACGTGGTGTGCGCCGGTGCCGCGCGAGAGGCAGGTGAGGACGGTGCGGAAGTTCTACCGGGCGTTCCACGACGCTGGCACGCTGCCGATCGCGACCTGCACGCTATGCTACCGGAAGCGGGCCAAGGGGAGCTGAGGAGATGGCGTGGGAGGGTGGGAGGGGTGGTCGCGGGCGGTGTTGCGGGGGCGGGCGGTCCCCGTTCGGGTGCCAAGCCTGCTTCCCGGAGGGCAGGCCGGCGGCGGTCTGCGCAGAGTGCGCGCGATGGGCCGGGCGTGAGGGGGCGTCGCCGGCCATGCACCTCCATGGGCGGCTCGGCTGCGAGCACGCGTACCCCGACGAGCTAAAGGACCTCACGCCGCTCGAGGAGAAGCTCATCTCGCTCAACTCGTGCTACGGCTTCGTGACGAAGTATAGCATCCCCGGCGGCCAGAGGCAGAGCGTGAGGTACCCGAGGCACGTCAAGGGCCATATCACGGTGTTCCCGAACGACGTGCAGGGCCTGGCTGCCAAGGTGCTCCCGCACCCGCTGGTCCGGGTCATGGACGAGATCCACGTCTCGTGGCAGGGCGCTGAGAGGCCCGGGCCGCGGGACCTATCAGGCCTGCTGTCGGTAAGGCGGTCGGCGGTCGAGAGGCGCTGGCCTGGCTCAAGGAGAACAACCCGCTCTACGGCGAGGTCGAGATCGACGCGGCGGAGATAGCCAGCTGGGGGCGCCGCCGCACGGTGCCGCCGGTGGTGTGCGAGCGGCTGGAGCGAAACGAGCCGTCGGCGCGGGAGAGGACGCAGACGGCGCAGGTGGTGCCGCCGTCGGAGCGGGCCATGGACGACGGAGGCGCGGCCGAGATCGAGGAAATCCTCGCGATGCTAAGGCAGGGCCAGGACCCCGCCGAGGGGAGCCGCGACGTCGGGCTCACGTGCGAGGACGACGACAGGGACGGCGCTAGGCCCGAAGAGGACGGGGACGTAATCAATGAGGTAACGTCTTCCGGCATGTTCCCGTTAGATGGGGCGCCAGATGTGGCCGACGCCGAGAAGATTCGCTTCGCCCGCGACGCGGTCGGGCCCGAGGAGCGCGCGCCAGCCGAGGACGTGGGTAGGGACGGCGGCCAGAGGGCGGCGGGCGACGGCGGCGACGGCGAGCCGTACATACAGGTGCGACGCGGCGAGGATTTCGCCGACTCGGCGGACGCCTCCTTCTTTGCAAAGGCCTTTCCGACCCTGTTCCCCTTTGGCTTAGGCGGGCCGAGGCTCGCCGACGAGGACGCCGCGGAGAGAGCGCGGGCCCAGCGTCGGGAACCAGGGCGCCCAGGCGGAGCGGGTTGCAGAGGGCCTTATGTCGACGCGGAACATGAAGCTCCAGGCATGGGCCGACGTCGTGCTGCGGCGTCACGGCGGCCGGTTCGCGACGCACCTATCTTCGCCTTCCTTGTCTTTAACATGGGCGTGCGGTCTAAGAACCGCCAGGCCAGCATGCTAGGCGTAGCGAGGAAGAACTTCGCAAGGGTCGAGGGCCTACTAAAGTCGTTAACGGCGCAGAGGCTCGAGGCGGCCAGGCCGAGCTCGAGGCCACAGGTAAGACTAGCGACGACGGGGTAAAGAGCCCTCCGGTCCCTCTCCGTGTTCGGCTACCGGCAGCCAATGTCGAGGAGAGCCGCCTTAGTATGCGGAAGAAGATACTATCCCTCATCGTTAGGTACGGGTGCCGGCTATCTGGTTCACGCTGAACCCGAACGACATTACGAACCTAGTAAAGTTACGGCTAGCGGCGCACCGCGGCCGCGACCCCGACGAGGCCGAGGCCTTCCTAAGTGACCTAGGGACCGCGTATAAGCGGACGCGGCTGGCCATATCGGACCCGATGAGCTCGGCCGTCTTCTTCCACCGGGAGATGACGCTCTTCTTCGAGCACTACGTCAACGTCGGGGAGGAGTCGGTGTTCGGCCACGTCGGCGCATACTACGGGGCGGTAGAGACCAACGAGCGAGGCGCCCTCCACATCCACGGGCTCCTCTGGCTAAGGGGCAACGCGGGCATTGGCGACGCGCTCGCCGGCCCGGACGCGGAGGAGCAGGCGGCGTACCGGGAGCGCATCGTCCGCTACGTAGATAGCGTCTTCTCTGAGGTAAGGCGGCCGCCTTAACACAAACCCCGATGCCCCTATCTGGGTCAGGCTGAGGGCCTAAGCTGAACCGAGGCCGCAGGAGCTAGACGCAGAAGGTTACTGTGCCATGCAGGCAGAGCGGTCGGCCACGGCGGACATATCGTCGCGGCTCGACGACGTCGCGCGCTTCACGGACACCTTCGACGAGGAGGCCAACTTCTGCGCGGGCGCGACGCAGATCCATACGCATAGCGCGACCTGCGTAAAATACTCGCTCGGCGTGGGGCGCGGAAGGGGACCTCTGCCGGTTTAAGGCGCCGTGGAGGTTGGTGGAGAGGACGGCGCTGACGGCGGACGGGGTGCTCGAGATCCGGCGGACGCATAGCATGGTGAACCGGTGGAACAGGGCGATGGCAGTGGGGCTACGACACAACCACGACATCTCGTTCATCGCGACGCAGCGCAAGACCATGGCCCTAATCTACTATATTACTAACTATACGACGAAGGTAGAGGACCCGGTGTGGAAGCGTGTGGCCGCCGCGGCCGAGTTCCTTCCTGTGCTAGAGCCGACGGGAGAGGGCAACAGAAGTGGCGCCGACCGCGACGCCGGCCGGGAGGGCGGGGCCGAAGGGGTAGCGACGGCGGCGGACCCCGTAGGGGGGAATAAGACGAGAACGTTCCTGCTTAAGGCGGCGAATCGAGTCTTTACGGAGCGGCCGCTGTCGCAGGTCGAGGTGATCGCGCACCTCCTAGGGTACCCGGCGGAGTTTAGCAGCGGCTCAGCGTGGGCGTATATAAACGCAAACCAGCTCTACTGGGCCGTCTTCCGCCGGTGGCGGCACCTCCGACGGGCGAGCGGCGCCGAGGCGACGGGCGACGCGCCGGACGAGACGGTCGTCGTCGAGGAGGCTGGCCTGAGGATCCTCTCGTCGAGGCCTACCGGCACCGGGGCGAGCTCCTGCGGGCCTCTGCCTTTATGACTACGCATCGCTTGTAAGGTTAAAGCAAAACGGCAGCGGCGCCGACGGTATGGCGGGCTGGGGTGAGGTACCCTTCGCGGAGAGCTGGGCGTCGGGGAAGGGCTGGGTGCAGGCGCTTAGGCGGCCGGGTTGCGGGGCGACTGTATGCGTCGACGGATACCTCAGCAAGGAGTTCAGCGAGGAAGACGACGAGTCGTGCCACCGGAGGTGCGTACTATAAGACGGGGGGCGCCTAAGAGGAAGGCAGAGCAGCTAGGGGCATCGGCTAACAGCATCTAGGGCGGCGGTGCAGCACCTGGCCCTATTCGTGCCGTGGGAGTCCTTCCTCGGCGAGGAGGCAGGCGACATTAACAACATCTGGGCACGGGCGCGGAGTCGCTGGCGCCGAGGGTCGCGCGGCTCGCAGACAACGTGCAGCTCCTCCGGCGGTCGGCGGAGGACGCGAAGCGCGACGCCAAGCAGTGGGCCGCCACGGCCGAGGAGGGCGGTATGACGGCGCCGCAGGCCGACGACGAAGACAGGGGCGGCCGAAGGGGCGAGGAGGCATACCGCGCCGGCGGGGCGGGCGACGCGGCTCGGCTCATCGACGTCGTCCGGAACGCCGCCAGCGCGGGACAAGTCACGGCGCAGTCAACAGAGCTGCTAGCGATGACGCAGCAGCTCTGCCGGTTCCAGCAGTCGGCGCTCGGGTCGGCGGCCGAGCTCGCGGCGACGGTGGTGGCGGACGAGAGGGCAGGCAGGCGGGTGAACCTACCGGGCTCGGCGCTGTCGGGGGCGGCACTGCCGCGGCAAGAAGAGGTGCGGGCCATCAAGTCGCAGCAGAGGAGCGCGGCGCGGGGGGAGCGGGCGATCCAGGGCATCCAGGGCGGCGGGGCGGCGGCGGGCGTCGGGGCCGACCGCGGCGCGGCCCTTCGCGGGGTGATGGGGGGCTTCGGCGAGGACGACATCGACGTAACGGCGGCCGACGGCGACGCAGACGCAGGCACGGCGGCGGGGATGCGCGTGCGGCTCGGCCCGTCGAGCTCGTTCGTCGCCGCCGGCAGGAGCTGGCGGGCCAGCTCACGCTCAACGAGAAGCAGGCCATCGCCCTCCTAATCGTGTGCCGGCAACTCGACCGAATCCGGCAGGGCGACGACGCAGGCGGCGACGGTGGTGGCCAGCTCTGCCTATTCATCGGCGGCGAGGGCGGCACCGGCAAGTCGCGCGTCATCGAGGCGCTCGTCGAGCTGCTCGCCCGGAGGGACCTATCGAGCCGGCTGCTGGTTACGGCGACGTCGGGGACGGCGGCAGCGCGGATCAACGGCATCACGCTGCACTCGGCCTGCGGCCTTACGGTCGGCCAGGGCGGCCGGGCGGGAGGGCGACGAGGACATTGACGGCGTACGGCTGGCGGGCCAGGGCGAGCGCTTCGTCGACGGCCGGTCGCGGATGGACTGGCAGGAGAAGGAGGTGCTGGTGATCGACGAGGTCAGCATGCTCGGGGCGCGGACGCTGCACGCCGCCAACGAGCAGCTCTGCCGGCTGCGGGGGTCGGCGCGGGACTTCGGCGGCATCCCGGTAGTGATCCTCTGCGGCGACTTCCACCAGTTCCGGCCGGTGCAGGAACGGTCGATCCTGCTGCCGAGCGCGGCGGTGGCGTGGGACGAGGACGGGGCGTTCGCGGCCGAGCAGCGGCGGCAGCACGACAAGGCGCACGCGCTGTGGCGGCGCTTCACGACGGTCGTCATGCTGACGAGCAGATGCGGGCCGCCGGCGACCCGGAGCTGCGGCGGCTGCTCGGGCGGATCCGCCGGGGCGAGCAGGACCGGTCGGACCTAGAGCTGCTCAACTCGAGATGCTACCGGCCGGGCAGGCGGATCCCGTGGGAGACGGGCCTGACGGTGGTGACGCCGCTCAACCGGAACCGCTGGAACCTCAACCTAGAGGCGGCGCTCGCGTTCCGGGAGAGGCGGCGGACGGCGGCGCGCGTCTTCCTCTCCGAGCATAAGTGGAGGGACGGCGTGCCGACGGAAGAGGAGGCGGTGCTAATGCTAGGCCAGGGCGACGACAGCGCGACCCCGGTGCCGGCCGTCTTCCTCTTCGTGCCAGGCATGCCGGTCGTCGTGAACCAGAACACGCACCAGGGGCTGAAGCTTGTGAACGGGGCCGGGTACACGGCGGTGGACGTCATCCCCGACCGCGCCTTCCCGGCCACCGCGTCTCGGCGGAGCTCATCATGCACTTCGGCCGCCGGCGGGCATCGTGCTGGCCTCGGAGACGACCAAGGACTTCCACTTCGTCGGGATGCCTGCCGGGACGATCCTGCTAACGCCCATCAGCGTCAAGATCACAGCGCAGCGGAAGCGGCCATGGCAGCGCAACGACGTCAGCCGGAGGGGCCTGCCGTGCGCCGCGGCCTTCGCCTGCACCGACTATAAGGTGCAGGGCGGGACGCTAGAGCGCGTGGCGCTGGAGCTGCGGGGGGCGAGGATGACGACGGTCGAGGGGAGGGCGGTGCCGTCGTCGTGCGACCCGTATAGCCTATACGTGCAGCTGTCGCGGTGCCCGACGCTCGACGGCATCATGCTCGTATCAGAGGTGCGGGAGCGGGACCTAGTGGGGAACCGGGTGCCTGAGGAGATGACGGCAGCGCAGGCCCGGCTAGAGGAGCTTAGCAGGCAGACAACACAGGAGGCGGCCGACTGGCTCCGCAGGTAACGCAGGCGCCCTGCATTTTCCACACTTCTGACGTAAAGGAGTGTAGGTTAAGGGCCAGGAGGACGGGCGAAGGGGGTGGTCTGTGGAGGCGTGTGGTCTATGGCGGAGTTAGAAGCCGGGCCGGCTTGGGCACCTTCCTCTATGTGGTCTGCGGCGGCGTATGGTCTACGGAGGCGTTGGAAGCGAACTGCGCAGCTGGAACTAAAAGGGCAGCAAGGGGCAGGGCATTATTTATTTTTATTTATTAACGAATGAAAAGCGAGAACATCGACGAATGAAAAGCGAGAAAAGAACAACCGACGAATCAAAAGCGAGAACGCCAGCGAATCAGAGGGCGGCATTTGCGGGGGGGAAATCGATGGCGAATTTTTTTTCTCCCCGGGGAGGAACCCTAAGAACCTTTCGTCACTCGTTCCTCGTTCCTCAAGGCAAAGTCCTTTCGTTCCTCAAGGCAAATCAGCCAATCAGAGGCGGAGGATGTGGGGGTGAAGCAGTCTGGGGCCTTTTTTCCCCGCGCGCTAATGAAGTCCTTTCGTTCCTCAAGGCAAGTCCTTTCGTTCCTCAAGGCATCCTCAAGGCACAACAAGGCACAATCAAGCTCGAACTTGACAATTCTCAATCAAGTTTGACTTTTCGTCAAGTCAAGTTCTCAAGTCAAGTTAGGTAGTAGTCATCAATCAATCGAGTTCAAGGAGTGTCAAGTCGTCAAGTACTTGACGCCACATGGCAAAGAGAGGACTACCCTAGATCGGGAAGTAATCCGCCAATTACATCGCTTCGAGTCGTGGGATTCGCCCTCAAATATTGTGGGGCCGATCGTGGTTGCTTAGCGCGCATTAGCCGTAAGTGGGCCCGCGCGGGGGCCCCCAAACCGTCCCAACACAAGCGAAAATGAACCCCACTCTTATCACACCAAACAGCCATCAACAACGCGTCAATTCGACGCGTGATTCAGCCCGAAGGGCGTTTATTCAGTCAAAAAGAAGAGCATAAACCCTGTTCTGATTGGCTACTTGGCCTCCCCTGTCCTCAACTCGTGAACGAATTGGTCGGCTGATAACGCCACCAAATGAAGGCCCACCACAAACCCCTGAGCGTTGACTAGGTAACTAGCGAGCTCTCGGAGAGCTCGCCGACAGCTTTCAGTTGTTCTTTTCTTCAACGCAATCAATTTGTTGGTTTATACGCACGCTTCTACTTCCCTTTCCCGTCGAATCTGTCGAACCCATCGAGTTGCTAACGGTGTCTAGGTTCGCAAATCACATCCGCAGCCGGCCTACCCGGGCAGGTAGTGCAGTTTCCTCCCAGATCATTCAGATCTGAGCCGACTACCTCAAAGACACTCTCCCTATCGAGCTCCACCACGGTCTCGGACCTCTCAACCGTCAGACAGCTCTGCTAGCATCACCAAGCCCTCGCAAAGCCTCCCTGCCCGAGCGATATCTAGCAGTCAAAGTGGATAAGAGGTGGATATATATACGGTCAGATGGAGAACGATACACCCCCGGCAGTCCGCAACTGTCGTACTTGCAAGCAAGACCTGCCCGAAGTCGAGTTTCGAAGCGTCAAGGACCCTACAAAGTTTACAAGAGAGTGTGCCAACTGTAGGGCACGCCGAAGGGAGCGGTTAACCGAATCCCGAGCCGTCCTTGCCGCCATGCGGAATATCGCCTCGAGGCCATCGCCACGCAGAGCCACGAAGAGGACCGACGCAGTAGCTAACCTGACGCCTCCAAGGCGGACTGCACCAATACCTGCGTCTGCGAACGGCTTACGGCCTACGACGCCTGATTTACTCCGTTGCCTGGTGCCCGCGCCCTCGAGAATGCTTAGACCTCCGCTGAGGCCTTCTACCCCAAGCATTGTCGAGGACTTTCCCTATCCCCTACCCTGGCCTGCCAACAGTAGTTCTGGGCACGCCGATTCAAGACAGTGCTTCTACAGCTCCTGTTGTGCAAGGCACTCCTATACCACAGGAATCGCTTCCTACCACTCCTTCATTATTGCCACAGGGTCATCACCGCGGCCGGTATACTCGTCAAGGCACACAGCCTCAAGTGCGACTGTTTGATCAGAGTATTGATCCGCCTTTTACAGGTGACCTTAACTTGCCTGCCCTCAATGAGGAAGATCAGGCCCTTGTGCGGGAGTTCTATACCGCCCTGAATGACGACAAGATGCACAGTTGCACTCGCTGCCAGGAGCGTTGGTTTGATATGAAGCCAAACCGCTTAAAAATATGCAGCCGCTGCATCGGTCGAGACAGGAAGAAAGCCCCTAACGAGCCCTACTTCTTTAGCGCCGCGAATAACCTTGACTTCGGGGAAGTCCCCGGCAATCTACCTGATCTAACGATGGTCGAGGAGATGCTCATTGCTAGGGTTCACGTACACGTCAAGGTCCTACAAGTGCGCGGCGCTCAATACAAATATCGAGGCCACGTTGTCCACTTTCTTCGCAACGTTGGTAGGCTATTTGAAGAGCTCCCAGTGCTACCGCAGGAGCTAGATATCGTGCTCCTACGGCCTCCTAATATGGAAGGCGACCCTCACTTCCAGCAACAGTTTGCTCGCGATTTCCGGGTACGCCGTTCATGCCTATTGACCTGGCTGCATTACCTGCAGTGCCACCACCCGGGCTATCGCGATATTGTCGTGAGCCAGGATCGCCTGCACCGGCTTCCTCTTGATGGAAGTATAGTGGGTTCCATTGCAAGCCAAGTGGCTGACATACCTGACGGCGAGGTCCCCCAAGGCCCCGTTGAGGAGGCTATGGATGAGGATCCTAGCGATGCCGACGCATCAGCGATCCCGAATTTGCAGGTTACCGATACCGAATTGAACGCCTTGCAGTCTAGATTTCAACGGTACCCTGACCCTGAGCGTATGGCTGATCTGGAGTACATGCCGCGTAGCGCAGGCTCACCACCAGATGCCATTGCCTTCCATTCGCAGGACCCCCATCAACGAGTTCAACCGTTCCCAGCCGCTGTTAACGCTCGCGTTCCCCACCCTCTACCCTGACGGCAAGGCCGACTTCGTGGAGCCTCGCCTACGGAGCATCACGTACCAGGACTACCTTGGCCATGCGATGAGATGGCGTGATGGACGTTTTGCCCGCCATAAGACGTGGCCTTTCGTCGCCCTCAACACGCTGTTACGCGCGCAGGTCCGAAAGCGAAGTGACTACTTTGTCAGGCAACGCGACAGCCGCCGCCAACCCCTTACACGCGCTGACCTAGAGGAGGCGATGGCTGAGCCTGACGAGCCGGAGGCTCAGGCCCTGATCCAGTCGATCACGCGCCAAGCAGCGGTAATCAGGGAACCCGACCGTATTGGTATAAGCAAAGGAAGGAGTTGGAAGCATATGCCTATAATCTAGGCAGGCCCGGCCTCTTCGCTACTGTAAGTGCAGCTGATTACCACTGGGAATCCCTATACCGTCATATGCCTCGATTCGACGAGTGGCAAGCAGCTCCCGAGGCGGCGCGGATTGCTCTGTCCCGGCAACTGCTGCGAGACAACGCCCACATCGCCGCTTACCACTTCCATAAGCGCTATACATTGCTTAGGCTATTGTCCTGAAGCGGAAGTTCAACCTAACGGACTTTTGGGTCGGTACGAGTGGCAGGGCAGGGGTTCCAGTCACCACCATGGCCTATATTGGCTAAGTGGCCACCCAGACTTGGATCCTGACAATGATCGGTCCCGAGAGCGATTCGCCCGTATCTGGGGATATTACATATCTGCTATCAACCCGGAGCCTCGGCGCATACAGGCACCCGGAGAAGGAAACCTCTGATCATTAATCTGTTGCAACACCCTTACCGTTCAATTCCTATCGATGATAGTCAACCGCGTGCAACGCCACCACTGTAACAACTACTGTATGCACCTCAGCAAGCATACCAAGCAGATGGAGTGCCGCTTCGATTTCCTCACGGCCAGCGCCTACTAGCCTCCTTGACAAGGCTCCTCACTCTAAGCACTGGAGCTTTAGGGGCGCGCGGAACGATGGCCAGATTAACCACTATAACCGCTTGCTTACCGTTGCGTGGCTAGCCAATACAGATGTCTCGCCCTGCACGAGTCTACAGCAGGTGATCGACTACGCAGCAAAATACTGCTCCAAGTCAGAAAGAAGAGCGATTCTTTTGCCCAGATTGGGAAGGCCCTGATGCCCCGGGTTAAGGACCACAACCCCCTGATTTCCTTTACGTCAAAGCTACTAAATCAGCTAGTTTCTGAGCGGGATTACTCGAAGCAGGAGGTTTGCCACTTGCTCCTCGGCCTGCCGTTACAGGAGGGTTCACGTACCTGCCTATACGTTGACTGCCGTAATTCTGATAGGCATTCCCGCTACCTCCGCATTGACGGCGATGAGGTTGATGAGGCACCCAACGTCTACGAGAAGTACAGTCAACGCCCAGAAGCTCTAACGGACCTCACTTACGTCTCCTTCCTCAAATTCTGGAATTTCCGCTCTAGAGACCCTTCCAAGTGGAAGCAATGGCAGCCAGGCAACGTCCACGGCAGGCCCCGTGTGTTGGTTTACTTTCCTCGCTATCAGGCTGATCCAGAAGGCCAGCAGTGGCCAGACTACTGCCGTGTAAAGCTGACTTTAAATCACCCACATCGCCGGCTCGATGAGCTCCTCACTTTCGACGGCCAGCTTTTTAGTTCCCACGTTCAGGCCTTCTCCTATTGTTGGCAGCATCACAGTCACGATGATGACCATTACGGCCAGCCAAGTGAGGCTCGATTACAGCCTCAAGAGGATCAATACGAGGCTCTGCCTGTGGAGGAAGAATTTGATGACGAAGACTGGATTCGCCTGGCTGCCCTTTTACCTGACCACCCCCTTACCCAGGAAGACCTTGACATACTTGGCCACCGCGATATCGACGTCAATTACGACTGGTCCCGGCATGTGGGTACTTATCCGGAGCTTCGAGATGGCTACTGGAAAGACCTTATCGCTAGCCACCCCGTAGCCAACAATGTGGAGGTCCTTGGCCCTCACTGGCGTGATGAGCTGAACCCACAACAACGGCTCGTGTACGACACATTCATAGGTCACTTCCAGGCGCAAAATCCTACTCAAATCCTTCTTCACGTTGATGGTGGTGGTGGCACAGGCAAGTCATTCCTTATCAAGGTGCTTTCCTCCCATCTTCAGGCAGCCGCCCTACCGAATCCTAGCCCAATTTGCCGCGTGGCGCCAACAGGCGTTGCGAGTAACCAGATACAGGGTAGCACTATTCATTCGTTGCTACGCCTCCCTGTGGGTGGTCCTTTTACCGACCTTCCCCCAACCGACGCAGCCGCCCTTCAGTCCCGCCTACGGCACGTGAAATACCTCGTTATCGATGAAAAGAGCATGCTAGGGCTTGAGCAGCTCGCGCGGATCGATTCCCGTTTGCGACAGGCCTTTCCACAGCGCAAAGTCGAGTTCTTTGGTGGTGTGAGCGTCTTGCTTGTGGGCGATTTCTTCCAGTTGCCACCAGTCCGGCAAAAGCCCTGTATTCGACGAGAACCGGCCTGTCCTCGTTGGAAAGGAAAGGGCAGGTAGCCTACCGGTTGTTTGACCGCACTGTCTTCCTGATCACGGTACAGCGCCAGGTTGGCGATGATCAGGCCCAGTTCCGTCAGGCGTTGCAGGAACTGCGTGAAGTCAAGTTGTCTATAACGTCCTGGAACCTCCTTAGTAATCGGGTACAGGCTAGGCTAATGCAGGGTGAGGTTGACAGCTTCAGTACCGCTTTGCGGGTGTATTCTACAAAGGCCCGGGTCAACGAATACAACCACGAGCATATGGTGCACCTCAACGCCCCGGCAATACAGGTGGAGGCAAAGAATCAGGCAAGGGCGCGGGACAGGCACCAAGCGACAATGCTGGCAATCTATCTAACAAGTTCCCTGTTGCCAAGGGCGCCAGGGTAATGCTCACTACTAACCTATGGCAGCCAGCTGGCCTAGTTAACGGTGCTCAGGGTACTGTATACGATATCGCCTGGAACGCAGGCGCCGACCCATCGAAGACCCCAGCCGTTATCATGGTGGACTTTGACAGCTACGACGGACCGTCATATCTAACAACTAATGAGGGCAGGAAAATCTCACCCATCCTCCCAGTCAGGCGTGATTTCCTAGTGGGCAACGAGACCTGCGCTCGCACGCAGTTTCCCTGACGGTGGCTTTTGCTATCACTGTTCACAAATGCCAGAGCCTAACGAAGGATCAAATAGTTACTGACCTCGCTTCACGCGACTTCCAGGCCGGTATTAGCTATGTTGCTGTATCACGGGTTACGTCGCTGCAAGGCTTACTCCTTGAGGCGCCTTTCGATCGTCAGAGCCTCTATAACCACGCGCCGACGGAAGGTTATGCGCATTTCCTACGTATTGCATTCACGGCTAACTATGAGATAGGGATGAAGATGCGCCTCGCTGACCAAAAACGCCGTCAGGCTCAACAGCTTACCGATGCGCCGTATCCACCACTTTATCTTGACTAAACGTCGTCTTCCCCTAAGCTACAGTGTGTGTGTGTGTATTTTCCGTCCAGCGGCCGTAAGGCCGCTCAGGTCCCGGTGGGGCACAGGACGTGCTGAGCTAGGCTATCGAGAAAACCCTGCCACAGTAGGCCTCACCCAGCGCTTCTTGCAAGGCCTCGCAAGGGCGAGCTGTCGGGCTCAATCCCCGGAGACGGCTTTCCTACCCCCTCCACCGGTAGGTTGTCGCTAAGCCCGTCAATACAAGTGTCCGTGGCTATCCTCTGCAGCCAGCCTTCCCGAAGTCCATCCAGCATTTCATCGGCTCTAAGGCGCTCAGTGTCGGAGCCTGGTGCCCGTCAGCGGGTCGTCCAGGCGCGTGGCGATTGCCACAATGGTCAACCCTTGGTTTTGTCCGGTCAGAATTCTCTCGCTCTTCGCTAACGCTGCTGTCGCAGTCCATGCTTCGGTAACCAGGCGATGGAAATAGCGCAGGAGCGGCGGCAGGGAAAACCTCGAAGGAATCAGAGGCTGTCGTGCAGCTTGCCTTCAGGGAGAAAAACCTGCGCAACCAGCCACCGTTGTTTAGAAGGGCGGGCCTTCCAATACCCACAGCTCCTTGGTTCCGAAGGAAGCTGTGAGGTCCGTGTGGACGTGTTGTCGAGACCGGCTTTGCAGAGGAATATGAACTCTCCTAATGTCTTCCTCTGTGCTGTTAGGGCCACGATGGACCCGGGCAGCAAAAGCGCGGTCGGGTGGCCTGCAAATCCGGCCCCCTGCTAGCGAGCCGCTAACAGCTCTGACGGGGGAAGAATTTTTACAGGGGAGAGTTGTTCCCCTAAGCTACAGGGAAAGGGGCGGTGAGGTATAGGGTATATAGCTAGACTGGGCCTGCTAGGAAGCGTTTTAAATAGCTGGTTGGCCGCTGCAGGCGAAAGGGGGGTTTCTAGGGGCCCTCCTTGGGAAAGCCGAATTGCAGGTATACGATGTTCAGCCTTCGGGCTGGATATTCAGCCGTTAAGCCCATTGCCTTGGCAACTTAACAGCTGTTCGACGTATTTTAACGTTGCCACACGCGTTCCGGGGGGCCCAAGTCGGTCATTCAGCACTCCAAGCTCCAAAAATTTTGCGCGGGATTTCTGCACCGCGAGTGTCTGTACCAATTACCGGATTAGGCATAGTACATCAAGTACTTGACAAGTTGTCAATCAAGCTCATTGACTGGTCAAGTCAAGTTTCAATCGAGTTGGACATACCTTCAATCAATCAAGTTCGATGGTCGAAATTGAACTCGATTGATTGTTAGCCACACTGGGCTCGCAGGGTAAGAAACAGGGTAAGAAGAAGCCTTTCGTTCCTCAAGGCATTCCTCAAGGCACCTTTCGTCACTCGTTCCTCGTTCCTCAAGGCACTAACGTTCCTCAAGGCAAGGCATCGGGTTGAGCTACGGGTTGAGCTACGAGCCATCCTCGGTGCACTCCGCTTCCGTCACTGGCGAGGTGAGGGCTTCATGACGTTGGTTTTCGCCACTGACGCCGAATATGTGGCTGAAGGCGCCAGCACGTGGGCTCGCGGCTGGGTACGCAATGGATGGAGAACCAGCACGGGCGCCGAAGTGAAGAACAAGGACCTGTGGGAGATGCTTCTTGAGAGGTTGAGCGGTGGGATTCCTCGGGCTTAAAGATCCAATTCTGGAGGATTCCCCGAACCCTAAATCTGATGGCGGACCATGCGGCGAAGCAAGCTGCGGCAACAGAGGAAGGTCCGGATTGTCAAACGACATTCCGCCCCAGTCGAGGAGGTGTCTCGACCCACATGGGCACCGTTCTTGTGTATATAACTGGGACCTTCGTTCCCTTGACTTGGGCAGTGGTCAAGGCCAATAGACTCTCTATAACCGTCATATGCATGGCATCTCTCATTTCCTTTTGACACGGATGAATACTGTGAAATCATGGGTGTGCTCACATAATATCGACCTCGAACCGTATGGGTGGTTAGGTTACAAAGATCAAGCATCTCGGCCCTGTCATGCCATGACTGAGACGGTGGTCTACTGGTCTTGCGCGAAGAGCCTGGAGAATGAAGGCAAAACCTGCGCGACAGCCGTTCGATGGAGTCTCACATCACCAAAAGAGCTCGTCGACAATGGTGCGAAGACACTACTTGCTCGATGCTTCAAGAGGAGCCATGCTCGACTGCATGAATCGTTCGAACATCTTCGCCATGGAGGCATTGTCTTGTTTAGGACCTGCTGCGCCTCTTTCGCTCGACGAAGAGATCGATCCGTCACTGAGCCTCGGTAAGGGTCTAGCCTCATACATAGTTTTTGACAATGCTACGGTTTAGATTGAAAAACTGCAGAAGCTCGATCTTGGAAAGCCGAAGCAGTATCCCCCATACCTTGAAAGCGGTTGAACATGGTGTCCGTCTCGAGGTCCCGGTTGATCTTGTCTCGATCCCATGCATTCACGCGATCCCCTGCCAGCCCTCTTGGATCAGGATTACTGGCCTGCCTCTCGAACCACTGCCGCCGCTCCCTCTGCTCCTTGGTTGGGTTCTGGGCTCGGTATGCCGCTTTGAGATCCTCCCAGCCATTTACACCGCGTGAGTCTTCCGCTACGTAGTGTCCGGAGCCATCAAGGCAGATAAAGTTGGCGGTGGAATCGGCACGTCCCAGGACTGTAAAATAATGCTCCCAGTTGTCACCGAAGTCGTAGGTGTAGACAATCTGGCGATCTGGCTCAGGTCAGGAAAAGGGCGGTCAGGGAGACTTGGCTGATGAACACATACTTTGAAGCTGTGCATCGTCCAATAGCTGGAACAACTTGTACTTGTCGGCTTTCTTCTCTGGTGTGTTGGGGTGACGCCTCGTCGACTCGTGCATGCGATCGATGCCGGAAAACATGGTCTGTTCGACCGGGTCGACAACGCGGAAGAGATACTCCCTCGGCTCGGAAGCCGAAAGTTGATCGCCTGACGGACCTATGGCCATGCGTCTTCTCATGAATTCATTCACGTCGGCGGGCTCACGGTAATCTGGATCCAGGACTGCGAAGTCGAACGAATGGGTGGTCGCCCACCCAAACGCTGTTTGCAGCGCCAGGTGAAGCATGTAGAAGACGGCGTGCGCTGGGCATGACAAGGTGCGCGTTACCGGCGGGTTTGTAATGTGCTCCGGGCCCAGGTGAAACTTGATGATGTAGTTAGGTCGAAAACAGGCCTCCTTGTGAGATGGCCAGGCCGCCGACTGACAGTCGCGCGAGCAGTATGCCGCCGTTCGGCATCTAGAGCACCGCTGGAGGGAATCAGTGTCTAGGGAAGAGGGGGACGACTTTGTGCAGCCGGCGTTGCCGCACTTGTCCATAGATGCCAATTGTGCGAAGCCTTTGCCCCCTGCAGACGACAGAAAGTGGATGTTTGCAAGATCAAGGTGGCCAACAGCAAGGATTAGAAAAGTGTAGGCGAGGAATAGCGGGTCAAGCATCTGAAGTCACGTGACTCGTGAAATCGCCAAGAGTGAGGCGAAGGGCCTAACCCTCATCTTAGTCAGCCTGTTACCTGAAGAGTGTGTGAGGGGGTCGACTCCTGTATGTTGGGTCGGGCCACCCTAATCTCCCTGTGCCGCCGTCAGCCAATAAAAATGATTTCTTTAAGCCGCGTCAGGTACCCGTGCCACGCCCCACTTGCTGGTAGTAGTAGTAGTAGTATTGATTACCGTCTGGGACATCCCTATAAGGGCAAAAGACGTGCTAGGCTAGAGAAGACTAGATACATAGAATATCCCGAGTACCTGGACTAAGGGCCGGGTGTAGCACCTAACCACTCCATCTAGCAATTCTGAGGCTCGAAGGCCGGTCGGAAATTCGGGGCCCTTCCCTCGTCAGCGGTTCCAGGCACGGCAGTGAAAGAGTAATAGTAGTCAGTTTTTGGCCGAGGCCAGGTGACTGAGAGAGACCACGAAGTCATGGGCCGGCCGCAAGCCCCCTGAAGGGCCTACGGGGTAGAAAAAAAAGAAAGGAAGTAGAGAGTGTAGGTATGTTAGTCGGGGGTTTGCCCTGGAGGGCGATTGTCTTCTCCCGCAGGAGTATTCGATCCGGGCCACTTCGTGGTCATGACAGTTGGCGAAGTCCCGTGCCTACTCCTCGGAGGTCGAGCAGGTCATCAAACGGACGGCACCATGGAAGGCGGCGGGGGAAGACGGTTTGCCCCTGGGGCTACTAAAACGCCTGCGGTAAACCAGTCGCTATCTCTATCCTTGCATTGCTAGAGTAGTTAGGTTCAGTCTTTAAGAAGGAACGTGTTACTTTACGGTAGCGGGAAAGTTTCCACATCTCGCCTCGGTACCTACAAAGGTCGGGGCCCCCCCTTCCTAGATGGAGGTGGCAGAGCAATCTGCACACACCAAGAGTCCATGCACGCATCGGGATGGCTCCGGACAGTCAGGTTCGGACAGTCAGATTGCAGGGATTGTTGCGCTAAGCAAGGGTTAAAACGATCGCGTCTTGGCTGCAGCCCAAATAGGATAACTGTCAATTGCCCTTGCCAGGTGCGCGTCGCCGTAAGAATCGCGCCCTTCAATTCATCAAGCTCGATGGAGATCGCGGCGACGCGAAAGCAAACCCAAATGGAGATCCAGTACCGCGACACCCTCCTTGGCGACATCCGCTCCGCCTTCGACAAAGCTGTGGAAGCCCTGCCGCATGAGCATCTTCGCGCCCCCGTTACTGGTGACGAGGCGAACGACCCTGAGGGAGCCCTTCGCTGGTTCCAAGACTATGCCTTCACCCAGGGTTTCGCTCTCGTCACTACCAGCAAGGCACGCGACCGCCTCCGAGTGAGCTGCATCCATCATGGAAGAGGCACGCGAAACACGCGAAAGCTATCGGATACGGTCACAGAGGGAGGGGACCGAAAGAAGGAGCTCACCTACGTCAAGGCAAAGGACTGTCCCTACAGTCTTTATGTCTCCTACAAAACTATCCGGAGCGGAGGGGTAGAGGAGCGAAAGGGCTGGGTGGTCGGTTTCACCTACGCATGCCATACGCACCCGCCACTTCAAAATCCCTTCCATTACGCCTGCCATAGATCCCGTATCCCAGAGCGGGCCGCAGCAGTCGATCTGGCCCTCGCGCATCGGACTGCCATTCGTCGGCGACTGAATTAACCCGGATTCTCGACCAACACGGCTTAGGCAATTGTCTTTCCGCAAAGGAGTTCTACAACCTGAGTCGGTCTGAAGGAAGACGCAGCAGTCAAGAAGCGCTTGACCTCTTGCTTACTTGTTTGGAGTTCGAAGACTTCCGCGTTCGTTGCTTCTTCAAGTACCTTCTCGACGACCAAGGACGACGGACAGCGCGGGTACTCGAGCACCTGTTCTTCTGTTCTTCCGAGCAGATCCGCCTGGGTAGAAGATTCGTCAGCGGATTCCTCATGCAAACCGATGCGACGTTCAACACCAATTGCCTCCACCTGCCTTTATCTGTCATAGTGGGAATCACAAACACAGGCAAGAAATTCCTCTGGCTTTCGCCTTTATAACATCTGAATCAGCTGAAGCCTTCGAATTTGTGAATGCCCAATTGGCGGAACTGGTCTGGTACGATTGCCCACCACCTCAAGTCGTTCTCGGGGATCAAACCAAGGCAATTGATATGCGGGCCGAACCACTTTACTACGGGGCCGTCTTCCGGGGCCGTGTGGCTGACCCTCCAAATCGGGTAGTTGAACATTCCGTTGTCTGTCTTCAGCCACGCAATAATTTCTCGGGCAGGGATGCTATAACGCTCTTGTATTCTATCTGGAGTTTTATGGCATTGCGTTTTGCAAGAATAAACTAATAATATGATGACGGGCCTGCCGGAAGAGTTCAAGAGGTCCCTGGTAATCGCGCCCACCTGCAAATAGATCCGGGGTCAGATCCGGACGACACGCGGAGGGCCAGGCCCTATGGACAGGCTATTTTCACGGTCCAGAACACTCTGTATTTTCGCTACCCAAATTACATTCGCACATGGATACAATCGCCGCGGCTTTCCTTGCTACCAGAATTTGATAGGACTGAAGGCGCTGCAGTGACAGGCCGCGTACGGGAACTTTGCCGTCTCCGCTTCGGCTGAGCTTCCTGCCTCTCTTCATCAGAGATGGTCTCCATTCTGACCGTCGCCTCCGTACGCTAGGTTGCCTCCTGCGGCCAGCTTGTCGCACGCCTGTCTGCTTGCCCGGCCCAAGGATAGCTGACTTGCGGGCGGGCTTTCTGCCTGGCCCAGCCTTGCCCACTGCTGCTCGACTACGGCTGGACGGCCGAATTTTCATGCTCTCAGGGACAGGCTGTGTCGCATTCTTCGGTCGGCCTCGGAGACATGCTGCGATCTTAGGGTCGAGAATTCGGCGGTAGGGATTGTGCGAGGTTGGCTCCCTAAGGTGCCAACGAGGGTGAACGTCCCATTTCGTCAAGGGTATGCCCGCTTCTAATTTGTTGTAGATTGTATGGCAGCAAGGAATCCCTAGCTGCCACGAGACGGAACAATCCTCGTTGCAATCCCCGATCGGCTCTGGCCAAGGACGTGACCTGCTTGGTATCGATCTCAAAGCTTGCCGATGCTCTTTGGCAATGAGCTTGAGCCCCGGCTCAGACATCACTGTGCGAAGCTCTCCTAGATACTCCGAGCCGGGACCGGAGTATGTGCGGGAGGTCAAAACCTCATCCTGCGAGCAGTTATCGATGAAGTCTCGTTCTTGGTCGCCTAGCATGGCCTCGATTGCCTCCACAAGCGAGTACAAATGGCTCATCCCATTGAGCAGGTAACTCTTGACATTATTGTTGCTGGCCTCGGTGCCAGAGGTCACACGAACCCCGAAATTGCGGTACTTCTTGATGAAGCATTGTGCCCATTGCGCTCGTATGGGCAAGTATGTCTTGTAAAGGTACATAAGGATGGCCTGCTGGTCGTTAAACTCGCCACATAGACGCACCCAAGCCTTTTCATGCTCTTCTTTTGTCTCTGCAAATGCCACGAACTTCCACAGTTCGAGGACACCACGGTAGTTGTGGGGCACAGGCGCAGTAACGTTGCTCTGGTTCAGTGAGCTCTCTTGTCTCTCTAGGGCGAGCACAGCTTCCATATCCCCCGAAGACAGCCTTGCGTTCGGGTTACCATCTCCGTCGCTTTCTGGATCTTCATTTCTGCTCTTCCATTTCCGTTTGGCATTAAGGAGAACATTTGCGTTGATATGTTGAACACATATTGTTGCTGACTCTCGGGATACTGGCTTTCTAGTGCTGCCTTCATCTGTTGGTCGTAGTCGGTAACAACAACATTGGGTAGCGGGATCATATGCCTGTCATTTAGTTCTCTAACCGCCTCCGCGAGGAATTGGAACCCTTCGCGTCTCTCGTTATCGATCAAACCGAATGCGGCGTTGTAGACAGATTTCAGGCAAGTCTGCCCCGTGACCTGGAAGAGCGGTAGTTTGAAGCGGTTTGTATTGTATGTGTTGTCGAAGCTCAATGTCCCCGGAAAGCGCTTCCACATTCGGAGACAATATGGGAATGTCCATAGCAGACCAACAAGGCGATCAGGCTCCGTCGCCGACCACTTGACGATATATGGGATGCCCTCTCGTCAAACAACTTAATCAAGGCGGCTGTCGGACCTAATCCGCCTAGCTTTTCGCGACGCAAGAGTGCCCGAGCGTTATATATGTCCCGTCTTGTGTAGTGCGTTCCGCGATGCTTTTCTTGAACGATGCCACGGACATCGCGCGCCCTGATCCCGACTCGTCGGCTCGTCGCTTCAACTGTTGCCTTGACAGAGTCAGTAAGTCTTCGATGGACTGGATGTGCCGAGAGACTCATAGAACGGTCGTGGTTGTGTTGGCTGTGCTGAAGGTCGGCAAACGCCCGCAGAGTCCACATGTAGTCATTTCGTTCCAGGGCCTCCGCAATGACCTTCCACTTACATCCACACTTGCGCGATCGTCTTTGGCGGAGATCTGCGCCTCTTGGCATACGAGGCTCGCCGTACCGGTCGCACTGAAACACATATCTCGTCTTCCTGGCTTGGTTGCCGGAGCCATTGCGTCTGATAACACCAAATTCATTCTCCTTCGCGAATTCGTTGACATGGAATTGAAGAGCATCGACCGATACCGCGGCAGGGCCAGGGATTGGCGGGTTGGGGATAGGAATCGAGGCATCTCGACTGGTAGACGCTGTATCTGACAGGCCGTCCCAGTCCTCGTACTCGTAATCCTCTTGTTCCTGGCTTGGCGGCGGCGAGGTGACGTTGGTAAGACCGGCGGTGATGATGAGTCTAGGGCTCCTGGAGCAACTCGGAGCGCAGCAGGTGCCGGGCAATGCTGAGCCAATTCGCGAGCTAGTAAATTGTCGAACTTGGCTTGCTCTTGGGCAAAATCTAGGGCAGACCGAAAACGGACCGTGCTTCTCGTACGTTGCTCGGTATCCCCTGAAGTTGCTTGTTCCCGAAGGCGCTCTCTCTCAAGTCTGTCGGGGCCCGGAACCACAGGGGTGAATAACCGCTGCATGCCACCGCCGCGGAAGCAGTCGTCCAGAAAGATTCGCGACTGCCGCAATTCCCAATAGGGCTCATCGACTCCGCGATTACCATGCGGTTTAGGAAGGCTGCTGAAATAGCTCTCCGGCCATGTCGCAAATAGGTTGTATAGGGCGTTGTCGTCGCCATGGCCGTAGTGAAGCTCGGGGTCAAACAAAGGTGGGGTGAGGGTGCCGCGATTGTCATGTCGCTGCTACTATGGTCGCTGAAACGAGCTGCCTGCTAGAGAAGAGTCTTTACTGTACTGGCGACGGTAAATTTAATGGCCACGATACAAACGGCGATGCCGTTAGAATGCCGCCGTGTTTTAGCCATTCATATATTACAGATGGCTGGGAGAAGACACAGGAACGACAACCAGCCATCTGTTGGAAGGGGCAAGACGCATGGCAGTGACAATGGAATGCTCAACTACCCGATTTGGAGGGTCAGCCGCACGGCCCCCCGGAAGACGGCCCCCCGTAGTAAAGTGGTTCGGCCCGCATATCAATTGCCCAAACCAAAGGGCTCGCTGCCGCGATGGCGGCGTCCCAAGCGAGAGCTGATCCTCAGGGTGAAGATGGGCAAATATTGCAGCTCTGTGAATGGCATGCCGCAGAGAACTTCAAGAAGCGATTGTTAGACTCGGGCAAATATACGAAGAAACGAAGGGAAGAGCTCCTTCGGTTCGTTTGGGATTACATACAAGCTCCCGACGAGGCGCGACTTGAAGAACGGCGAGGCGAGCTGCTCGCAGAAATTCGGGAGCCGGAACGCCTTTATCCCAAGAATAATTGGCAACCGAAAGAGCGCCAATTTGTCCGAGCACACACACGACAGTACCCGAACCTCGGATGTAACAGCACACAGAGAAACGAAAGCTACCATGTCGTGGTCAAACAGTCTCTCAACAGGCAGCTTCCCCTGCAGGCATCTTGTCAAAAACTGGCCGAAAGCTTGAAGAAATTGACTCAAAAAATCACCGAAGACGAGGATCGGAGCAGGGCGGACGTCCCAAGGCTGTTGGACCGAGCTGCTTTTCGCCTTCTTATCGGGAAGGTTCCACACTATGTCCTGAGCAAACTAGCTCCGGAGTGGGAGGCAGCAAAGGCCCTAAGGTGGGGGCAAAACACCGAGATCGAGAAGGAGCGCGAGGCATTGGGCGCTCTGAACGAGCCCGGATGTCCTTCTGCGTGTGAGTTTCCACTCAGATATGGCCTGCCCTGTCGACACTGGCTGTACGAGGCTGTTGTTAGGTCCTGCGCTATCCCACTCAATCTTCTTCATCCACGCTGGTTGATCGACGGTCCTGACGTGGTACGCGGCTGGACCATGTCTTATGAAAAGCAGGCAGCTCCTGAAGAAGCAGAAAACCCAGGGACCGTTACCAAGATGGCGGTAGGAACATGGTTCTTCAATCGGGATTAGAGGTCGTTCAAGTACAGGGGAGCCTCGGCGGACAGCAGGCAGAGGAGTTCTCGAGACTCTTCCGCTTACAGAATGACCGTCTAATAGCAGGTTTCTGGGCGCAGGTACAGTCAAGAGCTCTCCTACCCCGGAATTGCCTGAAGCACTGCATCAGCCTGGCTTGAAGAGGTTCAAATCCCACGGTGGCACGAAAAGACGATTCATGACCGGCTGTGAGGCCGCAGAGCATGCTGCCGCTCGAGCGGACCGCGCCACTTCGGATTTGCCGAAGGGAGTTGGCCAGCTTCCTGACCATTCGACGACTCCGTCCTCTCCTTTGGCAACTTCGCCACAACCTCTTCAGGAAACGGGACGTCGAAAACGGAGTACGAAGGCTATAGAGAAGGCGGCAGCTGCTACTGGAAGTCTTCAGATAGAGTGGGAAGGGTGAGAAACCGGATATGCCTAAGCCGCAGTGCAAGAAGCGGAAGGCTTCCAAGGAGGACGAAACGCAGTTGGAACTGCAGCAGCGGCCTATCCAGGATTGTATACTAGTGGATTTCCCTTCAGACTGAAAAATGGCACTTCTTTCCCGTTCGGGCTGTAGCCAAGGCGCGATGGCTTTGGATCCTTGCTTAGCGCAACAATCCCTGCAATCTGACTGTCCGAACCTGACTGTCCGGAGCCATCCCGATGCACGCATCCATATAACTGTGACATCCTTACGGTCTGAGCTTGACCAGACCCGACACTTCAGGCGGATTAATCCATTGGTGGAGGCGCCAAGCCTTGCCAACGTTTAGTGCCAATTGCATCGATCTCCTCCCACGCCCTCGCATCCGTCGACACTCTTGCCTCAGGCTCAGGTATAGGACCGGTGCTGGTCAGTCGACCCAACCTGTTCGAGATACGCCTCCTTCTTTCTGTTGATGACTGGAGCCGCTGCCCTGCACTCCTCGAGCACGTCCTGCATGCTGCGCCGCTGCACGCGCTTGCCACACCGTCTTACAGGTGCTCTGCATGAAAAGGCGGTCCATGTCTTCGAGGGTAAGGCCTGCGAGTTGGTCAGCGTCGTTCACCGCGGCAACTCCTCGCTGTACGTGCCCTTGGTCTCGGGGATGAAGAAGAGCGCCCAGAAGCCCATGGCAACCATGAGTGCGCCGAAGAACATGTACGTCCCGTAACCCAGCGAGGTGATCATGTATGGCGTGGTGCGGGAGATGAGGAAGCTCCAGAACCACTGGTCGGCCGTCGTAATGGCTGTGCAGAGCATCCTGACGTCTGCAAGGGTTAGTCACTAGGCCCCCGATGGCAGTCTCAGGAGCATTAGAGCTTGCTTACCGATGGGAAAGATTTCAGAACAGTACACCCAGGTGATGCCCTGCCACGTTGCGCAGTAGATGAGGCCATAGAGATACACGCACACTGCTTCGTCAGCGCAGATCACACAGACGTGAGTATTTCGGGCGGCCTACCCATGGCTAGGTAACCCCATCCGTCCCTGTTGATGTCCCTTGACTGCTGCCGCGGCAGGGTCGGCCATCATGACGTATCCGCCAATGTACCACATGGGGACGGAGCCGATAAAGGCCCCCCAGATGAGGCCGTTTCTGCGGCCGACCTTTTCCACGAGCCACACTGAGAATACAAACATGCCAAGCGTCTTGGCGATGCCGTAGAAGCCTGTAGCGAAGAGCTTGGTGGTGGTCCCCGTGAGGCCAAGTGTCTCGAAGATGCGAGGTGAATCTGCCAAGTCAGCCTAGCGTACAGTAACAGCCAACACAGACGGTGATCGGGAGCGTACAGTAGGTGATAATGTTGACGCCGGTGAGGTTCTGGCATGCCATGAGCAACATGCCGATGGATATGCGGTTGCGCACCCCCTTTTGGAAGGGGCGCTTGAACATCTCGCGGAATGTCATGCGGTTCGCCGTGCGCTCCTCGACCTGCTGGCGGATCTCGGAGAGCTCGTCTCGGATGTATTGGTGGTCGGCGGGCAGGGCGCGGAGGTTGACGAGCACTTTCTGCCTCTTCCCAACGGTCGTGGCTCGCCAGCCATCGCGGCGATTCGGGGCATTTCAGCATGCCCAGGCAAAGGAGGGCACCGGGGACGAGCTGCATGCCAAGGGGAACGATCCACTGGGCGGCCTTGGACGAGGAGATGGTTCGGTCACAGGCGTAGTTGATCTTTGTCGAATCAGAATCACCACTGCTGCTCTGTGCTTTGCTTTCCTGCATCTTACCCAGAATCCCAGCATGCCACCTCCCTGAGACGCAATCTGTCGGCCTAGGTATCAGTATCCGAGTATGCCGGGTCTGGCACACGTCAGTCCTACCTCGAAGACGCCAATCAGCCTGCCACGGATTGATGGAGGCGCCGTCTCCGCAATATATACGGGCGCAATCAGCGACGATGCCCCGATGCCAAGACCGGCAACGGCACGTCCGACAATGAGCATGGCGAGCAGGCCGTGTGCCGCTGTCATGAGCACACCGCCGGCGATGAAGACGGTCGCGGCGACAAAGATGGCATTTCTTCGACCAATTTTCTCGGCGAGTGGGAAGGTCAGCAGCGAGCCGAAGAAGCACCCGGCTTGGAACGTGGACACGATGTTGCCTTGCAGAGTGTCGCGATACGTGCCCGACGCTGAGAGGAGACCAAAGTCGCGGCGGAACGAGTCTAGAGCCATCGTGCCCCCGATAACAGACGTGTCGTAGCCCACTAATGGTTTGTACGCGCGAAATGGTTAGCAACACTCTTCAGGCGCGCGAAGTCTTAGGCGAATTACTGGTGATGGCAGACATGGAGGCAACGATGGCCACCAAGTGGATGCGCCAGTTGCGCACACTCTTGGGGTCGTTGGTCCCGTCGGCGTGGAGGTCGAAGCCCATGCTCGCCTGATACCTTATGGGCTTGCGAGTCGAAGTGGGAGAGGTACTAATCTGAGACCTGCTACAGAAACAGAGTCTGTGGGCGAGAGTCAGTGGGCAAGTCTCGGTGGCGATGGATGACAGGTAGTGCAACCTCGTGGAGATGTAAAGTGGTGTATGCCTCTGAGTCGGTGTCGGGTCGGCAGAAGGAGGCGTTGACGACGTTCTTCTGGTCGTTGTGCAATCCGCTGGTGTGGGTAAGATGGACGGGCAAGCTCAAGACCCGGCGACCTTGGACGACAACCACGTCACGGCACACTCTGATAATCCTTCACGTCGACTCACTCTACGTTTGCGGTACATCCGAAGAACGACCTGAACCCACTTTGCTTCGTAAAGGCCACCCAATTCGTCGTCCGTCGCACCTCCCGCGTGGCTTCAACGCGGGGAAGTGGAGAAGCCCGGAGGGGGTTGGCGATCGTCTCCCGCGGTCGCGCCGACTTTCGACCCATTATCCTCCAGTTAGATCTTTTTTCTGTAGCAATGGCTGGGCTCACACTGCTGCTGGCTGCCCTACTGCTTCTGCCCATGGCGTTTGCCGTTGAAACTGGCGTGCGTCTGCTCAGCAACTATTTGGCTGCGCGCACCATCGGCGTACCGCTGCGCGTCGTTCCTATAAGCCCTCTAAACCCGTTTTGGGTCCTTTTCGACAGACGCGTCGTCTCCTTCTTGCGCCGTCTGCCATTTGGCGATAGCAGCTTCACCAGATATAATTGGTGAGGATGGGAGGTTGAAGACCGATATCGCTCTCACCATGAGATGGGCGATGTTTGGTTCCTCGTCACGCCGCTCAAGAATTGGGTCTACGTCAATGACCTGGACACGCTCATGTCCATCTTCAAGCGCTCAGCCGACTTTCCCGACCAGTCTTCGTCAACGGTATGTTGTCAGACAGCTTGCTGCTCATTCTGGTGCTTCGGACCTAGGGATACGAGCCCCGTGTCGTCTGTACCGCAGTCATTTGCATCCCGTCCACATCCCACCCCAGAAAGTCATGAGGCTACGCCTGCCACGTCCGAGGCCAGAGCAGACGAGACAGATGCTTCACAATGCGAATTTGACATTGATTGGGAGAACATCTGGCACGGCGGCAAACGACTTTGGGTGCCAAATGAGACCTCGTCACAAAGGGTCGTCGGCACAAAGATCAAAGAGTCGTGGATCTACAGATACGGCGCGAACTTGGAGCATAGCGGAGTACGTTACTGGCTTTGCAGAATCTGTCACGGGAAGAAGAACTATTCGACAGCGTTATACGCCTCCTCAGGGACGTCTCACGCCGCGAAGCACCTGCGTCGTCAGCACCAAATCACGGAATTCGGCGAGAGTCGTCCCGGATTGAAGACTCCGTTTACCTTGGCGGCTACGTCACCATCCTCTTCGTCCCTACCTTTATCTCGACAGGCCAGCCTAGCTACCAGCTCGCCTCCCATTTCGACGAGAGGACATGGAAAGCTCGCTTTGTGGACTGGGTCATAGTGGAAGATGTCACCTTTCGACAAGCATCCAGCGAGCGGCTTGGGTGGCTCGTATCGAATGGAGGAGAGCTTGCAAGTCGGCTACTTCCGGAGCATCACACCTTTGAACGGCGACAGCAAATTGTCTTTGATCTCGTCAAGAACGCGAAGAGCTCGGTTCACACCAGCTTTGATCTATGGACTGCCTCAAATGCGTTTAACTACGTCGGAATTGTCGGACATTTTGTTGGCAGTGAAGGCAAAAAACGCGATGCCCTTCTTGGACTTCCGCGCTTAGTCGGTCCACACTCCGGTGAGAATATCGCCGCCTATCTCAAGGAGGTAATCGATCGATACGAGTTGGGGTCCAAGCTTGGATACTTCATGCTTGATAACGCCAAGAGCAACGATACCTGCCTAGAGACGCTTGCTAGGTGGTTTCCAATGGATGTCAGCCGACGCCGCCTACGCTGTATAGGCCACGTTATCAACCTGGTTGTCCGAGCAGTTATTTTTGGCTCCAACGTCAGTAAATTCGAGGCTGAGCTTCGTGGAGCTACAGATGAGTTCAAGTTCGACATTTGGGCAAAGAAAGGAGCTATCGGCAGACTCCACAACATTGCCACCTACATTACAGATCAGGGGTCTTCGGCATTTGCAGACCGAGCTCGCTGGTGACGATCCTATTTTTACCCTGGAGATTGTTGTTGACGGCAAGACTCGCAGGAACTCTATATACATGATGATCAAACGCGGTACGTTTCTCGTCCGAGGTTGCTTCCGTATTCTGAGTACTGACAACTTGTCGGCTTACACCAGCACTCGAACTGCGCTGCGCCATCGAGCTCTATCAATCTCGCTGGCAAAAGCCTAAGAATGACCCTGATCACCGTGACCTAACTAACGACTTCCTCAATGCTGGGGACTGGGTTGAATTAGAGCGTTTCTACGAGTTCCTGAAGCCGTTTTATATCCTGACGAAGACTATAGAGGGCAACGCCAGTAAGCCGGGGGCGGAGGGCGGCCATGGAGCTGTGTGGGAGACACTTAAAACCATGGACTACCTGTTCATGAAATTCAAGCAGGCCGCGGAGGATACTCAGTTCCAGGAGGCCTCCCATTTTAAGTCGGGAATTGACTGTGGATGGGCGAAGCTTGAAGACTATTACGTCAAAACCGATAGGACACCTGTTTATCGGGCAGCTCTAGCACTGCACCCGTCGTATGGGTACGACTACTTCGAACGACACTGGAAGAAGGCGATGAACAAGCCGCAATGGTATAGCGACATGCAGTCGGCTGTTGGTAGCCTATTCGATGAATACCGGAGGCAGACTGAAGTTGAAACTCAGGCTCAAGCTGGGTTTTTGGAAGACGAATCCGAGGAAGTCGACGCTGACAATGACTACAGCTCGTTTGGAAAGAGATAGATTAGCTCGTTAAACACACAGCGGAAGAAGGTCAAGGCAGTGAGTGAGCTTGACTTATTCCAGACCAGGCCAATTTACGCCCAAGATCTTGACGTTGCAAACCCTCTTGAATGGTGGAGCCGGCATCAACTGGAATACCCAGTCTTGTATCGAATGGCGCTAGATCTGTTCTCAATTCCTGGCATGAGTGCTGAATGTGAGAGAGTGTTTAGCCAGACAAAGAAGATGATCACAGACGAGCGCATTCAGCTACCGGTATACGATGTTCACCCTTCGGGCTGGATATTCAGCTGTTAAGGCCCATGCATTGGCAACTTAACGGGTGTTCGAAGTATTTTATTCCCACACTCAGCAAGAGACTTGTCCATGTGTGTAGGCATCAACAGGCTACAGTAATACTGACGTAGTAGCGGCAGAGGTGTCCTGGACCGGCTGTAAAGGAGTGACTTGTTCGTATCTGTAGCTGCACGAAGCAGTAAAAGGATAGGCTTGAAAGCCGACAAAAATCATAACATGAAAGCCCCCGGATTTGACCCCAAGCATAAGCATCGAGACGTTGCCATGGCAAACTCAGGCCACGCACAAAGCTAGCCTTCGTAATATATCTCTAGTACCTAGAAGATGCGGCTGCACTTCTGGCCCTGGGCGGCATTGCTTTAGTGGTGGCGGTGGCCGTGTCCATGGTGCCCGTGACGATGTCCGTGATGGTGTCCGTGGTGTCCATGATGGTGACCGTGGTGTCCATGGTGGTGATGGTGGTGTCCGTGATGGTGTCCGTGATGTCCGTGATGTCCGTGATGTCCGTGGTGTCCGTGGTGTCCGTGGTGGCGGTGGTGGCGGTGGCGACCTCTTCCATCACGGGCAACGAGGTCTGCTTCGGCGTCGTCACGGGCAAAGAGGGCTTCTTCGGGCTCGTCACGGGCAAAGAGGGCTCCTTCGGGCTCGTCGCGGGTAAAGAGCTCTGCCCCGTGGCTCATGTCGAGGTCTCTGGCCTCGAGCTCGACATTCTCGAGGCTGGGCACCGGATTGGCGACGACTGAGCCCAGAGTGAAGAGGGCGGCGAGGAGGAAATGGTTGAGAATCATGATGGCGGGGCGAGTGTTACTTGAAGTGAAGCAAATGGGTCTCTCTGGATAGTTGACAGAAGAGTGTGCTGACCGATGCTGATGCCTGGATTCAAGATATTTTCGTAGGGCCATGAGCTGGGTTATATATAAAGTCCAGGCCGCTCGGGGCTAAGTCGAAGGCCACAAGGCCGCGGACAGCTCAGAATGCGAGATCGGAAACTGGGCGACAAGTATTCAGCCTCGAGGCCTGCTGGGGTCTCCATCCACTGACTTGGTGTGTAATCCCAGCACCCGCATGGCTCGTTCCAACGCCAAGTTTGCGGCCCAGGCCCTGCGTGGGCTTGTAAAGGAGACTCTAGATCAAAGACTTGCGGCTGACGGACCGACAAGTCGAGACGCCGCCGGCGAAAGGCCCTGGGCTATTGGCGAGTTTGACTTGTCGAGATGGCGGGAAAGCGATATTCAGCTGGGTCTAGAGCCTTTCTTGGCTGCATGAGAGGAGCCCAAATAAAGCTGCGCGCCCGGCCTAATCGCGCGATTTTTATTAGGTAGCTGCTCCCGAGCACCCATAGCATGAGTGACCATGTCAACGTCAACGACACGGTACAGCGGGTACAGCGGCACTACCATCCGACAAAACTGAACTGCAATCACCCTAATCAGTCGTCGGCGACTCCGGCGTTGGATTTGCTGAAATGTGTCTGCTATGAAGTGACCAGGCAGAAGCTTCTACAACCGGGAACCTCCTGGAAAGAACATGTATTGTTGTCGGAGTCTACATATACTATGGTACCAGTCGCCTCTAGCGGAGGTGGCTTCCACTTTTGGTGATTTGGTACGACATGTATTTACCTTTACCGATCTTCTCACGAATTGCCGGTCAATAATATAGTAGTATAACAAGCCTCAACAAGTATAAGATGTTTCGAACTTTATCAACCTTGGATTTATCGGAAGTCTCAGGCTCAAAGATGCATGGCGAGAATAGCCTGGCTTGGAAAGCCGCTACCCGTGCCACGCCCCACTTTACAGGAACTCGCAAGCTCGCACCACCACCGTGGGGCTTAAGGTGTTACGCATTAATGTATTGAAATGTCAGTAGCTTTTACGTCTAGGCCCTATAGGAGAAATCCTCCGGGTGAAATACATACATACATACATACACCTTTAAAGTGCGGCGTGGCACGGGTTCTAGGTACTACTTCGTACTGCTACTATCATAAGAATCGCTGGGGTCCATGCACGGCATGTAAAAGCATAAAACACTGCACTAGGTATAACTTGGTGTGCATTCGTTCCTTTTTTTTGTTCCCGGTACAATTCTCGTCTATTAATTGACCTCTTAGTGTTACGTTTCTCTTAATCCTCCCTGATGTGACGTCAATGACACGTGTGTGTGTGTGTGTTTGTATTTTTCGTCCAGCGACATTCAGGTCGCTCAGAACCAATTACTTGTCAAAATGTGTATGTCCATGTTAACGGGTAGTTACATGGTCAACAGAATATGTGCCCAAGAACGCAGTGCCTTGAGGAACGTTAGTGACGAAAAGGTTCTTCTGGTTCCTCCCCGGGGAGAAAGAAAAAAAAAACGCCGCCATCAATTTCCCCCCCCCTAAATGCCGCCCTCTGATTCGTCGGCTGCCGTCCTCTAATTCGTCGGCTTGCTCTCTTCAGATTGGTTTAAAAATACAACCTCACCGCTCTCGTCGCCGCCCCTTTTTGCCCTCTTTCCTTGAAGCCCGTCTTCTTTCCTGGCCCTTTCTTTCAAGCTCGCCCCGGAATACGCCCTTTTCCTCTTTGCCCCCCTCCTGGCCCTTGACCTGTGCTCCTTTTACGTCGGTAGCTACGGCAAGCCCGCTAGCCTAGAGCCGGCTGGCCTGTGAAGTCTAAATCTCCGCCTTTGCGGTCCGTCTATATTAGACACGCACCCGTCGATGTCCATTAACTACCTTGAGATTGTTGCTCGTATTTCTATCTATCTACGTTGCGCCTTCCCATACTTTTTGCTTTCTCCGCCCCCTGATTGTGTGCTAGGGTAGTCGTCCCAAGGGCAGGATCTCCTCCGCTGCGAGCGAGACGCCTACGCCGCCCGCGTTACCCGCGGAGCCAGTCGGCCGCCTCCTGCGTCGTCTGCCTGCTAAGCTCCTCTAGCCGGGCCTGCGCTGCCGTCATCTCCTCGGGCACCCGGTTCCCGACTAGATCCCGCTCCCGCACCTCCGATACGAGCATGATGCCGTCGAGCGTCGGGCACCGCGACAGCTGCACGTACAGGCTGTACGGGTCGCACGGCGACGGCACCGCCCTCCCCTCGACCGTCGTCATCCTCGCCCCGCAGCTCCAGCGCCACGCGCTCCAGCGTCCCGCCCTGCACCTTGTAGTCGGTGCAGGCGAAGGCCGCCGCGCACGGCAGGCCCCTCCGGCTGACGTCGTTGCGCTGCCACGGCCGCTTCCGCTGCGCCGTGATCTTGACGCTGATGGGCGTCAGCAGGATCGTCCCGGCCGGCATCCCGACGAAGTGGAAGTCCCTCGTCGTCTCCGAAGCCAGCACGATGCCCGCCGGCGGCCCGAAGTGCATCGTCAGCTCGGCCGAGACCCGGTGGCCGGGGAAGGCCCGGTCGGGGATGACGTCTACCGCCGTGTAGCCGGCCCCGTTCACTAGCTTCAGCCCCTGGTGCGTGTTCTGGTTCACGACGACCGGCATGCCCGGCACGAAAACGAAGACGGCCGGCACCGGCGTCGCGCTGTCGTCGCCCTGGCACAGCATTAACACCGCCTCCTCCTCCGTCGGCAGGCCCTCCCTCCACTTGTGCTCGGACAGGAATATGCGCGCCGCCGTCCGCCGCCGCGCCCGGAACGCGAGCGCCGCCTCTAGGTTGAGGTTCCAGCGGTTGCGGTTGAGAGGCGTGACCACCGTCAGGCCCGTCTCCCACGGGATCCGCCTGCCCGGCCGGTGGCACCTCGAGTTGAGCAGCTCTAGGTCCGACCGGTCCTGCTCCCCCCGGCGGATGCGCCCGAGCAGTCGCCGCAGCTCCGGGTCGCCGGCGGCCCGCATCTGCTCGTCCAGCATGACGACCGTCGTGAACCGCCGCCACAGCGCGTGCGCCTTGTCGTGCTGCCGCCGCTGCTCGGCCGCGAACGCCCCGTCCTCGTCCCACGCCACCGCCGCGCTCGGCAGCAGGATCGACCGCTCCTGCACCGGCCGGAACTGGTGGAAGTCGCCGCAGAAGATCACCACCGGGATGCCGCCGAAGTCTCGCGCCGACCCCCGCAGCCTGCACAGCTGCTCGTTGGCGGCGTGCAGCGTCCGCGCCCCGAGCATGCTGACCTCGTCGATCACCAGCACCTCCTTCTCCTGCCAGTCCATCCGCGACCGGCCGTCGACGAAGCGCTCGCCCTGGCCCGGCAGCCGTACGCCGTCTACGTCCTCGTCGCCCTCCCGCCCGGCCGCCCTGGCCGACCGTAAGGCCGCAGGCCGAGTGTAGTGTGATGCCGTTGATCCGTGCTGCCGCCGTGCCCGACGTCGCCGTCACCAGCAGCCGGCTCGATAGGTCCTCCGGGCGAGCAGCTCGACGAGCGCCTCGATGACGCGCGACTTGCCGGTGCCGCCCTCGCCGCCGATGAACAGGCAGAGCTGGCCGCCGCCATCGCCGCCTGCGTCGTCGCCCTGCCGGATTCGGTCGAGCTGCCGGCATACGATTAGGAGAGCGATGGCCTGCTTCTCGTTGAGCGTTAGCTGCCCGCCAGCTCCTGCCGGCGGCGACGAACGAGCTCGACGGGCCGAGCCGCACGCGCATCACCGCCGCCGTGCCAGCGTCTACGTCGCCGTCGGCCGCCGTTACGTCCATGTCGTCCTCGCCGAAGCCCCCCATCACCCCGCGAAGAGCCGCGCCGCGGTCGGCCCCGACGCCCGCCGCCGCCCCGCCGCCCTGGATGCCCTGGATGGCTCGCTCCCGCTCCCGCGCCGCGCTCCTCTGCTGCGACTTGATGGCCCGCACCTCTTCTTGCCGTGGCAGCGCCGCCCCCGAGAGCTCCGAGCCCGGTAGGTTCACCCGCCTGCCTGCCCTCTCCGCCACTACCGTCGCCGCGAGCTCGGCCTCCGACCCCAGCGCCGACTGCTGGAACCGGCAGAGCTGCTGCGTCATCGCTAGCAGCTCTGTTGACTGCGCCGTGACTTGTCCCGCGCCGGCGGCATTCCGGACGACGTCGATGAGCCGGGCCGCGTCGCCCGCCCCGCCGGCGCGGTACGCCTCCTCGCCCCCTCGGCCGCCCTCCCTTCGTCGCCGGCCTGCGGCGCCGTCATACCGCCCTCCTCGGCCGTGGCGGCCCACTGCTTGGCGTCGCGCTTCGCGTCCTCCGCCGACCGCCGGAGGAGCTGCACGTTGTCTGCGAGCCGCGCGACCTCGGCGCCAGCGACTCCCGCGCCCGCGCCCAGATGTCGTTGATGTCGCCTGCCTCCTCGCCGAGGAAGGACTCCCACGGCACGAATAGGGCCAGGTGCTGTACCGCCGCCCTAGGCGCTGTTAGCCGATGCCCCTAGCCGCGCTGCCTTCCCCTTGGGCGCTCCCCGTCTTATGGTGCGCACCTTCGGTGGCACGACTCGTCGTCTCCCTCGCTAAACTCCTTGCTGAGGTATCCGTCGAGGCATACGGTCGCCCCGCTACCCGGCCGCCTAAGCGCCTGCACCCAGCCCTTCCCCGACGCCCAGCTCTCCGCGAAGGGTACCTCGCCCCAGCCCGTCCCACCGTCGGCGCCGCGGCCGTTTCGCTTTAGCCTTACGAGCGATGCGTAGTCATAAAGGCAGAGGCCCCGTAGGAGCTCGCCCCTGTGCCGGTAGGCCTCGACGAGGGGGATCCTCGGCCCGGCCTCCTCGACGACGACCGTCTCGTCCGGCGCGTCGCCCGTCGCCTCCGCGCCGCTCGCCCGTCGGAGGTGCCGCCACCGGCGGAAGACGGCCCAGTAGAGCTGGTTCGCGTTCACGTACGCCCACGCCGAGCCGCTGCTAAATTCTGCCGGGTACCCTAGGAGGTGCGCGATCACCTCGACCTGCGACAGCGGCCGCTCCGTAAATACTCGGTTCGCCGCCTTGAGCAGGAACGTTCTCGTCTTGTTCCCCCCTATGGGGTCCGCCGCCGTCGCCACCCCTTCGGCCCCGCCCCCTCGGCCGGCGTCGCGGTCGGCGCCACTTCCGTTGCCCTCTCCCGTCGGCTCTAGCGCGGGAAGGAACTCGGCCGCGGCGGCCACACGCTTCCACACGGGGTCCTCTACCTTCGTCGCATAGTTGGTAATGTAGTAGATTAGGGCCATGGTCTTGCGCTGCGTCGCGATGAACGAGATGTCGTGGTTGTGCCGTAGTCCTACTGCCATCGCCCGGTTCCACCGGTTCACCATGCTATGCGTCCGCCGGATCTCGAGCACCCCGTCCGCCGTCAGCGCCGTCCTCCACCAGCCTCCACGGCGCCTTGAACCGGCAGAGGTCCCCCTTCCGCGCCCTCGCGCCGAGCGAGTATTTTACGCAGGTCGCGCTATGCGTGTGGATCTGCGTCGCGCCGGCGCAGAAGTTGGCCTCCTCGTCGAAGGTGTCCGTGAAGCGCGCGACGTCGTCGAGCCGCGACGATATGTCCGCCGTGGCCGACCGCTCCGCCTGCACGGCGCAGTAACCTTCTGCGTCTAGCTCCTATAGCCTCGGGTCAGCTCGGGGCCCTTCGGCCTGCTACGGATGGGGGCTTAGGGGGGGTTATCATCTTAAGGCGGCCGCCTTACCTCGGAGAAGACGCTATCTACGTAGCGGACGATGCGCTCCCGGTACGCCGCCTGCTTCTCCGTATCGGGGCCGGCGAGCGCCTCGCCAAGGCCCGCGTTGCCCCTTAGCCAGAGGAGCCCGTGGATGTGGAGAGCGCCTCGCTCGTTGGTCTCGACCGCCCGTAGTACGCGCCGACGTGCCCGAACACCGACTCCTCCCCGACGTTGACGTAGTGCTCGAAGAAGAGCGTCATCTCCCGGTGGAAGAAGACGGCCGAGCTCATCGGGTCCGATATGGCCAGCTGGGTCCGCTTATACGCGGTCCCTAGGTCTCGTAGGAAGGCCTCGGCCTCGTCCGGTCGCGGCCGCGGTGTGCCGCTAGCCGCAACTTTACCAGGTTTGTAATGTCGTTCGGGTTCAGCGTGAACCAGATGGCCGGCACCCGTGCCTTATGATGAGGATAGTATCTTCTTCCGCATACTAAGGCGGCTCTCCCTCGACATCGGCTGCCGGTAGCCGAACACGGAGAGGGACCGGATGAGCTCCTTTACCCCGTCGTCGCTAGTCTTGCCCGTGGCCTCGAGCTCGACCTCGCCGCCTCGAGCCTCTGCGCCGTTAACGACTTTAACAGGCCCTCGACCCTTGCGAAGTTCTTCCTCGTGACGCATAGCATGCTGGCCTGGCGGTTCCTAGACCGTACGCCCATGTTAAAGACGAGGAAGGCGAAGATAGGGTGCGTCGCGAACCGGCCGCCGTGGCGCCGCAGCACGACGTCGGCCCATGCTTGGAGCTTCATGTTCCGCGTCGACATAAGGCCCTCCGCGACCCGCTCCGCCTGCGTGCCCTGGTTCCCGACGCTAGGGCCCGCGCTCTCCCCAGTGGCGTCCTCGTCGGCGAGCCTCGGCCCGCCTAAGCCAAAGGGGAACAGGGTCGGAAAGGCCTTTGCGAAGAAGGAGGCGTCCGCCGAGTCGGCGAAATCCTCGCCGCGCCGCACCTGTATGTGCGGCTCGACGTCGCCGCCATCGCCCTCCGCCTCTCGGGCCGCAGTCCCTACCCACGTCCTCGGGCCGGCGCGCGCTCCCTCGGGCCCGACGGCACCGCGGGCGAAGCGAATCTTCTCAGCATCGGCCACCTCTGGCGCCCCGTCCAACGGGAACATGCCGGAAGACGTCACCTCGTTGATTACGTCCCCGTCCTCTTCGGGCCTAGCGCCGTCCCCGTCGTCGTCCTCGCACGTGAGCCCGACGTCACGGCTCACGCACACCACTGGCGGCACCCGTGCGGCGGCGCCCCAGCTGGCCATCTCCGCCGCGTCGATCTCGACCTCGCCGTAGAGCGGATTGTTCTCCTTGAGCCAGGCTAGCGCCCTCTCCACCGCCGACCGCCTTACCGACAGCAGGCCCGATAGGTCGCGCGGCCCGGGCCTCGGCACCCTGCCACGAGACGTGGATCTCGTCCATGACCCGGAGCAGCGGGTGCGGCAGCACCTTAGCGGCTAGGCCCTGCACGTCGTTTGGGAACACGGTAATGTGGCCCTTGACGTGCCTCGGGTACCTCACGCTCTGCCTCTGACCGCCCGGGATGCTGTACTTCGTCACGAAGCCGTAGCACGAGTTGAGTGAGATGAGCTTCTCCTCGAGCGGCGTGAGGTCCTTCAGCTCGTCGGGGTACGCGTGCTCGCAGCCGAGCCGCCCGTGGAGGTGCATGGCCGGCGACGCCCCCTCGCGCCCGGCCCATCGCGCGCACTCTACGCAGACCGGCACCGGCCTGCCCTCCGGGAAGCAGCTTCGGCATCCGAACCGGGACCGCCCGCCCCCCGCAACGCTGCTCCGCGACCACCCCTCCCACGCCATCTCCCTCAGCTCCCCCTTGGCTCGCTTCCGGTAGCATAGCGTGCAGGTCGCGATCGGCAGCGTGCCTGCGTCGTGGAACGCCCGGTAGAACCTCCGCACCGTCCTCACCTGCCTCTCGCGCGGCACCGGCGCGCACCACGTCTGCTCGTTGGCCAGCCTCTCGCCCGCCTCGAACTCCTCGTCGAGGTGCCGCAGCGCGCTGGCCAGGTCCTCGGCCTGCAGCTCCTTCGTCTCGGCATCTTTTCACCCACCCTGGCGCGTTTCCGCCCGGCCTGCCCACTACTAAGATGGCGTTTCCTCTTCTGCTCGTCTCTCGCCTGGCGTCTTATCGCCGCTCTACCTGCGTCCGGTTAGCTATCACCGTCACACGCCTTCACCTCGCTCTACGACCGTACCTGCCGGTGCGCTATCTCTGCCGCTAACAAGCGGCCCGGCTGCGGGGGGAGTTGTGGCGGGGGCCTCGCCCCTGCTAGCCGGCCGGGACTGGATGGCTCGCGGCACGTGCTGGCTTCCGGCCGAGACTACGGCCGGGCTAGTCCCGCTCGACGGCGGCGAAGGCCCGGCGGCCCTCCATGTCGGCTGGGGCCAGGTATCCTGCGGAGCCCCCTTGCTTCCGGCCGAGGCTGTAGCCAAACCTATCCCGTTCGACGGCAGTGAAGGACCGGCGGCCCTCCATGTCGGCTGGGGCCGAATGTCCCGTGGAGCGTCCGAACTTCTCGTCTGCGGCGGCGAGGGCCCGGCGGTCTCCGCCGTCGGCAGAGACCGGATTTCTCTCGGTGCGCGCTGGCCTTTCCTGAGGCCGAGACGGCGCTGGGCCCGCCCAGCGGCAGCCAGTGCCCGCCGCCCTCGGTGTAGGCGGCAGCCGTTGCCGCCGCACTCGGTGTCGGCTGAGGCTGGATATCCCGCGGCGCGACTCGGCCTGCGCTGATCCTCCATTTCCTAGTCCTGGCGGTCTTCCCGCCTCGCCTCGGAGGCGCCTCCCTTGACGCCTCTTCTTGCTCTCTCCGAGGCGCCGCGACCGAGTGCCGGCGCTGCTGTGATCGGCCGGATCTCTGGTCCTGTGTACGGCGCTGCTCGGGCTTCTGGCGCCGGGCTTGCCCTGTCACCCGCTCCGGACTGGACCCTCCCGTTAGCTGGCTTCATCGCGACACCGGTCTACCGAGGCCCCCGCGGACCTCTTGTCTTCCTCGCTTGCGCTGCCCTCTCCGGCCCCGCCTACTTGCGGTGCTACTGGGCTCCCGGCGTAAATCCTCGTAAGTGTAGTAACGGCGTATAAGTCCTTGCCTCGACCATTCATCCTGCACTTGTCTTGCTGACTGGCACCCCTCCTGTGCGTACAGGATCCTCTAGGAAAGTCTATATATCTTACTCGTAGCTCTCTAGTACGTCTACAGGCGTGCCGCTGCTCTTTACATTATACCGGCGCCGCCTTTCTATCGAGCCCGCCCGCTATTGCCCGCCGCTGAAGGCGGCGGGCTATACGGCCTCGGCCGGTCCTTACATGTAGGTCGCCAAGACAGCTTCTTCTTGCCTGTGCTTTGCATGGTACACTTTTTCCGTCTTGTCATCTAGGTCTTGTCGGTCAAAGCCTCAGTACGCCCCTAGACGCTCGCCTGCTGAATTTTGAACCCATGTCTTACACGTGTTGCGAATAAGTCTGCCTCCTTCTCCTCGAACATAGCTTCGCGCGTCCTGCTTGTCTTAAAACCCTCTACGTCTTACTAGACCGCCTTTCGAAGTTTCCTCTTCTCCTCTTGTCGCATTGTTCTATATACGCATCTTATAGACCTCCTTTATATAGGCTCCTTATCTTAGCCTACCGCTGACGCTACGTTGCTTCTTCGTTTAGGATCCTTTGACTTCTCTTATACACCACGGCCATTAGCCCTTCCCTACTACACTAAACTCTTAAGACGGCATATTGGTAGGGAGCACTCCTGCCCCTATGCCTCGCCGCTTATAGCTTCGCTCCGGCAACGTTGCTCTTCCACTACACGGCCTCGCCATGTCTTCGTCTCCGTCGGCGGACAGCTCTGCCCTGCACCTCCGCAAGCCCCTTGTCACTAGCAAGGGCGCGGGCGGCGACATGTCCATGATGTTCTTCGCCCAGCCTGACTGCCCCGCGAGGTTTGCCCACCAGGACGAGCACCGCATCAGAGGCCTTAACGCCGAAGCCATCGCCCGAGTCCTCCTGCCGGTGCCCTCGTGGCTGCTAGAGTCGGAGTATGCACCCCTCCGGGCCGAGGGCGACGATCTAGGGCCCTCCCTCTTCTTTAGTCTAAACCTCTCCATCTACGGCCAGCCGGTCGTCGATACAGACTGGTCCGAGCAGTGGTTCTTTATGAGCGGCCGCGTTCACCCCTACGCCCTCTCCTGGGAGGTGGAGCGCCGCGACGGGCTCGAGGCCGGCCCGGACGATACTATTCTCTACACCGTGCCCGCCCTTATTGTCCGCGACCAAGGTTACCAGCCGTGGGCCCTCCCTTTTCATTTTAATGCGCCTCCTCACCCACCGCCCCGCTGACTTTGCCCCCTAGCGTCCTGCCGCGCTCCTTGGCCTCTAGCGGCCAGTTCCCGTCTACGCCTCCCGTTGTCTCCTTCCATGGCGCAGTAGCCGGGCCTGGCCTCGACCTCCTACGTCCAGACTTCCTGCCCGGTCTCGGGCCCGACCAGCTCCGCTGCTGCGGCTTCGTCCGGCTCACGACCTACATCGCCCCTGGCCTGCCGGACAGGATTCCATTTAAGGCTACCACCCCTTCGAGGTCTTTGTTATCTTTCTACGTTAACCCTTGGGCCGTGCTATGCAAGAAAATCGCTGAAAAGCCTAACTCTTCCTTCCTGCCCGGCGTCCCTTTACCTGCACCGGAAAGGTCGTCGGCCTTCTCGACCACCGCGTTATGCTCTTCCTTAGGCGCCAGACCCCATCCGCCTCCTCTACCTTCGATTCCGTCCGCGCCGCCTTGTACTCCGTTGCCGCGCCGGCCTCGGCCACGTCGGCCCCCCCTTCCTCGGCCTCGGCCCCGACCGCCCCCGACCCCGTCACGCCGCCGCCTAAGCGCTCCCACCCGGCCCTTGCCGATACGCCCATGAAGAGGGCGCGCTTACAGCAGCAGCATTCGCCGCCTTCTTCGTCTTCGGACACCGTCGGCCCCGCCGCCCCCTCCTCCTGTCCCCCGCCAGCCGCTTCTTCGTCTCGACTGGACGGCATCCCGCCCGCTCCCGCTCCCGCTCCCCCGCCTTCCCTTCGACTCTATCGTCGCGAGCACCTCCGACCCGCCCGCTCGCCCTCTCCGCTATCGCATGCAGAAATAAGCTGCCTACTATAAACCAATCGCTCTCTTACGCCTCCTGCCTTTACTAAAATGGAACGGGATACTATTCCTAACGCAGCTTGTCGCTGCAAAATTACTATTACTCTACGCATTGCCACGTTTCTCCCTTTATTAAAGGACAGTTTTGGCTTGCGAACCCGTTTCTTACAACACTGCCTGCCTCTAGACGTTCTCCGTGACCTTGTTAATGTCCCATGCGTTGCGCCTCGCCCCTTCTCTTTCCCTTCCTTACCATTCCCTTCTCTTGCCAGCTTGCCGCCGCACCTCAGTTGCGTTTAGCGGCGACGGGGCCCTGTAGTTGCGCCTCGCAAAGGGGCGTCTTTGTTATCTTACATTCCGTTCCTTAGTTGTGCAAGTCATAGGGACGAGGGTCGCCGAAATCGGCGGTTGGTTCTACAAGGGCCGTTGCGGCGTGTGAGGCTGGCCTTAAGGCCGCCTCGACGGCGTTGCTTGCTTCCCCTCACTAGCTCCCTAGCTTGCCTTTGGCTTGCATCCCTTCTTGTGCACCTTCCAGTCCTCCTTTGGTGTTGCCTACTGCAGTATGCGACGGCCTGGCATCGGCTGCACCTCCTCGCCCCGCCATCTCTCCACAAACCCGGCAGACCTTCCTCTGTGCTCTGTGCACCCTCCCCTTGCTTTTGCTTTGCCCCCATCCTCCCGCCCCCCTCCCCCGCCTCTGCCATCGTGTCCTGCATTTCCTGCCTCGCCCTTATTTCGCATCCTTCTGACCGCAGAATGACGACACGACCACGAGCACAAACGGCCTCTGCATGTAGGTACGATATCGGGCTCTGTAGAATCTCCTTTGCGACTTCGCCGCAACTCTCGCAGCGCGCCCCTGCTGCCTTCCGACACGCCGCCTCGTGCTCCCGTAGGATCGGCCTTATCCACTGTAGGAACAGTGCGCTGGCTTCGTGGTTCGGCCTCGCCTGGCCTACCTGCGTCACGAGCGTCTTCGGGATGCTATGCTTGTACTTGAGCTCCGTGGCCCCGAATTCGCACCAGAACTCCACGGAAACGTTGCAAGTGGCCATGCTGTAGTTGTTTTCATAACTGCTCGATCGGTAGCTAGGTAGACGCTTCTGCTCTCCTATTCGTGCCTTGGTGCCTCTCTTATACTCCCTTCTCTCTTACCCCGCAACCGTTATCATCGCTGTATTTGCCTTCTTGCTTTTTCTCCCTCTTCCGCTGCGGGATGGTGCCCGAATGGCCAATTTATTTGCCTACCTTCTTGCATGCATTAGTTCCTGGCGCTACCGCCTGCTTGCGTTCTTTGCTCTCGCCCTCTGTCTTCGTCTTGTTTGTCTCAACCTCAGTCTTCGTTCCTCAAGGCTTTTTGCGCAACCCATGAGGGGTTGCCTTACCTGTAGGAATGATTATGCCTTGAGGAACGAAAGGCCTTGCCTTGAGGTGCCTTGAGGAACGAAAGGACTTCATTAGCGCGCGGGGAAAAAAGGCCCCAGACTGCTTCACCCCCACATCCTCCGCCTCTGATTGGCTGATTTATTTCCTCTTTCGGAATAAAAGATCCCGTGTGATTGGTCGCCGACCCTTCCGTCCCTCCCTCATCATTGGTCGCTGCCGCCTTCTCTTGCCCCTCTCATGCCTTGCCCTGTTTCCCCGTTTATACTCCTGTTTACCCCTTGCCAATGCCAATGCCAATGCCAACCTTTTTCCTTTCGTCCGCCGGTTTTCTTATTGTGTCTAAAACTTGCGTCTTTTGTCTTTGCCCTTTCGTTCATGCCTTTCTAGCGGGTTCTTCCTTCAAGTCTAAAAGTCGCCCTCGTTGATCGCTGCTGCCCAGTGCCCTTGTCTTCTTGCCCGCCGGCGCGCTCCTCCGTCTTCTCCCCCTCGTCACCTCACCCTGACAACTCTCCTTGACTCTTCAGCGTCGCCATCCGACCGACGCAAAGCTTCCTCGACAGTCCTCTCGCTTAGCACCTCCAGCCTGGCCTGCGCGGCGGTCATCTCTTCGGGGACTCGGTTGCCCACCAAGTCTCTCCCGCACCTTGGACACGAGCGTGATGCCGTCTAGCGTTCGACAGCGCGATAGCTGCACATATAAGCTGTACGGGTCGCATTGCGAGGGCACGGCCCTTCCATCGACTTTCGTCGTCCGTGTCCCCCGCAGCTCCAGGGCCACGCGCTCTAGCGTTCTGCCCTGCACCTTGTAGTCCGTGCAGGCGAAGGCTGCTGCGCACGGCAATCCCTTCCGGCTGACGTCGTTCTGCTGCCACGGCCGCTTTCGTTGGCAGTGTATCCTGACGCTCATCGGCGTTAACAAGATCGTGCCCGGCGGCATCCCGACGAAGTGGAGGTCCTTTGTCGTCGCCGATTCCAGTAATATCCCGCCGGCGGCCCGAAGTGGATCGTCATGTCGGACGAGATTCGATGCCCTGGGGACGCCTTGTCGACAATGACCTCCACCGCCGAGTAGCCGGCGCCGTTCACCAGCTTCAGCCCCTGATGGGTGTTGTGGTTCACGACGACCGGCATCCCGGCCACGAACATGAAGACGGCCGGCACGGGGATCGCGCTATCGTCGCCTTGATTGAGTACCATGATCGCTTCTTCCTCGGTCGGCAGGCCCTCCTTCCACTTGTGCTCGGAGATGAAGATGCGCATCGTCGACCGCTGCTGGACCCGGAACGCCAAGCTTGCCTCCATGTTTAGGTTCCACCGATTCCTGTTCAGCGGCGTCACCACGGTGATGCCAGTCTCCCAAGGGATCCGCCTGCCCTCGCGGTAGCACCTGAGTTGAGGAGGTCCAGATCCGTGCGGTCCTGCACACCCTGCCGGATCCGCTTCAGCAGCCCTGCAATTCCGGATCACCGGCGGCGCGCATTTGCTCGTTCAACATGACGACCGTCGTGAATCTTCCACAGCGCGTGCGCTTTGTCGTGCTGGTGCCGCTGCTCGGCCTTGAACGAGTTGTCTACGTCCCACGAGATGGCCGCGCTCGGCAGGACGATCGACCTCTCTTGGACCGGCCGGAACTGCTGAAAGTCTCCGCAGAAGAGGACGATGGGGATCCCCGAAATCTTTCTGCGATCCGCGAAGCCGACAGAGTCGCTCGTTTATGGCGTGCAGCGTCCGCGCTCCGAGCATGCTCACCTCGTCGATGACAAGCACGTCCTTCTCCTGCCAGTCCATCCGAGACTGGCCGTGGATGAACCGCTCCGCCCGTTTTGCCAGCCGCACCCCGTCAAGGTCCTTGGCTGTGTTCGCGCCGCCCGCCCTCGGTCTTTAGTGAACCCGCAGGCGGAGTGGATCGTGATGCCGTTGATCTGCGCCGCGGCAGTCCCTGACGTCGCCGTGATCAGCAGACGATTCGAAAGGCTCTTCCCACTGAACAGCTCGACGAGTGCCCCAATGATCCGCGACTTGCCGGTGCCCCTCGCCGCCGACGAACTGGCAGAGCTGGCCGGCATCGCCCTATTCGTTTGTCGCATCAAATCGAGCTGGCGGCATATTATTAGGAAAGCGATCGACTGCCTCTTGTTCAGCGTTAGCCGTGTTGACAACTCCTTGCCCGCCGCGAAGAAGGAGGTCGATGGGCCAAACTGGACGCGCATTCCCGCTTCTGCGTCGCTAGCCGTCTCGTCGGAGTCGGCTGTCGTCATTTCGACGTCGTCCTCCCGAAGCCGGTCATCACCTCCGCAACGCAGCTCGGCGATCGCTTTCCCGGACTGCGATTGTGGTTTGTACGCCTTGATCATTCTCTCCTTTCCTCGACGCACTTATCTGCTGCGACTTGATAGCCTTGACCTGATCCTGCGGCGGTAGTGCGGCCCCGGAAAATACCCGCCCTGGCATGCTTATGCACCTCAACCCTTGTTCGGGAATCGCGATGGCCTCGAGCTCGGCCGTTGAGCAGAGCGCCGATTGCTGGAATCGACAGAGCTGCCGCATCATTGCCATGAGCTCCGGCGACTTGGCCGTCACCTGATTCGTGCCCACTGCGCCTCGGACGACGTCGATCAGGCGCGTTGCGTCTCCGATGTTGTTGGACCGATATGTCGCTGCAAATTCTGCGCCCGCCTCGCCTGTCTCGCCCTCCTCGACGTGGGCGACCGTGGAATCGCCATCGCCGGATGAGGCCGCCCATTGCTTGGCGTCGCGCTTTGCGTCTTCGGCTGATCGTCGAAGCAGCTGCACGTTGTCGACGAGACATGATATTCTCGGGGCCAGCGCCTCGCGCCCGCTCCCAGATGCTATTGATCTCACCTGTTTCTTCGCACAGAAAGGACTCCCACGGCACAAATAGCGCAAGATGCTGCACGGCTGCCCTTTAAGGGAGGGGGAGGTTAGCCACTCTGATGATGCCTGCCGGCAGGGCGGTTGCTATACACACCTCCGGTGGCACGACTCCTCGTCGTCGTTGTGGCCGAAGTCCTTGCTCAGGTAGCCATCGAGGCAGACGGTAGCATGCTTGCCCGGCCGCCTGAGCACCTGGACCCAGCGTCTCCCTGGCGCCCATCCATCCTCGAAGGGCACCTCCCCCCAGGCCGCACAGCTCTCATCCTTACTGGTGCGTTTTAGTCTAACGAGCGATATGCAGTCGTATAAGCATAGCCCGCAGGAGCTCTCCCGGTGCTGGTACGCCTCAACGTGGAGATCCTCAGGCCTGCTTCTTCGACAACGACCGACTCATCCAGAGTATCATCTATGGCCGCCGCGCCACTTGCTCGTCGGAGATACGGCCACCGTCGAAAGACTTCCCAGTACAGCAGAGATGTGTTCAGGTACGCCCAGGCGCTGCTGTTGGTGAACTCGGCCGGATATCCAAGAAGATGAGCGACGACCTCGACCTGAGATAGCGGACGCTCCGTGAACACACGATTCGCCACCCTCATCAAGAACTGTCGCGTCCTGTTCCCTTGGCGGCGTCATCGCCAACAGCACCTCCACCGTCGTCCTGTCCTCCGTTGGCCGTGCCGTCACCCGTTGAGGCGGCCAGGAGATCGGCCGCGGCCGCCACACGCTTCCACACC